CAACATCCAGAGCCGCACAAAGAAAGACTTCAAGTTGGGAGACAAGGCGCAGGCATTGTTGATGTTGTGTGGGGATTCATACCAGGTGATATGTGGACGGAGGTGGGCGACAAGATTGACAAGAAGAGTGAGAGATCGGAGCGAAAGGGCCTGTGACAGATGCGGGCGAGGGGACAGCAAAGAAAGGAGGGATTCGACGAGATCGAGCATCACAAGAGGGCAAACGGATGTCTGACACAAGGGAAAGGGGCGACGAGTATCGGTTTCGGTGCATTAGGTGCACGCTATATACTAGACGGACTCATCGATGCAGACCGGACTTCGGAGCCGCTACGGACGCGCTATGAAAGGGCGAAATAGTCATTGTAGTACAAAAAACTTTCGTCGAAGTTTGTTTTTGTACAAAGAAAGACAAAAAAAGTTCAGCGCGTAAAAAAGTTTTCGGTGGCAAAAACCGGGTTGAGCGCTTGCACCCGCTACGTAGCGCACCAGGACGAAAAACTAACGTTCTGGGCTCTAGTGAATTCTACAATGCCTGAAGTTATGACATGCGATCGGTAGGGAAACCATAGACTCTCTCACGCTTGACCCCCGGTGTCATCAGTCCCTCGCCCATCTCTGGCACAGACAAGACGTAACATAGTACGCAATGGCATACAACAGGCTCAGATGTTCCAATCATAGCAAGACATCACTCTATCCTCGGGTGAAATACGCTTTCGCACCGTGCGTAGCAAGCTCGGTCTTTGCCTGAGGAGTACGGCGATGAGTATGCCGTGAGTCGACCTGCATACGTTAGAGTACACACCTTTTCCACGGAGTGTCCAGCAGCATTGTGATGGGCCCAGATCTAGTGGTACGACACAGGTCAACGTCATGACACGACGCGCGCGAAGACGGGCCGACCTACCTGGCGGTAGTAATAGGCCAAGCCGACACCCTGCGCGATCCATCCGACAGTGGCTACCGTTCCGACAATGGCCGCAGGAAGCGAAGGCTTCGTGAAAGCCTGAATAGTCTGGATGAGACCAGCGGACCCAGTACTAGAAGCGGAGTTAGTGCGATGCTGCGAACGCAGCATTATCTAGGTACCTTGGGATCCCAATGATCCTACCCAGCTGTCAGCCCTCAGATCTGTAGCGTTTCGGAGACGATACGTACATGTACACCGAGAATAGCAGGTGGAATCCTCCAAAGAAGAAAAAGAGGTCTGAGAAGTAAGACAAGATTGTAGCACTCGCGGACTAAAAACACAAGAGACCTGCGTACAATAGTATAGTGCCTGCTCCTGTAATGGGCAATGCGTTCAGCGTGAAAGCGACCGTGTACTAGAGGCGTAGACCCTACCTTCATGTAACCATTATAGATAGGACTGCAGAGCTGAATCAGCAAAGCGTCGACTGAGCACGACGTGTAGCGACATACCGGTACCATAGCAAGAAAGACAAAGGGGTGATGAAGATCACATAACTTCGTGGACACGGGTCCCGAGTAAGACAAACAACCACTCCTGGAGATATCGTACAACATACCCAATACTTGAACCGAGATCGCTGCCACCATTGGATGAGCCAGACGCAAGTATACAGATGCAGGCCACCATGTTCACCACCAGGGTACCAGCGAGCACAAGCCAGATCTGATACAAGCGGGTGATCAATTGTTGCGACGCTTCAGGTATCTCATCTCGAATTGAGTGGAATAGCAGTGGGAAGTCTACGTTTCCGCGGGCGAGGGCGAGGGAAGGCTCAGTTTCTTCGCTCGGAGAGCTGCGGATGAGAGCTTGCACTCACAAGGGGGCCAGTTGTTGCGGCCGTGTCTCCGGATGTGGTCCTGTTTCTGGGCAAGCTCGCGTTCTCGCCTTGCCAGATCTGCTTCTCTCTGCCTCAACTCCTCCAGTCGCGTGTCATTGTCCGTGGGTTTCACGGGGTCTTCAAACGGATTCGTGTCGAGAGAATGCGAAGAAGCAAAGGGGTTTTCGTTATAACCTGGCGAGACGGAGCCAGACATTAGACGCAAAGCCGCAACCAAGCACCTCAGAAGCCATACTCATGATGGATTATAGGGCCGCCAGGGTTTATACAACTAGGGGGGTGGTGGAACGAAGTGCAGGAATGGCTTAGGCGCTGTACGCTTGTGCTGGCGTGGTCGCCGGGTTTGTGGTCGCCCAAACAAGTCCCCTGCTCATCTGAGCGGTCTGCCTCGTCTCTGCCGCCATAGATACGCTGCTGTGCTACTTGCTCTCGACACCTCAACAAACTGGACCGCAGGGTCTTGGGCCAACGGCATTCGGACAGCAGACGAGGAGATCCCTGTTGTTTTGACGGACCGGCTCAAGAAACATCAAGACGGACAGGTTAGCGCGCAGACACGTCCTCAATTATGAATAAGTAAAGTAGTCGTCATGCCAAGAAGCGTCATTCATTCCCTGGACGTCACGCCAATTCTAGCGGACACGGCCCTTGGAATTCTCAGCCGCAACTCGGGTGGCCGTGTCTCACACGGCGAGTACGGAAGTAACAGGTATTTTCCACGACCAGTTACTCTGACGCTGTTCTCTTACTCGCCCAGTGTTTTCAGGGCTTCCGAGCAACGCTCCTCCGGCCAGCCGCGAACCGCCGACCGCCCACGTCATTAATGAGAGCACGGTGTCGTCGAACTCCAGATATGCCATATAGCTGTATGGATCTGGCATGTTGTCGCGCGTGGTACGGCGTCTTCGAGCCACAGCACGGTCTTGATGCTCCGCACCAGCGCGCTCGGAATAGGGCTGCGGTGAGCCCTGGCAACGGCGCACCGGACGGTCTCGATGCTTCGGGCTGCGGCATAATGTGGCTGCGGACGCCCCTTGCGCATCGGCGATATTCGAGGTAAGAGACGTCTATTTGGGGGGGCCGGGTTCGGAGGGCGCGAGGGCACAATTTTGCACTACCTGACTCGAGCGAACTTGGCTTGAGGCACGCGGGCACTGAAAAATGGTAGTCCGAGGTCTGGGTCGGGATAGGCATGCTGGAGCGGAGCGGGGAGTGCAAATATCGGGGGTGCAAGCTCGGAGAGGATGCTGTACATGGGCGCCTGCGGCGTTGGCCGGAGGTGAGGAAAAAGAATAAAAAGGCCGGTGGGTCGCGCGCGGTCGTCGTCCGTACATTGTGTTCACCGTACGCTCTCCGTCACCCACCTTCTTTTTCTCCGTCCTCCCCTCCTCGCCTCCCAGGCGTGCTCTTGACGGTAAGTATTCCAATCACTTGCCCCCGTCTACTTCGACAGTTGCTTGACTTCCCGTCCCTTCCACAGCAGTCGCTCTCTTAAACCGACAGTCTCTACGCTCTCATTCTTCGAGTCCTCTCCTTTGCGTCAAAGCCCCTATCCTCTCCTACATCGCCATCATGCACTTCTTCACGCTCGCTTTCGTCGCTCTCACCGCCGTCGCCGGCGCGTCCGCCATCGTCATCCCCCACCGCCATGCTCATGTCGCCCGCCAGACCCCTCCTTCCACCTATGCAGAGGGTTACCTTGAGGACTACAAGGTCTATCACGCTAGGTACATGGCTCTCGACTGCGAGGCTCAGCACAACACGACCTTCTTCGACAAGTGCTGCCACCCTCTCCTCGTAAGTCACATCTATCACGATTCGCGTCGGTGGGGATTAACGTCGACTGACGACTTATTTCAGGCTACCGAGACGCTCGCGAAGAATCGCGCGCCCGAGTGCAATCCGGCGAACCACGTTTCGTCCACTGCCTCGTCCGCAGCTCCTACTCAGAGCCAGGTCCTCTCGTCCGGCGGCAACGATGGTGATGACGGCGATGACTGTGATGACGATGAGCCTACCTCCACCGCCTCCTCTGCGGCCCCGACTTCGACCGATGATGAGGGCGACGACTGCGACGACGATGAGCCGACCAGCACCGTGACGCCCTCCAGCAGCCACGTTGCTGCCTCGACCGCTCACTCGTCTACGATCCATTCGTCCTCTGCGCACTCGGTCACCCTTTCGTCGACGCACGTCGCTACGACTTCGACGCACGTTGCCACGACTTCGTCCCACTCGTCTTCTACTCCCGTCACGACGCATGCCACGACTAAGGCCTCGTCTACGAAGACAAGTGCAGCTGCTCCTACGTCCACCGGCTCCTCGAGCGGTGACTTTACTGGCGGCCACGCGACCTTCTTCTACCAGGGTGGAAATGCTGGTGCCTGCGGTCAGGTCCACCCCGACAGCGCGTTCATTGCTGCTCTTCGTAAGTTGGATTTCCCTGGCAGACGTGGTGGAGCGATGATTGCTGATTCTCAATGCAGAGACCAAGCGCTACGGTGACCTCTCTCAGGAGTCGTCCAACTGCGGTCGCAAGATCACAGCGACGAACACCAACAACGGCAAGAGCGTCACCGTCACCGTTGCTGACGCGTGCCCGACCTGCCCGGAGGAGAACGACCTCGATCTCTCCTTCGCTGCCTTCACCTCCATCGCCACCGAGGAGGAGGGTGAGGTCCCCATTGTCTGGCACTTTGACTAAGCGGCGCGTCACTGTGTTGCCGATTCACCGCCAACCCGCTTTTTCTTGGGATCCGGTTCCTGCTTTATTGTTCTGATCTTGGTTCTCTGGGGGGCGATGCCCCAGGCCTAGCGCCATGCGTACCGTCTGGCAGTGGATGACAGCGAGATGGCTGAGACGAGACTGACGACCCTGGAGGCGGAGGGATCCACCGCAACCTCTCGCTACTCATCCGTTACGATACGCTTTACATATGTTCTCTGCGCTCTCCATCTTCAGCGGGAGTTTTGCAATCTGCTACTCACCGGTGTATAGCTGTTATAACGTATCGTTATTGTCTGGCTGCTTTTCAAGAGTCGCTATTAGAGCATTTTCAATACATGTCACATGTGTAGGCATGCCCTGCAAGGTTCCAGTGTGACTTGGTGAACATTTGTGCGCCCGGGCGCAATGTTGATACAGAGACATCTTACGAGCAAGAGCACATGATCGGACGCGCGAGGGTGCGTGTGATCGAGATCTGTCGCGCCCTGGCCTCGCGAGTGACGTCGCCGACGTCGGACGCAATCTACCGCTCGCCCTTGAACCAACGCTAGTTATATGAGGCCACGCTGCTCCATGTCCCTCAGCTCAACCAACGCCTAAGTACAGCATGCAACCCTTTGCGCAGAAGATCCTAGTTGTCGGAGGCAACGGCTTTCTGGGTGCGTTCGCACATGCCCTGGGCCTGTGCCCCGTGTCCTCAGATGCCCGCAGGGTCCGCCGTGTGTAGGACCGCCTTGGCACGCGGCATGAAGGTCGCAAGCATCAGGTACGTCGCACACTCTAGCAGGGTCACGGGCACCACTCATCCCCCGTACACGCAGCCCGTCAGGCAAGCCCTGGCAGACGCCAAAAGGCCATACGCCCGCATGGGTGCACAAAGTGTGGTTCCCTCTCGCCCCCATTCTCCCCCGCACGCTCATCTTGCATCGTATGCGATCGCGCGTGTCGCGCGCGCACAGGTCGAGTGGCACCAGGGCAACGCGCTGCAGCCGCAGACGTACGCGCACCTGCTCCCGGAGGTGACCGCGGTCGTGCACACGATCGGGACGCTGTTCGAGAAGTCGGGCTACAAGAGCGCGCTGAAGGACGGGAACGTGCCGCGATTCGTGAGCAGCGTCGCTGCTGCTGTGGCTGGGGGAGGGGTCTCTGCGAACCCGCTTGAGAGGGAGAGCAAGCGGAGGGAGGGCAGCTACGAGACGCTGAACCGCGACACAGGTGTGTGCCCGTCGATGGAATTTTCTGCGTATATGCGTGATTTGATGAAAACGCGACGATTTTCTCATTGCCTCCCGCTCTGCGCTAGCTGTACGCGTGTGCGAGACCTTCCTCCAATCCGAGCCAGTCGTAAAGACAGACGGTCCCCGCGCGTTCATCTACATCTCTGCAGAAGACTGCAACCGCCCTATCGTTCCCTCAGGCTACATTGAGACTAAACGAGAAGCCGAAGTGCTGATCGAGAAGATGGTCCAGGAGAACGCCCGGTACCGGGCGGTGTACATCCGGCCCAGTACGTGTCGAACCCTTGACACGCTTGACACAACGTGCATTAAGCTAACCTGTCCCCACAGCTCTCATTTACCATCCCCATTTCCGGCCCATGATCACCCCCGCTGCTGCCCTCCTCGATTTATCCGCCACCATCCACTCAAAACACCCCGCAGGGTTCCCCACCCCGGCCGGCCTGCTTCGCACGCTCGGTTCCCTCATGCCGCGACCTGTCTCGGGCCGCGAGTCCCTCGTGGACTCCCCGTTCAATTCGATCGCGCGCGTGCTCACGGTTCCGCCCATACATGTCGATCATGTCGCCGAGGCGGTCTGCATCGCGGCGGATAAATCGCGGACGGACGTGCGCGGGCCGTATGGGCTGGAGGCTATCAGGGAGCTCATTGGCTGGCACCAGAAGGGACAAAAGAGCCAGCAGCAGGCTGGGGCGCCTGTGTGAAGTGACTACAGCTTGAGTGTGCAAGAACTTCACGATAGTATTGTACACGTTGTGTCTTAATTCTCGAACCCCTTCTCCGCAACCCGCTACGGCCTTCACTTGCACTGCCGGTTCCCCGCAGCTTTCACACTGGTAACGAGATGGTCGCCATGCCCTTTCAATGTCAGGTCAGCGTGACGAGCCGTCCCGCGGTTTAATCGCGTACCTCCCAACGAGAAGGAATGCTGGTCCGTTCGCTCATATCTGAGATCCCTGCAAGATTGAAGTAGTACCTAGAGATTATCAACGGCATCAGGCTAGTAGTGAATGGCTTTAGTGGAGGAGCGGAGTCGATGCAGGGAGTCAGACGTACACACTGATCATCGTACAGAAGTCGGCATACGGCGTAGAGTCGGTGAAGTATGTCGCCACGTTGGTGACGTTGATCAGCATCAAAGTTCTGTACGGACGTTACAGCATCAGGCGCAAGCATTACTGTGTTATTGGTTGCAACTTACAAGAAGTAAACGATGCCGTCTCTCATGACGAGCCGGGTGAACTTAAACGTCGGCAACTCCTTTCGGCCGAGAACGACAGTCGCCGTCCGCAGCAGGATCACCACAACGATTATACCTTCCACGAGGATGAGCGGGACGTTCGTTAGCAAGCCAACTAGACGTGCTGTCAGGCACATGCACTGAACACGGCAATGGAGGAAGTCTTACGCCTATTTGGTCGAGATGTATCAGCATGAGCGCACCACACGGTCTTAGTCTGGTAGAAAACACGGTTGCTTACTCGTGGAACTCGGAGGACTTCATGGCGTCGTCAAATGCGCAGTAGGTAGGATGAGGCGGCAGAGGAATATGGCCTATGCCCAATTGGAGCGGTATAACGGCGACCTGTACTGTGTGAGCGGGTCCTGAAACCATCCGGCACTTCAAAGAGCATCGTACCATATTCGTGGCGATTGGGAAGAGGGACAATAACACCACAGCCAGTGTGATGAATCTGTTCTTGTCGCTGATGGGATAGATCCGTAACCCCGCGAATGCTGATAAAAGGAGGTCGGTTAAGTGATCGCCGTAGTAATCGGCGAAATTCTAGGGGGACACCCGCCTGCCCACACAAAATATTGAACGATCGCTACAACTCGTTGCACATAACTGAGGTTGATACAGCTGCACTCTACATCAATTTTGGTAAGCTTGATAGCGTACGGGAGCGTAGCATACCTCTAAAGGGAAAGTGAGCTGAGAAACAGTAATTCTGAGGAACAAAGACCGCGTACTAGTCTTGTAGCAGGGAGGAGGAGAGGGAAAACGAGGCCAATGTAGTATACCGGAGTGGTGTACCGGTTGAGCAAGAAAACCACTTTAGCCCATGTCAGTCGGCGGCCCCAGATATAGCGAACTTCGAGGTCAAAAGTTATCAGGTACTCGTAGAACACGACACCTGAGGCGGGGATGTGGATTAGACGGTACGGAGTGAAGACCTTTCACGAACGTACCAAGCATTGCCACCCCCATATATTGGCTTAGTTGACTACGAGCCGATGTCAGAACGTCAAGGTTCCTGAAAGAGAACGGAGACATGGTATGAACTCGCCTCGTCTCGTAGTATTGAAGCACTTCAAGCACCAGCTCCGTGACTTCTCCCGTGGACGAGCTGTCCGAACCAGCAGCGGTCGTCGACATATCGAGAGTGGATACTGACTGTAGATTGGAGGAACGATTGAGCCCAGCTGAAGGGGGACCCTCAGTGATCAACAACTTAAGTACTCTGGCCCGTCTGACCTGAGTGCCTGATTAACGCTATCTCACAGGAGGGTCAGCCGCGACGGGGAGGATAGACCTTGGCCCTGGCACCGGCAATTCAGCTCCGTCGAAGTCGATAAATGAAATGATATGTCAACAAAGGCATCAAGAGCCGGTGCCCGTCTGGGAGCGCCGTCTTCAGTGAACTGGGAACAGTCTTCTCGTGAGGAAAACGACGGGAAGTCTGCTCTGTGGTTTGACGGTCGCAAAACCTTCCGATGGTTCGAAGTCCAAATACTTGATCTTGGAGAGCTTCTTTTGCGATAGGTACGTTTTGTGGTGACAGGCTGATAGGACAAGTTCCGGACAGGTGCTTTACGACATTGCCTTGACCGTGGTAGCGGAGAGGCTGTGCAGCATGAGTAGATCTGGGTGAATAGAGAAAAAGATACGCACGACCCACGTTGAGGGGCTTTACACCTGATACGTACACTGCGTACTCGGCATTCACAAATCTCTGATGCTGTCTTAACAATAAATTGGCCGGAAGAATGCTCTCTAGTCGGCCTCCCGACCTTGAACGGTAGCGTACAGCTAACAGGACTTCTGATTGTCAATGTCAAAAATCGAAGTCTTCGTGAGACGCCGTGTGGATTCATAGGTCGAATAAGGCTGTGAAGCAGTACTGCTTAGTTACTGGGCCGTGCATGTGGTAGAACGATGGTGAAACATCGTTCCGCACACGCCTCGACGGACGGACGTGACCGTAGAGGCCAATCCACTCGCACCCTGAGAATCAGTCGTAACAACCGGGGGCAGATAGGACGTCGGGTGCAGTGAACGCGGCAGCTTCAGTTTAACAAACCTTTTTCGGCAGACACCACTATGCACGATACAAGCCGGTTGCTAAACCTCGCTGCACCATCGCCGAGAACGATACCCACAGGCAGTGCTGCCGTTCCACCTTTAGAATGGGGAGGACTTGGCGTGCATCGCCTGGTAGTTTCGGAATCAGCCCCGTGATCCACGTTACAACCGCACGATGCGCTTGCCTGATAACGAGAAAGAATCCTCGTTCAGTGGCTAGGATCCGAGGCCTGTGAAAGATGGAAATGGCATCGCGAGACCATCAGCAGCATCAAGCGGGAGGTCGATAGCTTGTGGGCGAACTACGACTTCGATCGGAAGCACGCCTCTACGGAGGTGCGAGGCCATCAGCGTTCAGTTTGGCTGTGGATAATGGTCGCCGCTCACAAGGAATGTACGGAGAGCCGTCTCCTGATGTGAGCCGTGTAAACTTGAACATCGAGAGTATCCGCCGACCGAGTGTAGACCCGGTCACAGGATGGCTGTGGATGGTGACGCACTCCTCTAGAGATGTTCGTCAGTGAGCTACCTGGACGTGGACATTGTCAGTCGTGTTTCACGCATGGTAGGATTAGATGGACACCTAATGGGTCGGCTGCTCGGCAACATACGATAGGTCGCAAGTCAATGGGTGTACTTGCCCAAGAACTCCCGTGGTTTGATGGTGTAGTCAGAAGATTATTGTAACGGTTTGCTCTTGTCGTTCGCGGTGCGTAGAGGGTGGAGTAGACGGAGAGCTAGCTGGCGCCTTCCTGGAATGGGCATGATCAGCAGGCCAATGTTCGGCATGTGTGGCGGGTACATGGACTTCTTGCGTGCTCGCTCAGGTAGAAGTGGTGTGCAATTTCGCGCGACCTCCTCTCCACTTTGAGCCTGAGTTTCGTGGCCCGGGATCTCGCAAATATACCCTGATACGCAAGCCAGAGAAAAGTTAGGAGTTGTTTCAGCATATGGATGACGTTATGTAAGCATGCGATCCGCACCTGAAGGCTTCATGCCGGGGCGCGAGCCTCAAACTCCGGCCCGATAGCAACCGCAATGCCGTACGAATTCTGCCAGTTGGAGGCGCTTCCAAGATTCGGATGTGTTACGAAACCTGGGGGCTTGATGGTTATAACCAGTCAAGTACTTACATAGTGGGGCGGGACACGCCCAGAACATGGCCTGACTAACGGTGAAAGCGCCTGCGCATGAGTGAATTATCGCGTGACGTCTTGGCCAGGGCAGAAACCCTCAGCTGGCCGAGCTTTGGGGAACCCCAGCGCGAAAGATAGGGGGCGGAGCCCCGACGCTGCCTTCTCTCCCTCTCACCTTCGTGTCGCGTCCCATCCGCCCTCGTGTCGTCTCGTTGGACGCGAAGTCGCCCCTGGGTCACCGAGGTACGTCAACGTGCTCTCGTGCGATCAGAGCTGCCTGAATAACGCGCATCACCTTCCACCGCCGTCCCGTAATTCGCTCGGAACTTGACCCTCGGACTTGGCCTCGGAACTATCAGGTTTGTTGCCAGAGATCCCCCCACGTCTGCACAACGGTTCTTCCAGAGCAGAATGTCGGTCCCGGGCCCTCTCCTTTCCTTCCGTCGGCCGAGCACCTTCGCGTCCGCGTCCTCCACCCCCGCACCTGCGAGGCTTGTAGGGCGTGCTCGCGTTCCCCGCGTTGCAGTGCGGGGGATCAGCCAGTCCTCCGCGTCCCAAAAGGCGATCCCGTTCGCGCTGAATACCGGTCGCGCTGAGACTGCGCCTGTCAACGAAGTCCGTCGTGGAGGACAGACGTTACGGATGATCATGTTCGGTGAGTCCGTGTTCTGAGACGGCGCGACGTATGTCTTCCTGCCGCACCGATGACGTCGCGCGAACCTGGACGTGGTGGCGCTATCGTATTTTGTCGCGGGCTTAGTCTGACTGTCTTCCAAATAGGCAAACCGGGCGCTGGGAAGGGCACCCTCTCTTCACGGCTGGTGAAGAAGTATGACATTGTGTCGCTGTCTACTGGGGACCTGCTTCGGCAGCACATCGCGGAAAAGTGCGTTCTCGACCACGTCTCCTGCCGCCGTCACATCGTTGAGACAATGTCGTGCGCAGGACTGAGATTGGTCTGATGGCGGAGGAGATCGTCGCCGCGGGCGGCCTCCTCCCTGACGAAATCATGCTCAAGGTCGTGACAAGTAAGCTCGATTTGCTACGTAGTAAGGTATGTCCAGGCGTGAGGAATCGTCGTCTCATCAACTCACGTTCGTCTTCGGCGGTAGCATTGGATACTTGACGGTTTCCCGCGTACGCTTGGCCAGGGCAAGGTGCTCGACGAACACCTTTCGTAGGTGTTTCCCCGCACATCCCCCTCGCACTACATTTGAACAGCCCATGCTCATAGACAACAAGGGACGCCCTTGAGCCTCATAGTCAACCTCGACGTACCAGACGACGTGATCCTGAGCCGCATCTCGGACCGATGGGTCCATCTGCCCTCGGGCCGCGTATACAATCTCTCGTACAATCCGCCCAAAGTCGCAGGCCACGACGACGAGACCGGGGAGCCCCTCACCAAGCGTCCGGACGACAATCCCGTACGTCATCTTCTTCTCTCCGCGTGTCCCTCACGGCGCTCACCGTCCGCGTCGTGCAGGAGACCTTCGCGCGCCGCCTCGAGCAGTTCTACGCCTCGACTTCCCCGCTCCTCGCGTATTACGGCGCCCAGGCGGCGGGCGGGACATCGACGAAGCTCGTGAGCCTGGCCGGCCGCACGTCCGACGAGATCTGGCCCCAGCTCGAGAGCGTGGTCCGGACGAACTTCCCCGCTGTCAAGGAGCGGCAGGAAGGCAAGCGTCGGACAAGCTTGTCGGATGCCGTGCTCGCTCGGCGCGGGCAGGAGCTGCCGACAAGGTAAAGGAGGCCTGAGGTGACTTGCCCTCTTCCCCTTGTCTCAGGTGCTCAGTTTATTTGCCAGCCGGCTTTGGGGGCACGTTGACGAACGGAGTTACCGCTAGCACGTTATACATTCCTATGCATTCAGCTTCTTTCCCCGCCTGCTGGGCACGCATGCGTTCCATCTCGTCGTGTCTATACCACGAGCACGTGGTCTCTTCCCATGCTGTACCTGTATACCTCTAGTAGTCCTAACGAGTACGACATTGCTGCATGACGCGCGCGTGCATCGTATGCTTGGGGTCTGGAGCAGCCGTCACCTCAAAGCATACCTACCAAGAGTGAAATGAGCGGGTGACAACAGACCACAAGGATGAACGTACATCTTTACAGGGTAGAGCCCCTCCGGGAAACCTCGCTGGATCCGCTCGTCGACCACCTTCAAACCGGCATCCGCAAAGCACTTTTTCCACGCGAGATCGGACCTTCAGAGCGATCAAGCATGATCAGCACGCCCCCCCCCCTCCCCCAAAAACAAAAACCGTTCGAGCGTACCTCGTCAACGTCGAGTCGCTCTCATCAAACACCGCGCGCGGCCCGCCCTCCTCCGAACACAGGTTCTCCTTCACGAGCACGAGGCCCCGGGCGGGATCGCGCAGCGCCGCCCGGGACTTGCGGAAGAAGGCGACGAGGTCGGCGTCGCTCAGCGCGCCGAGGCACCACTGGCACACCACGACGTCGAACCCCGCACCGAGGTCGTCCTCGTGCGCGGGCGGGACGCGGCCGACGCGGCCGAGCACCCTCGCCTTGCCGGGGCGCGTGGGGTCGAAGTCCTGGAGGGTGGCCTGGACGAAGGTGACGCTCTTGCGCCCGTCGGCGATGCCCTTCCACGGGACGAGCTCGAGGCTGTCCGGGTCGGCGCCCGCGCTCTCCGGGGTGGGGGCGGGGGCGGGGGCGGGGGCCTCGCTCGCGCGGCCGCGGCGGAGGGCCTCGCGGACGAAGGGCGCGACGGGCTCGACGAGGAGGACGTCGGAGAAGAGGTGGAGGAGGACGTCGGCGGTGACGCGGCCGACGCCCGCGCCGACGTCGAGCGCGCGCGTGCGTCTCTGTGCGGCTTGTGCGGGGACGTTCAGGGGCCGGATGGCGGAGGGGACGGCGCAGAGCTCGGGGAGGAGGTGCATGAGGAACTGGCGCGAGCCGAGGGCGTCCACCCGGGGGAGCGGCTATATGTGATGCGATCGTGCGTCTGAGCGGTGGTGTGCATGTGAGGGAGCGAGCCTGGGACGTACCCCGTTGCCAAAGCCACCTGGAGAGGGAGATCACTCGGCGAAGGCGGACGCGAGGGCGGAGGACATACCGAGGACGCCGTCGTAGTTGGCGGGCTGCGACTCCCAGTACTTGATGCCCTCCTCGACGTCGGGGTCGCGCAGTGCAGGCTCTGGAAAAGGGACCGGGGACATGGCAAGAGCTGTAAGCTTACTGAGTGTTCCCGGAAGAAGCTGCTATCGCGCGCGAGTGACCAAAATAAGATGTGACCGCGTGACGGACGCGTCTGTGGCACGCGTCGCGGCGCGCGTCTCGAGTTCACAAGCACCGACGACGACGATGGCCTCTCTCGACGACATCTGGGACGCTCCGGCCGAGTCTGCTTCCACTGCGCCCCCGTCTGCACCTATACTCATTGACGATGACGACGACGACTCGACGAGCCACCCCAAACCCCCCGCCCGGCCACGCTCAACCTTGTTTCTCGACTCCGGCTCCGAGGACGACGCTCCCTCCACCTCCAAGACACACTACGCGTCCAGGCCCGGCTCGTCCAAGCCCGACATCGACGCCTTCTTTGACGACCTTGACGACCCGGAGACTGCGTTCCAGGCGCTCGCGCCCTCCCTCGACGTCGACACCCTGAAGCGACAAGCAGGCGCGAACCTCCCTCCGCTCACTCCCCACCAGATCCTCCCAAGCAGCTCGCCCCCGCGCGACCTCGGAGGCGACAAGGCTGGAGCAAAGTCGAAGGCGGATGGACGGAAGGGCGAGAAGGGCACGACGACCGCGCGGAAGAAACGGCCGGTCCTGGACGAGGGGCGGCTCCTTGGGCCCCAGGGGTTCCCTGCGCTCATGAAGCAGACGAAGAATTTCAAGCCCAAGGGCAAGGGCCACGAGGTGAGCCGTGCGTCCAGCGCTCCTGCGCCCTGCAATCCTCACGCCAGACTCCAGCTGTCCGACCTCAACAGGCTCCTGACCGTGTACCACTTCTGGGCGCACGAGATGTACCCGAACGCCCAGTTCATAGACACGGTCCAGCGCGTCGAGAAGCTCTGCCACTCGAAGCGCATGCACGTACGTCCTCCTCCTGAGACTGCCCTCCCTGCATGCTGTCTCTGACGCGACCGTCGCAGGTCGCGCTCGGTGTCTGGCGAGACGAAGCCAAGGGCCTCATCAACGGCCACAAGCTCCCCGACCCGAACGCCTCCGACGACAGCTCCGACAGCGACACCGACAAGGAGGACCCCCATGCCGCCCCTGCCACAGACGTCCCCGTCGCGACCGAGGACGAGCGTTCCTCCCCCGCGCCCTCCCGCGGCCCCTCGCTGCCGCCCACGTCCGCGTCGGAGGGCGGGCTCGACGACGACTTCGACATCGACGCCATGATCGCCGAGGACGAAGCGGCCCGCGCTCGAGCACCCATTGACACCCGCTCCCGCCCGCAACCGACGGGCGCACCCGCCACCGCAGACGAAGACGAGGAGATGTGGGACGCGGTCATGGCCGACTTCCCGGACGAGCCGTACGTCCCTCCCGACCGCCAGCCCCGCGCGCCCGCGGCGAAACCGCCCGTACGGGCACAGGCTGCGCACGAGGGCGAGGACGAGGACATGTGGGACATCGTGAGGGAGATGGAGGCGGAAGCTGCGGCCAAGGTGGCGGCAGGCGATCCCCCCTCAGACGGGCCGCCATCTGGGGGAACGACCGGTCTGGCTGGCGTGGACCCTACGCGGCCGGCGTCGAACGACGAGGGTTGGGATGAGATGTATGCTTAGTGTGGTCGCCGACGATGATAGACTGTACTTGATGTCTTCCCCGCGCGTACGATTCTTGCCCGGAAGTCTGCACAGTCTGTGTATCAGGCATTGGCATGGCGCTGCTGCTGCTGCTCAAGATTCACGCATACTCGAGCAACACTATAAAAAGTATGATGTCCGGCGAGTCGCGAGTCAGGCCCTGACTGACACGACTCTGCACAGCAGAGCCTCGAACTCGCTGAACCATTCGTCTATAGGGCGGCATTATTGACTACATCCGCTACGAGGTTGTCATCCTCTGGGTTACATTTGAACTGAATATGTCTGGTTTTTCAACGTATTCCAAGATGTAGAAGGGCCGTAAGTAGACAAAAACTGACTGGAAGCAATATATCTACACGAAGAGTGTCACTAGATGGAATCAGGGTAGCAAGCACGAGGATCTGGTATGATACAACTTTGGAAAGTGTTCCCCAAGTAAGGACACAGATGGTGATCTGCGAAGGTGATATGCTACATATACAGATAATGTTGTGTGTTGATGGGAGAGCAAGCTAACGTCCGAGAGTTATATCAAGAACAAATTGCGATGGACGTATCGACTGCGACGGATGCCCTGATTGGGTTCAAAGACGAGGGGCTGCCCCTGGCGCTGGAAAGAACAGCGGGAGTGCGAGCATGAGCTTACTTGGTCGGTCCCGAGCTCAGAAAGCCCTGGACCGCTTGCATGGTCAGGTACCTGGTTCGCAGAGCCCCGAGTAACTCCTATCGTATGGTCAGTCATGTAGACACGGGAGGATCCGGGTCACTGAGCTCACCAACAGTGCGTCAGCTAGCTTGCTGCGAGCCAACCGCTCCTCGATAGGCACCTCGCAGCCAGACTCGGCATCGACAACCGGCGGATCTTCGTACCCTGACGCTTGGGTATCATGCGTCTCCTCGCAGCGCTCTAAAGAACGCTGACAGAAAGGAAGCAGAGGAAGGGCGATGATGATAAGGAAAGTGGCTTGAAGAGAGGAAGAAAGCACTCACCGCATAGGGCGCTGGATCCCCGCCCGTTGCCGCCTCCCCGTGCCTGTAGTCGACTGTGGTCTGCGATTTGCAACGCGTCAGGCGTGTATGCATGGTGAGGAGCCGATGATGACACGTACCATGAGCATCTCTGACGTGCGACGCGTCGAGACGCGCGCATATGGGTGGAAACGCTCGAGGTAGCTTTGGCGGTACGCAGGAAGGCGGGACACATCGAAATTCTGTGCCTTGCTCATGACCAGGGTGAAGGAGGGATAGGGCGGCTCAAGACGTCGCATATATTGCTCTGTAGCGAAGGAAAAGACAACCGAGGAAGCGGAACTATCAAACTATAGCAGGAAAGCAAGAGCGAGGGGAGACGAGTCAAGTAGAAGGAAGGAATGACCGGAAGACGAAGGAGATGGTGGAAGGAGAGAAGGAGGAAAGGAGATTACAGGTTCGGCTGGCCTCTTCGTTTAAAAGAAGCACAGCGGTGCGCAAAGCGCAAGAACCCAGAACGGATTCGCGCACCTCTTTCTGGCACAAATTGATACCGACTCTGCGAGGATTTCGACATTGCGCGCCGGCGCCCAGGGCACACGTTTTGCCTCGCCGCCACCAAGGCCTCCGCGGACGTTGCTCGAACCCCTGCCGCTGATCACCATACCCGCCTCGCCTTTGCTACATTCATGAATCCGTTGTCAACGATTTCGCCTCGGAGGGAGTCACAGAGACGGACAAGTCGTGCAGCCAGGCATGGCTTTGACCTGGATGGCTCACGAGGGTGAGAAGCCGTTAGTACTCTGGATGTAACTAGTCCCATCCTATCTGAGGGACTTTCTGCCTATATGATCGATCGCCGGCAGAGTGGTCGTAGCTATGACACCAACACGGGCTGATGACTCCAGGAAAAGGGACCTGAACGGCCAGATCAGTGTGTACATTCTCTCGTTACTTGGATAGGGGCCCGGAGAAGCAGGACCCATCGTACAACCCGTCCTAGCATGGTTCCATAGCCAACAACAGGAATCATGCTTTCACTCATATGCCCTTCACAAGTGCGCGATCACTTCCAGCTCATATCGGCGTGGCTGACGATCCCCTGCTGCAGGTTCATCGCCAGACAGCCGATCCACCACTGCCGGATTCGGTGGATGTCACGTCAGACGTGTCACATGTCACAAGCGCGAGCGAGTCATAGGATGAGCGCGGTGTGAACGGGTGAGTTTCTAACCACCACATCCACCATCAAGAGCTGCGCCAATGCCTACGTCTGGAGTGATGACCCATAACGAACCAGGTCTGCATCAATTCTGGTGTGCGTGCCTTCAAGAGGCGAAGCCAGTATCGAAGGGCGAGCCACAACCTTGTACAGCAGCAACCTGTGACTCTGTCTGCGTGCAAGTGCTGGCGGAGGACAAGAGGCTGACCTCAAGATGTGGGCATCAAGAGGAAGGTACACAACAGCACGAAAAAGACATGAAAATGAGGACGCACCGAAAGGTGGTTGAGCCTTCCAGCATCGCACCTGGCTCCATCCCCAGATGCGCGACGCATCCTCAATGGATTGTGTATCACAAAAGATAAGTCGTACAGCACGAGTGGTCGTCCTTGTGAATAAAAATCACGACGTCGGAGAGATCTGTATGACAGGCTGGTCGTGCGCGGCCAGTCAGTTATGCCGGTCTTGATGACGTCCAATCGGGAAAGGTGTGACTATGTCGGAAGAGACGCAAACCTTGCAAGAGGTGCGGAAACATGAAAGAGGCCTGAAGAGAGGACGATTTGGACTTCCTCCGATTTTTCCAGCCGCAAAAAACTCGAGAAGCGACCCCAGCGCACCACATGGCGAGACGGGTCAGATAGCCGTCGAGGCGGTGGTAGCAGGGTACCTAACTAAAGCACCGGAGATCCACATCTACATGCATAGCGAAGCGTTGTGGAAGGGGAGGACGAGTAGAAAGAGGCGAGGGCCCGGCGAGGTGGTCGCCGCCCCCTCGTGGCGCAACTCCGCGAGTCGGCCGGTCCGCGCGCCCCTCGCCCCTGTTGCCCCCGCCGACTCAGAGCCACCGCAGCCGTCTCACAGACGTCCCCTCAGCCTCCATTCATTTCTGCAGCTTACGACCGGCATCCTGCTATTTTCCCTCCAATCGCTCCCCAACGTTCAGGTCGCCTCAAGCCCTGCTTTATCTCCACCATCGAGCCACCGACATGGCTGCAATGCATTCCCTCACGCCTCATGCTATTTTCTTGAGGTCGAGGTCTGGACCATGATCCCATACCCTCTTGGTCCGACTTGACCGTCAATATCCCGCGCCGAAGAACTTGTGATTCCTTGAAGACTGTTTTCCGATCCCTCCGCGAAGATAAATCCTGCCTCTTGCTACTCTACCACAGTGCGGATACACCGAGAGGAAGGAGGAGCAGGACTAGCCGACATAGGATGTACTGGTCACAAAGGTCAACCTCCAGATCATAGTTCGCACCGGTGAGCTACACATCGTCTTGCGTCCCATTTCTTCCCATCCATCGGTTCCGAACGATTTTCTCAAGCTGGTCTCAACCACGATCCCCCTGCGACGGACGTAGCCTGCTGTCAACCAGTTTCGCCACTGCTTGTGGTTACATGGTCGTAGGCTTTCTCTAATATGACGTTGTGTATACCTTCGAACTATATATCGAGATATATTTGACGCATCCTGGTTTCATCGCGCTATTATCGGAAGTAGCATCACAGAATGACTCCCCACAACTGCCACAGTTACTTGAACGGAGCGTCACCCTGCGGATACAGGTGCCCTCCCGACATCCAAGAATCGAAGTCTGTCCGTAGGATGGCTTCGTAACATACAGGAATTTTCCGGACACTCAAGCCACAACCATCCAGTCTAGAACAACACAGTACGACCCAAATAGGACCCCAACAGCTTCTCCGCACTCGCTCGCTTCGGTTATGGTCCAAGGAATGAGTCTCCTCGCCGACGTCTGCTATGCAGAGTGGACAGTCCTATGCGGGGTTGCAGGACTCAATCGCTAAGATGTGAGGCTGCCCAACCTTGGAGAGACAGCGGATCCTTCCTTTCCCAGGCGAGGGGATGCTACAAGAACATGAAGACGGTTCGGGCTGCGTAGTCGGGGTTGGTAGCGCGGGAGGGTTGCAGGGCTGGATATCATCTGTGAACAATCACCTAAGGAAATTTCTGTTGGCGAATTTGCACACAAATACATATGATCGATAGGACTGCTTGTATGAGGCTGCTCATGCAGGAAGTTGGTAGGTGGACTGTCCCCGGAGGCTGAACGACCTTGAAGCATACTCCGTCAAATTCACACCAGCCACTGCTGACTATTAGGCGCCGTTTGGCAACCGGGATGGGAGTGGTTGAAATATTAGACTCACAAATATGGACCGTATCTGAGATACAAGACGTCGGGTCGTACGTAGCCGCAGTATACGGGACCAACAGAGGGCTCCCACCTTCGAATTGCCATAAGAGCCGGTAACGTGGAGCCAAATAGGGTGGTGGTTCTAATGAGCGCCCATGATCCCTTCTCAAACTGTTGGTACACTTTTTGAAACCCTGCCTGCACGCAAGTAACGGAGCCTCCTCAATGGCACATCTGACAATTCTGCGCACTTACGCCGAACGTGTCGACCCCAACACGCTCCCGCCGACCGTGAAATTATGCCACTCCGACTTCTCGGTCACGATATTCGACAAGTACCCCAAGGCCTACTTCCACTTCATCCTGATCCCCTTCATCCGCCCGCCGCTGACCGCGGCGAACCTCAAAGACATCCGGTCGCTCCTGCAGCTCCCGCGCGAGCAGGCCAAGGGCCTGCTGCGGAACATCCGGCGGGACGCGCTCGAGGCGAAGGCGCTGATCGAGGAGGAGATGGTCAAGCAGCGCGGGTTCAAGTGGGGGATACAGATGGGCTTCCACGCCGTGCCTTCGCTGGAGTACGTTCCTCTCGAGCTCAGGCACCTCCAGTGTGTGCTGTTCCTTCCGCCTCCCCCCTGGACTCCTGTCTGGACGCGGAGCGAGCGTGGCTGACTGCGCGTCCTGTGTGGCGTGCGCGTGCTTTTTTTGACGACAGGCACATACATCTGCACATCATGTCGACCGAGTTTCGCGGGGAGTACATGCGATCAAAGAAGCATTTGAATTCATTCCATCCAACGGTCGGCTTCTTCATACATCTCGACGATGTACTCTCTTGGTTCGACCCCGGCGTGGAGCCAACGTGGTTTGCCATGGTGAGCATGCTTCACTCCACTCTTCCCGCACGGCGCCTACGGCTGACGACGGTCAAGAAATCGGATATAGACAAGAAGGAATACGAGAAGCTCCTGAAGGAGGACATGACTTGCCCTGGGCACTGTGACAAGCCGTTCAAAACGATGCCCAAGCTGAGGGAACATCTGCGCGAAGTCTTTGACAGCGCCGCCAAGGCGTCCAAGGCAGCGAAGGAGGCTGCTGCCTCAGCCGATGTTCCGGTCAGTGGTGCCCCCGAAGTCGACAATACGCAAACGGACGATGCGGAGTTCGTCGTCGGCACGAAACGGAAGCATGGAGATGCTCTCGATGCGACCTCGTCGCAGGATGCTGACCCTCCACTCTCAGATGCACCGCATCCAGCCAAGAAGCAGGCGACAGGGTCCCCTTCAGAACATCTACCGCAGGACCTTTGATACCGCCCTCATTTTCTCAGAGTGTACCCGTTCCATCTCACTACCAGCCTGTTCCTTGTCGCCTGCAATGCTGTGCGATCGCTTTACCATTTCCGTCCCCCACATCTGTATAACATCAATCTCTGTCCGTGCCTGTATTCTCCATCTAGTGTCTCACGAGACATCGTACAACAACGCGTTTGCTTCAGCCAATGTCCATGTCCCGAATTTTTCTGCCCCGCAGTGCACTCCATCCTTTCAAGCAGCCGCGGCCACCGCCGCCGTGGTAGCAGCAGCTTTGTCTGCATCCAGCTTCGCCTTGCGATTGCGCTCCGCGGAGAGACGGATAGCCCAGGTCAGCTCATAAGTCTTGCATGCGTCTAAAGACCCCAGTATTAGGCATCAATTCAGTAATCGTGTCCGTAGCGAGGTACGCACCCTCGAACGAGCTCAGAATCGTAGCCGTCTCAGGGTCCTCCTCGATGTCCTCGATGTTGTCGATCAGCACAGATATCTACATAACCACTTAGGTCAGACTAAGGTCTCACAATGAGACTGAGAGGGTCTAACCTCAGAGAAGAACGGATCATCGTCAGGGAACCTGTGGCTCTCCTCGAGGTCGCTGCCCGGTCTGCGGATGTAGAGGATGGGCTGGACGTAGGGGTTCACGAGCCTAAGACGAGCTGCGTCAGCGCCTCATGCTTCTGCACTACTGCAGAAGAGCTCACTTGAGCTGGTAGCCGTCCGCGTAGACCTCCAACTCGCAGCTGTAGTCGTGGCCCTGCAGCGCGACCAGGTGGGTGAAGCTTCCAACGGCGCCACTCTCGTACTTCCTGCATAATCACGTACGTATTCAGCAATGCAACGTGTCTAGCCCACGCTGTTCCCGTACCATGTAGCTGCAGTGACACGGGGGATCCTGTTCTCGGGCGGGATCTTCGTCTCGTCGACGGTCATCTTCGAGAGCACGCCCGCGTTCTCGTCCCACTCGAGCGAGTGCGCGTTGACGGTCGACATGTCGACGTCGCCGCCGAAGTAGCGCGAGAGGTCGCAGAAGTGGGTGCCCTGCTCGATGACCGGGCCCGCGCTCTTGGACTTGTCCCACCAGTCGGGCTTCGCGATGGCCTCGTACGCGCACGCGTAGCGCGCGATGGTCGCCATGACCGTCAGGTTGTTCTCGATGATGATCTGCTTCATCATCTGCACCGCGCGGAGGTAGCGGAGCATGTAGCCGACGGAGCACAGCGTGCCGCTCTCGTTGATCGCCTTCGCGACCGCGAACGCCTCGGGGAGCTCGCTCGCGGGGCCGGTCGCGGCGGGCTTCTCGATGAACATCGCGACGCCGGGGAAGTACTTCATGATCTGCGTCTCGATGTCGCGCCCGGGCTGGAGGGTGCCGCGGAACATGGGCGGGGAGCCGACGATGACCGCGCGCGGGGCGTCCTTCGGGGACATGTTCCGGACGAAGTCCTCGAGCGTCTTGAACACGCGCGTGTTCTCGTACGCGGAGCGCACGAACGTCTCGCATTTCTTCTGGAGCACGGCCGTGGCGCGCTCGACGGCGGGGTCGATGAGGGCGACGACCTTGAGACGCGGGCCAAGCTTGCTGCACGCCCGTGAGGATGCGTAGCTCGAGCACGAGGATGGAACGGAAGGGAGCTCACTGTTCGAAGCGGAAGGAATGGTTCCACGGGCCCTCGTCCGACCCTGGCGATGACGGACATGGCGTTAGTCCAGACTGCGTGATCTACGACTGCCCTTGCGGGCACTCACCGAACATGATGTTCCCCGCGCCGACGAAGACGACGTTGAAATCGGAGGTACCACCGATGTGGGACGCCCTGTCGATATTTATTCTACATCAAGAGCTGACCGAAGATGTCTGAGACATGCACACTCACTTGTCCATGGGGATCAGCCTGGAGGGGTCGATGGAGGGCCTGCGCGAGGACGTGCCCGACTGCCTCCTCGAGATGGGCGAGTCGAGCACGGACGGGCGGCGATTGAAGTGGGGGGCTCCAAGCTCAGATGGACGGCGCGACATGGTGGTAGTGGTGGTTTGGGGGGACGTGGGGGATGAGGATGGTGGGGGTTGGCGGATGAGGGAGATAAGATGAGGGCAGATATATGCACGCGAAGGAGGAGAGGAGGGACGGGGTAGAGAACGCGGTCGATATATCAGGCGCGGTCCTGGCAGCGTTTGGGGCCGTGGAGCATGCGCAGAAGCATGGTCTCGATGCCCCGTGAGCGAACCGCGTCCTCTGTCGATTCGCCGTGCTTGCGGTTGCCTCTAGAACGAGCAGGCTCCAGCCGCGTCCGCGTTATCCTCCATCGATTGTCCCTCGCCCGTCCCAGAGAGTGATGAGCTTATGGCCAACGGCACGCTTCGGATCCCCTTCCGATACGCAAAGCCTAATCTAGCCCGCCAAATCGACAATGTGAACGCCCCGACGGAGCAACAGCCGCCGCTCGCGCGCGGCATCCTGGTATCATCATCCATACAAGTACACAAATCATCATCGCGCAGCCCCTACGCGCGCGCATGCAGCTCGCCAGTCTCAGATGCTCCGTCCGACAAATGTTGTTCCATCCCGCCTATCCCCTTCAGTCAATCGCCAGCCAACCTGAGAGCGCACCCTTCCGCCTGAGCTGACGTCCGCTCCGCCAAATCCCAAGGCGCGACGCATCAGTGCGCGCCCCCCGCGCCCTCCGCCGACCGTCGCGCCTCCAGGTCCTTCTGCCTGCGCTCCGCCGCCTCCAGCCGCTCCGTCATCGCGCGCAGCTCCGCCTTCAGCTTCTCGTTCTGCTCCGCCAGCTTCATCACGTTGCTCGCCCGCTTCTGGACGCGCTCCGTCCTGCAATGACCATGAGCGAGCCGTGACGATGACACCCGTCTCGTGCACAAGCGCCCATGGCTATACGCGACCGCGACAGATACAGATCGCGGGGGATAGCGCGAGGGGGGGGGGGGCGAGGGAGGGGAGAGACGTACTCGTGTGCGTCTTCGGGGGGATCGGGCCCCTTCAGGATCGAGTTGAACGTCATCGTCAGGTCGAGGTTCGCCTCCGGGAGCTCCAGGTCCAGTCGCTGGGGCTCCGTCGGCAGCCGCTCGTGGGCGTACTCGTTCAGGAAGTCGTCGTCGTCGTCGTCGTCGCCCTCGTCGTAGTAGTGGTGCTCCTCGTTCGACTGGCCGGTGCCGGCTCGATTGTGCAGCGCGCCAGAGCCGGACGAGGCTTCTTTCCTGTGTGTGGCAGCAGATGCGCGAAGCAGCAGCGGTCAGCCAGGGCCCAGGAGCCGTCTAGGCGCGTTGGGCGCGTCGATCGCAACGGCGGGGACGCACCCGTGCTGTACGTATTCTGCGTCTCGACCGCCTGCGGCACTCATCGCTGGCAATCTGAGTTGGACAGACGTGGGCGAGGGCGGGAGAGTGTACAGAGACAGAGGCGGACAAAGGTGAGGGTGGAGTGAGAGTGTGTTGGACGCCTAAGCGAGTGTCGATGGGCGACGCGATGAGATTCCATGGCATCAGCCTCCCTCAGCTGCCAGGTGCCTTGGCCGGCCGGCGGCGCCCTCAGTTAGCAAGGTTTCTATTCCAGTCGGTGTCTCGCTAGCAACTCGATTCCATCGACAACAACCTTCTTCCCCGTTCGAACGATCGATTTCACCAGTCGCAGCATGCCAAGGCGAGGGAATGAAGATTCATTATGTACTCAGTACAGCGACGGATCAGAAAATATGGACATGAGATCGCGAGACGTGCCACGGCTACATATGGTCATGATCATGGTGGAACTACAGACGACAGCGAAGACAGCGAGCAGGGCAGGGACTGTCCCAGTGCGAAAACAGTAAAGTACTCCGGTCGTAAGTGGGTGATTAGCGACGGGGCGGAAGGGAAGGGGATCGTAAAGTGAAGTGAGCACGAACGGCGATGGATGATACGAGACATTGAGGAGCCGTAATACAGCGCACCTGCGCGCGGGATACACACTAATTGAGTGATAAGACTACGTGGGACGGTACCAGTGAAGCAGCACAAACATGCAGAAGCCAACGAGAAAAACACTATGTGCAATAAATGGAAGTAATGCGACGTAGACAGGTATCGAACATGAAGGAGCAGGGATATCGGAAGGGCCGGGAACATGTATGGAAAGATTCGCAAGCTAGCGAGAAAGGCAACGACAAAAACGGGGAAAGGGGGGCCATAGAGCACCCTACGTCACCTCGAGCACAGAGGTCTCCAAGATCCGGAAGATCGTCTGATCCTTTGACATCTCAGACCAGCCAACGAGTTCGCGCCAGTTCATCGCGTTTGCCTCCTTCTCGCCCGCACCAGAGAAGAGACCTAGCTCGTCGTCGGTGACGCCGCGGAACATCAGGAACAGTCGCGTGAACACGCAGTTCTCAACGGTAACGGAGATGTCTATCGCGGCGGCGATCTTGCTCGGGGGCATGAATCGATAGGCGATGTTGCGATGCGCGGAGAAGGCGGCCAAATTGTTGCTGTGGAGTGATCAAGTCAGACGATGCAAACAGGAGAAGAAATAGATTCTCTCACTTGATGAAGGTTGTGCGGGCGAAGAGCGACATTCCTAGCTGGTCCAGAACACGCATAAGATGCGGGACGAAGTCGCGGAAGGACATCGCGAACCCATTTCGGGGCGCGATAAACTCGTGCGGATCGAGCATGCCGGGCTCCGGGCTGGTGTAGGCAAACGAGTCAGGGGATGTCGTAAATTACAGGCGCAGATCACTCACATTGCCTCATAGTACAGCGATGTTGCCGTCATTTCGGTCTCGAAGTGCTCGACGGCACCGCCGGGATGCACCCGAAGGAACCACTTCACCCTGTTCGGGTTATCCGGCACGGACTCCGCTGGGGGCCAGCTCACACCCATCTTCCAGAGCGGGGAGAAGGATAGGATGACGTCTGCATACTGCTGCGAGGGCGCAAGGATGCTCAGGTGGCACTTGGCCGTCGCCGGCTTCGCGGCCACGGCGAGCTTGTTGATGACGCGCGAGTCGACGATGAGGTCGGTCGAGACGTTCTCGGTGTTCTGGATGCGCGTGCCGGAGAACTCCATCTTGTGCACATCCCCGTCGTGCACTATGTCGAGTTTCCCCCAGAAGGAGCCGTCCACCGTCGTCCCGTCCTCCATTCTTGCCATGTCCAGCTCGTCAGACGTGATCGTGGTGTCCAGCGCCACGTGCTGTCCCGGCGCGAGCTCTAGGGCGAACGTGCCGGGCATCTCCAACACAGGCGGCGGTCTGTGGGACTGTGAGCAAATGCATGATCCTTGTCATGGGAAGAAACCTACGGAGGTGGACTGCGAATGGAAAGCAGGTCAGCACATGTTTGATCATCGAGCGCCACATTACTCACGGAGGCTCATCCGGAGGGGGTGGAGAGTCACAAACAATCTCCACTCGCAATCCTTGCACTCCTGCGATAGCAATTTGATACGAGTCCTCGCTGGTGAGCTGTGTACGCAGTGAGCGCCTTGACAGTGAGGGGCGGAACGTTGTGGCAGGCGTACATAGATATAAGGACCCGATACTAATCGCTAGAAGACGCCAGTACTCAGCAAGTCGCCAATGTTTATGAGGATAGAACACATACCGCTGCATGCAAGGAAGCATACTCGATGGGGACTCGCAAATGGAGTGGCATGTCGGGAGGTGGCTTGATCCATTCTCGTGCAAGGCCTTCCAGTTCCTGTGTCGCGAAGGGTATGATTACGGCGCAGCGGGCAGGAAGCACTGATCTACAAAACACACCATGATCGAGTTAGGGAGCTGACGAGCTACGGTGAGTGGTACGAATTGGAGGGAGATGTGAAGCAATGCTCACCATTCGTACTGTCTCCATATCGTCGAAAACGAGCGTGAGCAGACGCTGCCGCGAGAGGGCAAGCTGAGCTTGCCGCTGCTCACGCAGCTCTGCCTCCTTGTTGCTTTTCGGAGTCTTGAACCTGTTCCAGAAGCCCTGCGAGGTGGGGAGGCTCGCGTTAGAGGTGCTATCGGACCTCTCGCGATTAGATCATACCGCCGAATGAGATATGATGGAGCGATACTCACGCGGGAGAGAGCAACATCTTGCCAAAGGGGAGGAGGGGGAAAGGGAGAGAGGTATGAAAGGGAGGTGTATGTGGAAGAGATGACGAGCGGGATTAATATGGACTAGAGGGAGTCAGAGAAGGCGACAAGGATGGGACGGGGGAACACGAGGCGGCGCCAACACGAGGCAGCAAAGATTGAACACAGAATAAAAGACGACGTTTGTAGAAATGATGGTTCAGATTAGTAACAGCGATGGTGATAGATAGTCCGAGGCTGTAGCTCTTCTCCACCTCGCCCTTGACCCAGCCTGCGCAAAACCGGCGTTGAAGGCTTCAGCGTCGTCGCAGACGTCGAGCTACACAGACAGGGCAAGCGCCTTGGACGTCCACCGTCTATCGCGATCAGGCGAGCGCTGCTATCGGCAATCCCACGTGTCCCCACTGGTTCCGATTCCCCGAGAACTCGCGGGAAGGTTCTCTCCTCTACGTAGTTTGAACACTCCATTCGTCCGGTTTGGCGTGTATGAACGACGCACGGCCCATGAAGACCGCGAGCGAGTGCGAAGAAAAGTGAGCGCCTACATTCCTACCAATTCAGGACATCATACTGAACGCCTGCCAGCGTTTGGTGCAGCGAAGTGACAGTCAAGGACAATACGGTGCGGGGGCATAGAGGGTCGAAAGAAGGCACGTCCACTACAAGTTTCTCGTTGTACTGTGGTCGTTGACCGATCACTCTTGACTCGCATCCGGTGCATGGTAAGTACAGTTTGGTGTTTCTTTTGTTCAACTACTGACGAGAGAGGCAAAATGAATGACACATAGCTTCATCACCGGATCTCTCCCACATAAGGTATCTCAACAACATCTCGATCCTGATCCTGGTCTTGATGTTGTACCAATATACGAGCGCCGACGGGGCGCCGCTATCTTCTCTGGACTTAGAACAGAAGTGTCCCCAATTGGGCGTATCCCCGGGCGGCGATATGGAATAAGTCGCATATATAAGTAGGGGTGACTGTTACCTCGCTTGGCAATCATCCCCCTCACTTCAGCTCCCCTGTAAGTCTCGCAGTACTCATATCCTTTTTGGACGCGCTGACAACATGCTAGTAGTCACCACCATGGCTCCTGTCACAGAAGGATTCATTCCGTTCAGCTACCAGGGCGAGACGTATCAGACTTACTACAAGGTCTTCGGCGATCTCGCGAATCGCAGTAACCCTCCCCTCATCGTCTTGCACGGCGGTCCGGGGCTCTCCCATGACTACCTATTGCCTCTCTCCGACCTTGCCGAGACGGGCATCCCCGTCATCCTCTACGACCAAGTCGGCAATGCGCGTTCCACTCACTTGCCCACCAAACCCCGCGAGTTCTGGACCATCGACCTCTTCATCGATGAGCTCGAGAACGTCCTGAACTTCTTCAACGTACACGACGCCTTCCATCTCCTGGGGCATTCGTGGGGTGGAATCGTGGCGGCGGAGTTCGAGGTCCGCAGACAACCTGCCGGGTTGAAGAGACTCGTCCTCACGAACTCGCTTGCCTCAGCGAGCTTGTGGGGCCAGTCGAACGTGATGCTCGTCCAGACATTCCCCAAAGAAGTACAGGAGGGACTCTTGGGAGGCATGAAGGACCTCAAGGCGTACCAGTCCGCGCTGAAGGAGTTCCACGCACACTACGGATGCACGGTCAAACCTTTCCCTGCGGAGATGGAGTACTCTCTGAATCGGGTCTTCGGGGATGATGGTGACCCTACGGTCGCAAGTGCTGGGTACGTTTACCTTCATTTGTTTTGCCTTCAACGAAAATGACGGGTATCTAGGATCTTGGACGACTGGACGATCATCGAACGTCTGCACCTTGTACGGGTACCCACGTTCGTTATCAACGGACGAAAGGATATTGCGCAGGACTTTGTCGTAGCACCGTTCTTCCACCGAATCCCTCAGGTGAAATGGGTCACGTTCGAGCAGTCAAGCCATACACCGTTTTGGGAGGAACGCGAGCACTACAACAAGGTTGTCGGGGAGTTCTTGAAGTCGGAAATGTGATCAATTGCATGCAGTAGTTGGAAAGGGCACAGTTATTTATACACCCGTATTTAATCCTGTTCGAACAATGTATTGACGGAATTTCGCGATGCTCTTCCACCCCTCCAATAGATGTATGGTCGGCTGAGAGTCTGTTGATGATCTCATAGGAAGGGCGCCTAGTGCACGCGACGTCCGACCCGTTCCGTCACCGTGATTTCTTCTCGTACTCTGTCCACCATGCACCGCGCTGCCCTCCGCGTCCCCCTTCGACAGGCTATCGCGTCCCAGAGACGAAGCTTCGTCTCCACAGTCCTCCTGACGAAAGCATGGGAGAATGAAACTGTGGCCGAGCTCAGGAAGGAGGCCAGGAAGCGCGGGCTCTCTTCGTAGGTCGCGCTCTTCTGTCTACACGCGCATGTCCCTGACAATCATCTCCTGCACGAAGCACCGGAAACAAGGCCAATCTGATTACGCGCCTGCAAGAGGATGAGAAGAAGAAAGCGTTCACGACCGCGCCCACCTCTGTCGCACCTCAGAGCCGCGCCGCTTCCACCTCTTCTGCCCCTTCCTCAACGCCTGGTACGGAGTCCGCCACTGAGGTTCCTGGTATTCCTTCCACCGCCGAGCCCACGTATCCCAAATTCAACTTGGACACCAAGCTCCCTGACATCTCTCAGGATGATCCTGAGCCCCCGGTTGCAATTGTGCGCATCTTGACCTGACTTGTCCTTGCGTGCAAGCCCTCTGACCCGCGCCCACGTGCTAGCCGTTCGTCCCCGACCTCTGGAATTCTTCTAAGCTGAAGCACGAGTCTGCGCCCCCTACAGCCCCGCCGTCGACCGCTCCTAAGCTTGTCGTCATTGGAGGCGAGGCAACCCACTCCGGTAGCAACGTCTACACCGCCAGCAGCTCCCCTTCACCTGACTCCGTCCTGTCGGTGCCCCGTCCTCAGCCTAAGTCGAACGTAGGCAAGCTCTTCGCGGACATGGCGGACGACTTGGGGCTCCCGACAACCTTGAAACTGCCTTCTTCCGATCATGCACACTTTGACGCAGCGGCGAAGACCGAGACGTCTGGCGGGCAGGAGAAGAGCTACTCCCGCAAACTCGATGGGGAGGAGAAGACGGGCGTGTATGTGTTGCTCGGTGTCTTCGCCGCGTCTTTGGTTGCAGGAGGCGTGTTCGCGCCTGTGTCGGAGTGGGCCCACAAGGTAGAGGTGAAGACCCAGGAGAAGACGGTGGGCAAGAAGGCGTAGATCGCCGTCAACTGCATCTCTGGGACCGGATGGACTCAACATATAGATACTACATACCGCATCGCTATCTACAATGTATCCGATCCCATTCTCTAATGACAACCCGTCATGCACTGTACTTCGTCTTGTCCCAGGCTGCGTGCGCCTCGAGCGCGCCAGCTGAAATGCGACCCTTTCCGCACGTGATAGCAGTTGCACATTCCTCTCGAGGACCGCCATGCTCAGGCTTTCTCGAGCATCCTCATATGTCTCTATAAAGCTCTCGGTTCGGACATTCCATGCGTCGATAGCCCGCCAGCATCTGGTCGGTCCTCCGGACCCCGTCTCTCACCTCCGCCCTGTCATATACGATGACGTGCCTCCACCTCCCCCGCAAAGCCGGCACCCCTACTCGCTCAAGGAGTTCACAGGCGATACGCGGGAGTACCAGTGGAAGATGCAGAGACAGGAGCTCGACGCGTTCAACCACGATTTCTGGAAGGAGGTGCGTCGTTGCCCGTATTGTCTTTCCGTACAGCTCGCTGAGGTTTGTGTGTGTGTTAAAAGTGCAACACTCGCTTCTACGCCGCCAAGGAAGCAGTCCTGCAGAGCCTTCCAGAAGGCACCACCCAAGAGCAGCGCGAGGTCGCGCTCTCTGACTTCTATGGCCGGTGGGTCGCGCAGGAGAGCAAGCGGCTGGACGAGTATGGGGAGGAGTGGAGGCGGCGGAATTGGGCGACGATTCTCTTGGAGGCACGCGTCTACTACGAAAAGCTCGTGTCTCGTATCATGCATCCATTCAGGTGAACACAGTACCTGCCAGTGCTTCGGCCGATATCCCATTTCTCGGCTGCATTCATCCCCGGGCGTGCCCCAAGCAATACCTGGAGATGCAAGAAACGAGATACATTTTGGATAGCACGACAACAAACGTCCAGAAAGCGTAAAATATGCATCAAATTCATGGGCTGTCTGGAAGGCCAAGATCTTGGTTCGCAATCTGCTCGACGCTTCTGTAGATGTCCATCAAGTCGAGGTCCTGCAACGCCCGGCTGTCCCTCTCGTAGTCACGCTCGATGGCGAGGATCTCCTCCGGAGACATGCTCGGCAACCGCAGCTCGATCTCTTCCTGAGGCGGGATGTCTAGTGCCTCCTCCGGTGTGAGCTTGTAGCCTTGTGGGCGGTCCTTTTTGTGCGCGACGGCCTGCAACGCGGCGTAAAGCGCTGTACTACGGAGTCGCTCGTTCAGCTCTTGATCCGTTACACCGGCGGTCTGGCGGATCATGTTCCAACTGCGTTACAGGCGTTAAACAAAGATGCGCTGCGCTGTGGCGAAGGATGTGCGACATACTCATCATGTAACAAGATCCGTCGCCAGACGTTTCTGAACGCGTTCAGCCTCCGCCCGCTGGGAATGGTCTGTGACAAAGGGAATAGGCAGATTAGAGTCGAAACTTCAGCGCAATGTACTTGCCGACATACCTCCGCGCGAGCTAAGAGATGTAGCGCAGTGACATAATCCCCTACGTACTCGTAGTTGTCTTTCAGAGTGAGGACGTCGGCCATATCCTCAACAGACAGTGCTTTGCCTTGCAGCAGCAAGCGAACAAGGTGCTTGAATACCTGTTATTCATGTTAAATCAGCACACTCATGCGGGTGCAAGATGGGTCTCACGTTATAGAACGCTCGACGATTGCCAAGGTTCATCGCCTTTTGCTGGGCAATGGTCTCTACCTGCATCTCTAGCGACTGCCGCTGCCGCACGGATGCAAGGGCCTTCTTCAAATCCTCGGTCACCGTCTCGTGTACGCTCACAAAATCCAACCCATCATGGAAAGCTATTTCATGGCGAACATATTAGCGTGTTTGACTCGGTTTGGAGGAGGCACACACCATCCAAGACATCCTGGCTGATGGAAGTCTGGCCTTCGTGCAACTGTGCGAGATGCGAGAGCTTCCCCATGCTGAGCATGAGCTGGGTAGAGTAAGCCCTCATTTCCACATCATGCGACGATTCTACGCACTTGTTTTGAGGCGATCTCCGGAGCGTGTTCTGCCTCCGACAGCAAGGCCTGGGATGCAAGCGCAAAACGACCACGCCCGAGGTCATGCAACCAGGAGATACCAGGATGGGGATGTTCGGCGAAGAATAGATCCATATATTCGATATGGTCTTGCTGTGCGAACAGGGTGCGCAGCTCGCCGTGCTCGATGTACCAGTGGTAGAGCTCCGTCGTGAACGCCTCCTTGAATTTCTCGATGTATGCTTCTATCCGCGCCGCGTTGGGGTTCTCTTGTGGAGGGTAAACCTTGCCCTTGTGGCACAGAGACGCGAGGCTCCGGAAATCGTGGTAGTCTTCCGCCAACTTGAATGCCTCGTTGGCGAATTCGTTCCTTCCTAATCGCCCCCAGTCAGCTCACGATAGGCCACGAGTAGTGCACTAGACCTACTCAGCGTCTCCAGAACCTCAGGGCGAAGCTGACGGAACTGCTCCTTGAGCTCTGAGCGTTCCCTCTCCACTCCCGACTGTTCTGCAGCACTGGGGCTGTCCAGCCAATCCAGTCGTTCTTGAACGCATCGGAAGAGAGTCGACGCTAGATCGGACAGCTGAGATCTTGGTAACCTCTTGGTGCTTGCGGCCTCTGCATCACCAGCTCCCGCCTCTACAAGCTGGGTCGTAAGAAGGAACAGCTCGTTGACGAGGTCAATGACGTTTGGCTGGCTCGTCCATGGGTCGATCATGGGTTCGTTGACCCCGATGCCGTACACACCCAAGTTGAACTGCCTGTAGTTATGTGCACATTGAAGGATCGTCTATTTACAAAGGGATAGTCCTTAGTAGAAATCGGGGTGACAATATATAGACCGTAAGACATACCAGAACGATTTGATTCGCTTGATCAATGACCTCAGCGGAGTTCCCGTTCAGGGTCGACGACGCACGATGAACCAGTTCGTCAACATGGGGGAGAAGACTGCCGAGGTCCCGTACACGGAGTCTGAGAAACGCGCGGAGGGAATCCTCATGATGACCTTCGCCAATAGAGCTCATGTAGTGATATACAGCATCATAGAGGAGATCACGAGCATGTCCAGACCTTCCCCGCGGAGCTCAGTACATGTCGCCGTCACTGAAGAGTGCTCGTGAACTGACCTGCGTATCTCGTTATGGCGTTGCCAAAGCTGATGGGCCGCGTAGAGCTTCTCCGCATCCGTGGCCAGCGTTTGACGACTCCGTTGAGACATCTGCATGTGCGTGAGTGAGGCGCCATTGTACCACTACTGTAGGTAGAACGCACCTTCGTCAACGCTGAATTGTCGTTGATGAATTTAATCAGGAAGCTTAGACGTTCCTTACGGCCGGTCATTTGAGAGTTGAGGTCATGGTGGACGCGCACAACCTCGGGATCTGAAGTCGACACGTTCAGCATCGAGTGAGTTCACATTCTTAGGATGCGAACGTACCCGATTCGAGAACAGCTTCACTCAGTTGTTCAGCGCCGGTCATGAGTGCCTCTTCGTCGATCTCAGGAGGGAAGCTGAAGTGCAAAGGATTCTAGAGTAACTATGAGCAGCGAATTCACCTTGCTCGGGCTGTTCGTCTACTCACTTCTGGCAATGAACCGTACAGGATCGCCTTCGTCATGGTCGACTTGATCAAAGTGGCACGACCAGTTCTGCACGGACATCAGTGGAGCAGTCCATACCGGGCATTCGTGATCAACGTACTCAGGATGGAACCGCGCGACCTCGTCGAGGTCGATCTCTGTTTTCATCATGGTCGCAGCAGTGAGGACCAGCAACGAGCTCTCTCTCTCGATGACACCGACGCCCAATGTACGATCACTGGTCGATTTAAGCTCTAGTCGATCCATATAGTCGTTCTCTGTTGAGTATCGTAATCGTGTGAGTGAGCATCAAGAATCGAGTCTCTTTGTTCCTACCTTGTGAGCATATCGTCACCGCGTCCCCGAACTGTACTGCAACGAGCTTCGCTGGAACAACAGTCTGCAACCTGGGGTGCATGGGTGCGCCAGAGCTGGATGTCTAGACACGGATCAACAGAAGTCCAAGACGTTGTCCTGCATAACTTACGCTCTGGTATGGGACTGCTTGCACTTTCAGAACATGGAAGGCCCCAGGTAGATGCCTGATGGAGAGGATGGCATAGATGCGGCGAGGATGCGCTACTACCTCCATGGAGATGTCGTCGTCCTGGCCAGCGAAGGAAACGAGCAGAACCATGTCGTTGGTCCTGTGCACAGTAGCATCTAATTAGTAGAATTTCGAAGTTGCCAATGGCCGCATAGCACTGACCCCTGCATCTTCAAATCGAGGAGTTCAAGGTCCAGGTCGATATCCTCTGGCGGAGCGTAGGGGAATTGCTTCCGAATCGCTTCCCGTGTCTGGTCACCAACGTCCTCCTCCATCAACAATTCTTCCCAACCTTCAATAGACATGTTCCATTGTTGCAGCCTAGTATCAACAAGGGTCCATAGTACGCGTCCAGTGGCACCACGAGCAAGATCACAGACGGCGACCGCATTGATGTTGCCAGGCTGTGGCTGCAGCTCCTGGACAGACCAGAAACCCGGGAGGAGACGGGTCAAGGACAGGGAAGAAGATGGCCGGCTGAAGACATGGTGGGATAAGTGGTACTTCCCGCCGGACGAGGTTACTAGTAGTCGGAATAGTCGGCCTATAGAGGTTGAAAGAATGAACGTCAGCGCCTGTATGCAAGGCAAAATATTCAGCATGGCCGGATGCGGAGGATAACTACAGCACTTACGTCCGCGCGGGCGAGACTTGTCACATTCTCCCCCGTCTGTAACCCCAAAAGCAAGAACGTATAGTTGTCGCCTCCCGCCAGGCCCATTGCGATGCTATCCCAGAATTTCACCTGTCCAATGTTCGAACTAATGATGAGTCCTGGTTCGCGTTGTGCGCCGAACGGGACGAGGGCGTGAAATGGCGTGGTCATCGGTGGAGGAGAGACATCGAGCGGACAACTGAAGATGTAGCATGTCGGGGTCCCCGTCAAAGCCTGAGTAGCGACGGTCAATTCATGCCTTCTCAAGCAAGCTTTTCAACATACCTGACTATACTTCCACACGAAACATGTGGTCAAAGAAGCAACTACCGCGAAACCGGTTACGGGATCTACATCCCCTGTATACCCCTCCCTGAAGAAGTCTACAAACAGCTCGGACGCCCAGCTCTAAGTGAGAACGAGAGGTTCCCCACGCACCTGCATTGCGAAGGGCCTGCTTAACCTCCAGAGGCAAATGCGCGTAGAACGTTACCGTCATCTCCCTCGATTTCGAGAATACGGTTTCCGTCCGCGGTCCCCGCTCATATATCTCGGAACCCTCCTCGTCCACATCCATCCCGGATCCAGAAAACACAGAGTCATCGTCTCTGACAGGAGCTAGGACACCACCGCGTCGCGCTGGGGTGGACAATCGCGACTGTGGCTGGTTACTTCCGGCGCGGGTTCGCTTGCTCAGACCTTGCCGCGGAGGCGAAGGAGACATTCCGATGGACGAGTAGCGCGCCGTGCGTCGCGGGACGGGAGAGAAGGTGGCCATGGTCGGTGTACGCGCGCGCCACCGGCGACGACGAGAGAGGATGAGTACAGAGAACAAGAGCGCACCCTGAGCGCGTCACGGTCTGGCTGCGAAACGCGTCCTACTTGTGGCTCGAACCGCGCCCGGCGAATGCCGTACATCCCTCTCTCGCACTCTCACTACTCCTGTGTCATGCTCGGCGTTGAAGGCTACGGCAGCGACAGCGATGCCGGAAGCGACAACGAGTCTGTCCCGCAGGTTCCATTGAACTCCAAGGGCTCGTCTCTGACCAGCCAGCCCTCTACATACGCCAAGAAGTCGACCTTCTCCCTCCCTCCACCTGTTGGTGCTGCCTCTTCGTCAAAGCCATCCTCTGGGCTCGCGCTACCTCCACCGAAAACCAAGAAGGTCAAGAAGATTGCTATTGGTCTTCCTAGCCTACCAAAGGACGGCGACGAAGACAACTCTGATTATGACGATCGTCCCGCTGCGAAGAAGCCTCGACTAGAATTTGGGGCAGGTGCATCTGCATTGTTGTCCATGCTTCCCTCTCCGAAGAACAAGGCTCCTGTGCTAGCTGCACCTGAGCGAGTGCTTGGAGGGGGTCGGGGCCCTGGTCTCGTGTTCAAGACAGCTCCGAGCCAATCCGCTCGTACGACCACAGTGGAGGACGCGGCCGAAGACGCGGAGGATGATGCGGAGCAAGCCGACCCTCTAGACTCTTCATATTCGGCGTTACTCGAGGAGAGAAAGGAGGAGGATAAGCCGTCACTTGCTTTCATGCCCACTTCGGTGAAACGAGGAAAGGCGAATATCTCTGTCGAGGAGAAGCATTCTGCACCGATCTCGCGGCCAGCTGTATCATCAGCCCCTGCGGTAGACTTCTTTTCCCTCGGTATGTAACCAGCATTCGCCTCTTTGTGAGTGTATCTCATACCAAGGGAACAGGGTCCTCATCCCAAGCAAGCTCCTCCAAACCCGCCATCTCTACCGCGCCACCAGTGTCTTCCTCCGCAGCCCTACCTTCCTTCACTGCCGCACCTGCCGTTCAAGACTTCCAACCCCCAGAGCCCACACCTGAGGACCCTTATCCCGGATACTACATGCTTCCTTCCGGCCAGTGGGCTGCCCATGACCCCGCGTACTATAAGAAGTTCTACGACAAATGGAAAAAGGAGTACGATGCACACGTCAGGGCGCTGGAGAAGGGCAAAATCAAGGGTTTCGAGGGCGCAGAGGAGCAAGCGGAGGAAGTGAATGCCCTCAAGGAGATGGAGAGGGCGAAGAAAGAGATCCAGGAAAGAGAGGAGCGGAAAGCACTCACCACTGCTGCTGCTGACGTACCTGCGGCTCCAAAGATGAACATAAAGGTGCGTTGTTATTTACGGACTTTGCGCCGTCGTACTGAATTCTATTAGGGTGCAGCATTGGGAGGGAGAGCACGTTCGAGGCATCAGCTCTCAACCCTACTCACGGAGGCGTACCAGAACCGAGAGGACTTGGAGGAGAAAATCGCTCAGGGCAGACGAAATCGCAAGGAAGCGGGTAACAAGTATGGTGAGCTCATTGCGTCTCGTTTACATTCGACCCCCTCCTCATGGTCTTACCCGAAAGGTTTCTAGACCTCGTTTCACTAGCGTCGCTCGCATTCTCACCTGCTTGTATATATTCTCCCGTCATCATATCGATGGTACATCCCTCAATCCAAGCGATATATTCCGGACAGCATGCAACATATTAGAACAGGCCTATATAATACAAGTGTAGGAAATGTCTCAGATAACGCAAGGTCCCGTAAACCATGGCCTACTTCTGGCTCGATGAGTACTCTGTAAACGTATGGCAAGTTAGTATAAAGCCCTCTTCGAACTCAGTCCATGGCACGCATACGCACTGGTTACAGACTTCGTGCCTTCAGAGATGGCATGCTTGGCCAGCTCACCCGGAAGGATGAGACGGACAGCTGTCTGAATCTCGCGGGACGAGATTGTCGACTTCTTCGAGTATGAGGAGAGCTCTGTTGACAGTGTTGAGTCATGAAGCCTCGAGTCCAGTGACAGTAGACTTACTAGAAGCCTCCGTCGCAATACGCTCGAAGATATCGTTTACGAAGGAGTTCAGGATGGCCATCGCCTTGTTCGAAATACCCGTGTCCGGGTGGACCTGCTTGAGCACTAACAAACGCAAATGCGAGGGGTCAACCTTTGAGACCTAACCACAAGGCATGCCACGTACCCTTATAGACGTAGGTGCTCCAGGTCTCCTTACGGGTCTTCTTGCGCTTCTTCTTCTCCCCGTCAGGGCCGGCCGACGCGGTGGACTTGGACGCGGCAGTCTTCTTGACCTTGGACTCAGCCTTGACAGGTGCCTTCTGCGCCGTGGTGGACGCGGGGGCCTTAGATGCGGAGGAAGCAGGCTGCAGAACGCGTGTCTAAGTGACAGATCCCTCGATTGTGGTTGCAGCACCGCGGCATACCTTGGGAGCCATTTGGAATAGTCTACAACCTCGAATTAGTATACATCCTCCATTACCCATGCTTCATAGCTCAGTACACACCTTGGACGAGAAGTGGGAGAGGGTGGCGAGGTGATGGAGAGAGGGAAAGAGTGCTGAGCGCACAATTGTCTCGCATCGAGGACTTTATGGAGTGTCAACAGGGTCACGTGCCAGACGCGTCTGTTGATCGCCGCACCTGCATATCGCGTTGGCGCCCGTCGCGTCGCGTCGCGCTGGTGGCTGGCGCTGATCTTGATCACGGCTCATGGGGCTCCGTTGTCCGAGTCCATGTATGTCCTTGTCTTTGTACTTACACTAGTGCCCTGCCTCGGAGATCACCTCGACCATTGTCTCCCTTTTTTCCGCTCGGATGGGGTCATCAATAATAATCTGATGAGAGGTTGTTCCAAGGAGGAGCAAGTGATGGTACTACCGGCTCGCGGTGGTTGGGAGCTACGTCATGATCAGGACTCGGACGCTCTGGTATAGCGCGCTTCTCTCCTCCGACGTGACCACATCATATCGTTGCAGAGCCGCACGTTCGAGTCACTTGCAGTTGAGATTTTGTCCTTTGTACGGTAAGTCCCATCGAGCGGTTGAAAGAAGTGCGATTCTGACAATGGGTTGCTTGCATGTCGCGCTCGCAGAATGGCCATGTGAGCAACCCTCAACACACACTACAACCTGCAACATGGTCCAGGATGGTAGATTCCATTTGAATGTACCATAGTCATCAGCTGGTCATACATCAGTTAAGGTAATCTTTCCGGTCATCCCAACCACCAGGCGACCCGTCTCTAATTCCTCCGCCTCCGCCCAGACCCGTATCGTTTCTTCGCTTTCTCGTGCGCCGTGAATGCTGATTCGCCGATTCACTGGAATCGGATTCACAGCACGATACTCAAATGTCTTGAAGGCTCTGCCAGGGATTTTCAGCGCAGTCACATCCAGCAGCATCAACGCGGTCAATGGGCCGTGAACAAGCCTCTCTGCAAGCAATGAGTCGATAGCAGACAGACAACCACCAGCTAACAGGCATACCCGGATACCCTTCGGACTTCTGCGCATACTCCCTGTCAAGGTGGATGTAGTGCCCGTTGAAGGTGAGTGCTGAGAACCGGAAGAGCGTCGTCGGCGTGGGCAAGCACTCGAACGTGAAGTCCGGCTTCGGCAGATCCTTCACTGCAAACGCACACACGGGATGTCAGCCGCGCGAACCTCTCGGGACGTTCTCGTCGTTCTGCCGTCGGGTCGCTAAATGCTCACCCTCCTTCGCGGCCCGCCCGCTGCCCGCCGTCGCCAGGTACACATGCGACCGTTCCTCTTCGACGCATACATCGCCCGTGCCCTGTTTCCGGTACTCTAGCTTCTGCTTCACGAACACCATGGGCGTCCCTGTTTCGCCAGACGCGAAACCCTTCTTCTCCACGGACGTTATCGTCGAGGCCGCCTCCACTCTGTCTCCTACGTGCAGTGGCCGTTTCCATTCCATGCGCCCTCCCGCCCACATGCGGCGCTTGAACGGCTCTGGGGGGCTGAAGTCGACGTCCGTGCCGTCCCAGCGCAGCTGCTTCTCCGGGTTCCGGGGATGGAAGAACCCGAGGTGGTGCCCGTATCCCAACTCGTCGCCCTCTCGCGGCGGAGCGTAGCCTCGTGCGCCGCCGCCGTGCGCCCCATCTCGGGTGGGCAGGGTGATGTACAGATCGGCGAGGTGTTCAGGCCGGAGTGTGTCGACGAGCGCGTACCGCTTCTCGGCGGCCGCCCAGCGGTCGAGCGCAGCGACATCCGTGGGCGTGAGAGTGGAGGGCGAGGGGCCCTTGGAACCCGAAGACGAGGAGGGGTGACGTCGGGCATAGAAATAGATGCGCCGCTGCTGTGCGCCACCACGGCATATGGATGCTGTGGCGACGGTGAGAAAATGGCGGCTTGCAGCTGGCGACCGCCGATGTCAGTGCATGATTCGTAGCGAATGGGAACACGCAAGTACTGTGATTGGCACGGCGGGCGCATGCTGGACGCGTCGCAGATTGGCAGGGGCGGAAGCTCGGATGCCATATCACTACGGAGCCTGGAGGCTACTCACCCTGCACAGCCGCGAAGGAGGTGTGGCGTGGCACTGGCAGCATCCGGATACAGGTACGATAGGTCGCAGGATATACGGATGGGTGTCGCAGCTGCGCGACGGTGGAAGCTGACGTTCAGATTGCACTTCGGCAGGTATCCCGGGAAGTCAGCGCGACCAATCACGGCCGACGTCTTGCTTGGACACCGAAGTCGCCGAAGCGCGCAGAAGCTTATGCTACGTTGCCCGAGTCGACTGCTTGGAGCAACGCCGAGTATGGTATGTGGCTATGCTTCTCAGCGAATGAGTCGTACGGGGTTGCTGTTTGAGGAGGTGGAGGTTGGGTGTGCATAAATACGTCCCACATGTCAACGGCGATGCCGCGTGGGAGGGCAGCGCCGCGAGATGTGGGATCGCAAGGACAATGGCGTCTGCTGATGGTGGATAGAGTCCGGCAGAGGAAAATGGAGAAGGGGCTCGAGTGGGACTGGATAACAGTTCCGACCCGCAGGCACGTCCCGACTGGTCGGAGTCCGTGCCCCACAGACCGGACCCGCCGGGAAGTGCTAAGTAGTGCGTCCGGGCATTCGGATGTCGAATTCTTGGATGATGCCGCGTGCAAGTGGCGGACGCGTCTGGAGTCGATTTATTATAGTGAATCAGCGGCATCTGATCTTAATCTCGTCAGACAAGATGGGCCGCAAAGAGCTGCTAGAAGCGGCAAGGGACGCTGATGAGATTTTTTTGTCATTTATTTTCGTGCATTCATCGATGGGGATGGTACACAATGGATGGTGGTTTGTGTCATGGGAGAGGGTCAGAAGCGTGGATGACATATGTTGTTCTGGATGAGCGCGATTGGCAAGGGTGCATGTGGAACGCGTTGCCGCCGCGCGCCGAGTTTGGCGAGGGTTACTCGAGGTGACTCGCGGCCCGCGTCGCGTTTGGTGTGACGCTGCGCGACGAGTGACAGCCAGGGTCGGGCGTGGCGCTGCACAGTTTCTCGTGCTTTCCCGCATGGAATAATTTGGGCAGCAGCGTTGGGCTTACGCACGGCAGGCCTGGAATGCCTGGAATGCATCTCATGAGGTCAGCAAGGATAGGAGTGGGGGTGTCTGGGCAGGACTCGGGCGAGAACTGGCGCGGGGAGTCGTTAGTGCGGTGTCCAGATATAGGAATCAGCGCCCTCAGAAGCGGCCGGAGCCGGATTTGGGGAAGTGAGAGGTAGATGCATGGCCTACGGCTTGCTTAATACGTCTGCTCGCGACCGCCTATCCGCTCCCTCCTCTCTCTCTCCTTCCCCATTGTTCCCCTCCGCGGTATCCACCAAACCATGAACCATTCCCTGCCTGCCCTCTCAACCATCTGACCTCTTCGGCTCTCTATCTGTATAATAATCCGAAGCCCAAACAACCACCGCCAAACCACCCCCCACAGTCCCTGTTTGCCTCCCACCGCCTCTGGCCCCCCCTTCGCCACAATGGTTGACCTCACAGCTCCTCAACCGCGCCTTGCCCCCGCACTCTTTCCTAATTCTCCCCTCTCGAGGAAGCAGTCGCGGCCAGTGGCAGTGGTAGACGACACTTTCTATGTGAGCTACCGTTCCTCCTCCCTATCTCTCTACGCGTCCTCATCTCCTCCACAGTCCCTCCCCCGCCCTCGAGCTCTCGGAAGCCCCCCACCGCTTTTATCCCCGTATCGTGTGCCGGAGGACGGTGGTATTCATAACGTGAGCTCACTATATGCGCGCTCCGATCCTCCGATATTAACCCATCCGAAGTTATCGTCTAAGCCTCCATGTAGCCCTACGAAGAGGCGCAGAGGCCTCCGTAACTTACCGCGCACCGCCCGCCATCGCCACTGCGGGCGTTCGGATTGCTGTATCAATACCTTCCCCAGGTCCCTCACATCTCTGGACGATCTACCCTGGATTTCTTCGCTATCCATCGAACCCGATTCCGCCAACTCGTGGGACATCGCCGATCTCTCGTTCCTTGATGTCCCCGTCGACGAAGAGTGCACTGGGCCCGGGCCCGTACGACGTCGAAAGACATCGTTGCGTCCGAATCCACTCGGACATGTTTCAAGCAGGAACGAGGAGCCATCTCAGCCCTGTCTCCCATTCATGCACCTGCATCAGTTCGCCGATCGGGAACCTCAGACTCCGCCTCCACGGACTCGATTAGTCCCATCGGATGTCGTCTTCGGAGGCCTGTACCCCGTCTTCCCATGGGACGTCGAGGAGCCGTCCGGGCCGGATGATGTTGACGCGTCGCATTGATGTATATGCCCGGATTCCCTTGCAGCTGCTGTCATTCTTGTCATCTTCACCCACCATCTCCGCATCTTCTCAGCATCCACGCCTCCCATTGCAAACGGATCGTGCCCCACTCCATTCACTTAACGTATTATCGCAACATCGTCTCACTACCAAATGTTTATTGGCCCTAAGAGCCTCACGAACAAGCTGCATTCTCGCGTATGGCTACGACGCCATCAGATTCTCGCTCATCTCCTCGCATAGCTCGTCCATGTTCTCATCTGTATGATTCTTCTGACACTGATGTTCTCTGCTACCATATTGATGGACAGGCAACCTTCTAATTTCCTCTCGTCCGCCGCCATTGCGGCGGACTATCTCTCGCTGTTCTGATCTGTCGTTCAGACAACGTTCGATCTACTGCCTTATCTTTACGACAACTCACAATTGATCTGATTCTATATCTTTCTACCCCTTATTCGCTTTCCGAATGTCTGCTCTCTCGTGTAGTTCCTAGCTTTCAGAGTCGAGTTGTTTCGTAGCACTTACTCTCGTTACCCAATGTTGTTCCTATCGCTACTGCTGTTGACGAATCTTACGTGCTGTACGTACTGTAATGTGAGATACCTGACGATGTATGCATGTATTCGGAGGCTATGTCAATCCCATATATACGTTCTCCGAGGAAGATCGGTGTTTGCATGATACACGCGTGCCTCACCGTCGCCCTGTAACGCCGATGCTTGTATGGGATAGACAGAGAAGTTGATGGAGTAGCCCAGACTCCAGGAGGCGACAAACTGAGTCCAGTAGTCGGTTAGTTCAATGTCGCCATTTTTCTCCTCTCGTACAAGGAATGGTACCCGATTCGCACTGTGACTCACAGTCGCGCCGCTCGGAAGCTGAGGACGACGTCGTTCTCGCCGCTCTAACATTGGTACCGTTTCACCACTATCTACGACAATCTTCCAAGCTTTCTCCGCGCTTCTTGCTTTTCTCAAACCCCTTGCATCCTAGCCTTAGACGACGATGAGCGACAACCACGGACGGGTAATCAACTTCGGCGCAGGCCCTTCAGCGCTCCCCCTCTCTGTGCTCGAAGAAGCGCAAAAGGGCCTCCTCAACTTCAGTGGCACAGGCATCGGGATCGCTGAGGTCTCCCACCGCTCGAAGGAGTTCACGGCCTTCGTCGACCAGGTCGAGAAGAACATCCGCACGCTGCTCGACGTGCCCCCCACCCACCGCATCCTCCTCACCCAAGGCGGCGGCACGGCCCAGTTCTCCGCCGTCGTCCTCAACCTCCTCGCGCGCCACCGCCTCCTGCACCCGACCGCGACGCCCGAGGAGACCACGCTCGACTACGTCGTCACCGGCTCGTGGAGCAAAAAGGCCGCCGAGGAGGCCCGCCGCCTCACCGCGGGCCACGCGACCGTGCGCACCGTCGTCGACGCGCGCGTGTACTCCAAGGACGGGCAGAGCTTCGACAACGTGCCCCCGCACGCCGAGTTCCGCTTCTCCGCGCGCCCCGCGCTCGTGCACTACTGTGAGAACGAGACCGTCGACGGCGTCGAGTTCGCGCACGACGCGCAGAGCCCCGCCGCGTTCCCGTTCGACCGCCTCCTCGAGACCGCGGGCGCCGGCGGCGGGGCGCTCGTGCCCCTCGTCGCCGACTACTCGTCCTCGTTCCTCTGCCGGCCGATCCCCCGCCTCGCGGACCACGCCGTCATCTACGCCGGGGCGCAGAAGAACCTCGGGCCGGCAGGGCTCGCGATCCTCATCGTGCGCGAGGACTGCATCGTGGACGTCGACGCGGCCGCGCGGCTCGGCGCGCCCCCCGTCCCGCTCATCCTCTCGTACAAGCAGCTCGCGGACCACGGGAGCCTGTACAACACGCCCTCGGTGTTCGCGATCTACGTCGCCGGGCTCGTGCTCGAGCGCATGAAGGCGAGCGGGGGGCTGCTCTACTACGAGGCGGTCAACAAGCGGAAGGCCCAGAAGCTGTACGCGGTCATCCACGAGGGTGAGCAGAAGGGCTTGTTCCGCCGCAAGGTGCAGCAGGGCTCGGAGAGCTGGATGAACGTCGTTTTCGAGGTCCTTGGCGAGGGTTCAGAAAAGAAATTTTTGGAGGGCGCGGAAAAGGAGGGCATGAAAGGTCTCAAGGGTCACAGGTCAGTCATATTGGTTCACATTTCAGCGTCGCGTAGTCTAACGTGCCTATCCAGATCGGTAGGAGGTAAGTGAGACCCATCCGACCACTGTCTATATTCTCATTCTTCATCTAGGCATCCGCGTCTCGCTATATAACGCCATCACCGAGCCAGAGGTCGACAAGCTAATTGCATTCATGACACATTTCATGAAGGAATCAAGCTCGAAATCGGAAGTAAATGCAGTCTGAATGCAGGAATGAAGGGAGAGGAAACCACTTGTACTACTGAAGTCAGATAGCTTACCGAGTGAAAGGAGTGAATTGACATCATGGAAATTATGCACGCAGACTGGTTTAAGTCACTTTGCCGGAGTGGTTAACGGGATCGCCTGCTATTCGTAGCTGTCAGCGGTTGGGCTTTGCCCGCGAGTGTTCGAATCGCTCAGGTGACGCTTTTTGGCTGCCGAATTTCACTCGTCCTCTCTTGCATGTGGTTTTGCCCTTAGAGCCGCCGTTATGGTAGGCAACACATGCTTGACACAGTCTACATGCAAACGAAGACGAATGTCGAGGCTATGTTTCCGACTGTCAATGAGTTTAATAATTTCAAGAATGCTCGCATCCATGACAGTTCTCAAACATTCCACGGTAACTTCATAGACCGTCCCACGACGGATCCTATACTAATAACATGCTTAAGATGCACGCAGACCAGGACTGCAGGACTGCGAGATAAATCTAATCCGAGTAAACCAGTCTTCCCAGAGTCTTGCCCATATTCTTTGTTGCGTCCAAGCAATCCTCACTCCAAGGACCGAACTGCAGGAAACCATGGGTAAGGTCGGCATGATGCGTCCAGTGCACCGAGTTACCGGCCTTCTGTAGCTTGCTTGCATACTCGACCCTCACGTCACGCAAAGGATCAAAACCGGCCGTAAATACCAGAGCAGGCGGGAGCCGTTCCAGAGCAGGAACGTCCTGCATTCCCGGTGACCTGATTAGTCCCGTTGTGCCATGTCAGTGAAGAGCCTTCTAGGGATAGTGGCTCGTTCAACACCTACACGTAAGGGGTCGCCGGGGGGACACCGCGCGGCAGGTAGTGATCCGCAAAGGAAAACACCCCGTTGGCCTCGAGATAGAGTCCCGAATTGTTCTCCTGGCAGGCCTTGGTATTAAACGGCAAGCGGGCCTCCGGATACACAAGTAGCTGTGCACCTGGGCTAGAAGTGAAGCAAGCAGTTGTCTAGATAACACCAGACTTACACATATTCTTCAGTCCCTCGTCTCGTCGTCGCAAGGCCAACGCAGCTGTCATGTTTCCGCCAGCGCTGTCACCTCCGCCTGCAACCCTATCAGGATGAATACCACGCTTCTTCCCCTCCGGTCCTTGGAGCCAGTTAATGACTGCCGAGAACTCGTCCAGCTGCGTGGGATAACGGTATTCGGGTGCAAGATGGTACTCGACTGCATATACCTGGCAAGCCGACGCCTCAGCGAGTGTTCTAAGTCCATGCTCGAAGTCATCGACACATCCTGTTACAGCATATATTAGTAGATCATCTCGGTGAGTTACGCGAGGCTCGCCTACCGACAGTGTATCCACCTAAGTGAAGCGTCAAACATTCAGCGATAGCTCATGATGGCTTGCGGAACAAGGATGATAGGCAGACCTCCATGCATATAGACCAACGCCCCGGCATCTCCGCTCTTCCTATATTGTTCGCCGCTCTTGGGGTAGAAGACGCGAACAGAGATGGTTCCGTGCTCAGTCCTGAGCGCTGTGAACTCTACCTCGCTGATGGATGCCTGGGCCTTGGCCTCTTCCGGAAGGTTGTGCCATCCCAAGATTTCGGTGTGGTGTCGCCGCTCTTCGGAGTAGGCTTCCACGCCGCCGAGGTGCAGACTGGCGGTTGGACCTGACGAGAGGAGATGCTTCACCGAGTCCGCGAGGGTAGTGCGGTTGCCACTTGATGGAATCGGGTTCGCAGCCATGATTGCAAGAAAGAGCGATTGGGAATTATGATCGCCTGAGAGACCTCTATATAAAGACCTTCATTGTGAAGGGTGTCATGCTGGAGCGTCGACGTCATTTCGACCACCATTATCGGTCACTTCGCGTTCTGAGGACCGGGAGCGTCGGGCTGCGCTATCGCTAACGACACTGTTCATGGTATAGCGTGTATGGGTTGAAAGCAAGTCCATAGCGGAGTCTACGTAGCGTGGAGAGTAGTAGTCGTATACACTATGATACACCTAATAACACAAGTCAACGTGTTCCGGGTAATACGATACAGGAGATGTCACTGCCCTGACTTCAGAAGTTCTCTCAGCTCTTCACTGATGATCGGCCTCCTCGTCTTCTTCTCTGCCTCTGCCGACTTTCCGCCGACGCTATTCGTGCGCCGTTGTCGGAGAGCAGCATTCGAACGCGATGACGCCTCTTCGGCCTCTCGCCGGTCAATGTCCGCAATTAGCTGGGAGAACGACAAGAAGAGGACCTCGGCCTGTGCGAGCGTGCTATCGAGCTCAATCGACATGCTTAACTCGTTACAATACTGTAAGAGACGTTAGGCATTATCTTAAATCAGTGTAGAAGGACCGCACCTTGAGGATCTCATCGAACTGCGGTGCCAGAGGGGCCGACCGAGGGCAGAATTAAACAACCCGTCACTTGGAATGATCGAAAACTGATGTGGCGTACCTCAACAAGGTACCTCAGGATCACATCCCGATGGGATTCCAGGACGGCGAGCGCCACAAACAATACAAACTGGGTGCTATAGTAGTCCGTCCACAGCACTTCCCACAGCCGGAGAACATCCTCGAACGGGAACTCGCGCTTGAATGATATGAGGATCCATCTACGAAGCACCGTCAACCATGGTTCGAATGTCATCGGGACACGTCTGAGCATACCGGAAACAGAAGAACAGGTTCAGTCCATCTGTTTTCTCTACGCACGGTCGGTGAGCGATCAGGCGACGGCGTCATCAGAGACAATCGAACGTACCGAGATGTCGATATAGCTCCGGGTCCATAACCGAGATCAGCTGCTGCAGGGTCGACAGTTGCTTCTTCATCCCACTCTGGTCACGGAGGAAATTCTGTTTCTGTCATTGAAAGCGCCGATTTGTCAGAGGCCGCGGAATGTACGGTCTGAGCGGGGGGACGGACCATTCGGTCCATTATCTGTACGAAGCACCAGAAGGTCATCTCCTCATCGCCGCCCATCACGACATAGACCGGGGCGCAGAGATCAGACATCCCTTGCACGTAGCCTATCCATATCAGTTAAGCGACGGAATGGGGCGAGTGTGATGCTTACCGAGCTCCCGCTCATAGAAATTGTATGTCAGAAGAATGCTCGCAAGCCGTTCGATATGATCGTTGGTTGGTGCTTGCGCCCCGATATCTCCGAGCTGGGGCGAGATGGTAGAGTACCTCATGTGCATGCCCTTTTCATCTGTGTCCTCGTTCACTGGCGTCGTCTGCGCGAACAGCGGCTGTGTACGGTCTGTTCGTCGACAATCCACGTCGATACGATGGCGCTCCTGGTAGTAGTCTCGTGAGCAGCTGGGAAAGAACCATGGCTATGGGCGCACCTCTATCACGTCCTGCCTCTCGAAAACCTCCGGTACACCCCACCACTCATCCTTGAGCTCACTATATCGTTCCCTGAAGGACGACCATCAGCTACCGGAGTGGTACTAGTCTTCCACAATCGCACTTCTTTGCTTCCCATAGCTTCCCTCTTTGCGCGGCATCACTGTCCCACTCGTACACGCCCAGCAAGAACGGCCAAATCTCCCTGCGAATGCTTGAATCTATACCCCGCCTAAAGATTTCGCGCTCCATCTCCTCCTTCCGAATCTTCGGACTCCCGTCCTCGTTGAACCAGCCCTTCCACATCTTCTCGTTGACAGGCTGCTTTGGAATGCGAGACGACTTCGGCCTCGGCAAGTTCGCAGTAGACTGGAGGAGCTCGAATATGCCCAGAGACGAATCCTCTTCCGCGAGATCAGACGACGAGGCCGGGAGCGCTTGAGCCTCTCGCTGACGAGCCCGTTCGCCCTCCTCGGCGACGATCCGGGCCCAACGAGCGAGGTACACTCGTGCGCTCTCGAACTCGCCAACGCCGCCTTTCTCTACCCAGCTACCCCACTCCAGATCTCCACTGGCGTTGACGAGGCTCCTGACTGGGTCGGGTAGGTGGGGAACGATGGGTTTGGCAAGGGGGTGAGACAGAATCTGCTGTGCGGCGTGCGCGGCGTGTCTCGTTATGTGCGAGAAGGACTGCAGCAAAGCCATCCGCGCTTGTGACGAAGAAGTGGTTGGGGATGAGACAGGTGAGAGTGAACGGTGAAGGATAGATGTTCGTTCGGAATAAGAGTTGGCCGATGTAGACAGAGGCTTAGGGCGACGATGTGCAGGTATAGGGGAGTGAGAATTCGCGTAGGAGGATTGAGCCATGATGTCATCAACAGCGTCGTCGGCGAAGAGAGGCATAGAATGAGTCTCAATGTCCTCTCGGGACGGATCTACTAGATAGAGATTCGATTGTAGGGACGAACGAAGGAGGTGGCAATAGCCTCTGAGCTTCGCCAGGAGGTCCTCACCGCCCCATGTACTGTTTTTGGGTGCATTGTCGGCTGGCGGTGGCGGATAGGACATAGGACGTGCCTCTAATGGAGACTTGATTGGCATGGTGAACGACTTCGACTCGTCATCGTGGAAGTGAAGTGTGGGCAAGGTGGAGCCGCTAATGAGGTTGATCGCAATGGACCCGTCTGTGGCACATAACTGGTGTTTGAACAAATGCGAGCTCAGATAAGGGACGCACTTACGCCACGATGACAACGAAGGGGGGTTCACTATCAAAGAGTATATTGAAGTGAGCGGAACAGAGAACGCATACGACTCCGGCCGCTGTATTGGCAGGTCAATGAGTACAGCATCTACCTTCCAAGTCAGTATCTGCGGATGGAAAGTCTCGTGTGGTTCAACGCACCCTCCTCTTCATCATCCTTGACTGCATGTTCCTCGATCTTCACAAATTTGTCCCATTCGCTTGGCCCCTTTTCATTCAATAGAGACTCTGGGATCCATGCGAGCAGGTAGACGGGTTTCGGCGCCTCCTGAGACCACCCAGAGTCATTATTTGTTGTAGCGCAGCAAGACGAAGCCAAAGCTGACATACCTTCCTCACCAACGCGATGAAGCCCGGGATGTTATCCCGCGCGTACGCGGTGGGGTTCACATAGACTTTGGACTTCGAGTATATGAGCCTGTATTTGGTGTCATCAGACAACTCCGTCGAAGAGGCGGACGCCGCGAGGCCTGCTTCTTGAGAGCTAATAGGATTCGTGTGCTTGATCTCGACCATCGACTCAACCTGCGAGCCACAATCGAATGATAAGCTCCCCCGCCTTGCCCAGATAGCGGCAGGTACCACGTACAGATATCGTTGAGAGAGTGCCGTCGAACTGTGGTGAGTGTGGGGAGCTACGCATTAGAAGGACATGAGTGAACGCATATATAACGGCTATTCCGCTGCTGCGAATCCAGGTCCAGCTGGGCTGCGGCGCGGGCGTCTTGCATCGGCGCGAGTGCGCGTCATACGCCGCCCAATCACGTGCTGAGTCCGGGCCTGGGCGTCGCGAGAAGCCCCGAAGAGGAAGGAGGACAAACAGTCGTAAATGAGATATCTGAAACTGTACAGTTGCTAAACCTTACTCTTTCCGCCCACTGCCAACGACGCCGACGCCGCCCCGCGCACGCAAAAGTCCACTTTCTAGCCATGGAGAACGATCAGGTATGTAGTGTGTTATGTCCTAAGGCTGATCGTAGAAGTTCTAACCGCTGGTTGGGGTTGCTCAGGGTATCCTCGTTGACCTTTACGTCCCCCGCAAGTGCGCGGCGACCAGTGAGTACCCATATAGTCCATCCGAGGGCCAACGCCTCTGAACACCATCATCATTTCCAGACCGTCTCATCACCTCCAAGGACCACGCCTCTGTCCAGATCTCCGTCGTCGATGTCGATGCCGACGGACGTGCTCTCCCGACCTCCACCACTTTTGCGCTGAGCGGCCAGGTCCGTGCCGATGGTGAGAGCGACGACTCCCTGAACCGGTTGGCGACCAAGGCTGGTCGTGAGTGTTCATCTGTGTACACGCGGTTAGGAACTCAGCTCATGTCCCTGATGCTTCGTAGTTCTCCGGAATGTATGGTCGTACCAAAAGTGATCCGCGCAGGCTTTGATCGGAGTTGCTCTTGTCACTGTATATCTCGTCTCTTCATCTCGCTGCATATTCATGGGCCAGGTGGCTGCTTGTAAAACACCACTAGTATGTGTGATCATGTTCGACCCCAAGTTCACAATGTCCCGCGGCGTACCCGTTGTTGATGGGTAAACCTCGTGCTTCTACGACGACATCATATTCGGGACACCTGTGCTGTCATAATGATCCCAATGTATTCGAAACCACAGGTACAGTGTATCGCGCCATTGTCCCTATGTAGATCATTCCCATTGACCAACTAGAATCGGGGCTACAAGTACTATATTGCATTGGATATTCTGGCCATCGCTACGGATGGCGCAAATCGTCCTTGCTAGGATCCGTATCCCGAGTGACAGAGGGACGTCCCATCTCCTCATCACCTATGCTGTGTCTATCCGAGTATCTTGGTTCGGGCATCCGCGGGCGCATGGAAAGACTGTCCGGAGGTCCGCTCGACAGCGCCTGCGCCTCTGATGGCCTCGAGTGGTGCGTCGGGAGGGCTTGGCCGCCACGATGGACCCGAGGCGAGTACGGTAAATGGCAGATTTGTGAGCTCAGGGGTGGGTAGTACTGGCGGTAACCGAAGTAGGCAACAACGATGCCTAAGGTGGAGCCCGTGAGGACGTCCTGCCAGTGGTGGCGATAGTCCATGGTGCGCGAGATGGCGACAAGGGCAGCGCCGGACAGAGGGACGAGCGAGATCCATGCTTTCACCTATCACAATCAATGTCAATATAGAGGTGAACCACTTATATCAGTCGCGACGTACAGTGTGGCCGCGCTCGTCGAAAAGATGTAGCTTGCCTGCGAGGTAGAAGGACAAGAAGCCCAGCCCAGCAAAGGACACTAGAAACAGTCAGGTGTGTATCTCAGAGGAAGCTAGAAGACCAGCCGGCCTCACGACTAGAATGACCGCTCGGGAAGCTTCTCCAACCGTCCCGCAAGATCCCTACATCCGTTTGGGTGCATATCGCAACCGTGGACAAACCAAGGGGCGGGTCCACCGCGCCGGAGATGGGCTGACAGCGGTCAATCAGGTCTGCGAAGACGCAGTCCTTCAGCGTCACGCTCATGCGGATTCCCAACGTTTCATCTCACCTGGGCGGGGTCTACCGACAGTGATCTTCGAGAACTGGGTGATAGCGCCAGTTATTGAACACGAGAGGAGCCCTGGGAGGGAACGGGTCGGCTACGATACATGATAGGATGAACGATCGGACTCACATCCCAGCCAGCTACTGTGCCAGTCCCATAACGAGCGCAATAGTATGAGGTTGATGATCGGCATGAGTGTCAGCGGAGCGGCGGCGAAGATTACATAGAGCAGCCAATCCTGTGGGGCAAATCAGTCCTGGTCACACGACATACTGATAGGCCTATACATACCGGTACTCGTTCGTGTACTGCAAACCTAACAGACACGGTTTGACTGTGAACGAAGCTGAATCGAGAATTCAGTCAACCCACGTATGAAGTAGACTGTAAAAGGGCACATCAGCTGCGAATCTGGGGCGGACATGGGGAGATATCACATACGAAGTGTCGGTCAGGGAAAACTCCCTCTTGAATCCCGGGACCTTGTCGAGGGCAAAGAATGCGGCACTGCAAGAGATATTTCAGAAACCTACCTGGGTAACATTGTGGCGAATACCTACGAAAGTCCAATGCACAGTACCCTGGACCGGGTGCATGTCCCGTAAGCATCCCAACGCCCCTTCGCACACGAAGCACTCACCAATCCGGCGCATACGACAGAAATACTCTGGTGCGGTAAGCCCGCCCAAACCTCTTCCCTGGGAACGGCATGTCGTCGCCTGCGGTTCTAACAGGTTCCCGTTCAGAACTGTTGACAGGATAGACGGGAGCGCCGGAGAAGGTTTGCGGATGAGCAGGACGGATCTGGTGAAGCGGATACTCTTCTGGGTCCTCGAGACGGCGGTAGGACATCAAGCAGGTTGTGGGAGCAGGAGGCGAGCCTGGGATCAGAGCGGGCGGAGTAGAACTAAGAATGGAAACGAGCCCGGGGGGACCATGCAAGCAACACCACAAGATATTGTTGGTGCCGCTTGCCCCTCCCGAGCCTTTTGATTGCACACACATGGGCTGCCGGTGTCTCTCGGGCGTCGATGTCGGCTCGGATGACCCATCCAGTGCTTCGCCCTGGGCGTCAGCAATTCGGAATCCCGCCGCTTCATCGCCTTTCTGGCCGTGGATTTGGTGTGCACATGCACGGGCACTACCACTTGCTCGTCCGCCGCATAGGTTGCAGACCCTCAATCCGATGACCTGGCTATATAGGTTCCCCACATATGATCGTGCTGGTACAGTAGTGGTGCACAACAGAGGTCTTGGCACCTGTGCTGCGGGCTGTCGTCGAGGGGGAGCAGTGAGGTGTTAAGAAGCCATGGTGAAGACAAACTCGGTCAGGTGCCACTGGCGCATACATAGAGCAAAGCTTGGCCTCTCGGCGATGTGTGTCTTTGGCCAAAGTACTGACGTACCCTGGGAGGCCGAATGCGTCTCGAGATCGCTGCGTGCAGACGCGCTTTGGCCACGCGTTCTTGAACTTACACCACGATTACTTGATATCCCTCGAGGCTGGCGGCACACGCGTATCATGGTTAGCGACAACTTTGAATGGAAAGAAGGTAGCATATACAAGATGCCCGGTTGTGCCGTGCTCACGTCTTGTTGAGTCTGCAGAGCATGGTGACATACTTGAGAAGATTGCGTCCACGGATGTAGTCGAGTATGTCCGTCCGTTCCCGCGATTATCGACGCGCTGATGGGGTCTGCTAGAACGGAATGGTCACTGTTGAGGAACATCGTCAAGTACAAGTTGGACAAGGTGCGATCAGCAATAGCCCTCCGCCGCTGCAAAGAGTGCCTGTTAAGCCAATGTAGAACGTCGGGGCGTTCCTGGCGGATGGTCCAAGATGGGAGCCCCGACCACCCTTGATGACAACGACGCCAGAGCAACTTCAGAATGGCGGCCTCAAACTTCCACCATTTCCGCCTAGGGAGTACCCAGCGGGAATCTCTAATCCTCCGCCAAAAGTGGACTTGTCGGAGAACGAGGCGCAAGATTTGAAAACAAATATCTATGCCCAGTTGGATGAATTCGATGGGTACGAGGTGCATGTTCCTCTCGCGCGTAGTATCTGACAGGAATATAGCACGCCGTTCACAATCCAACGTCTATGCGAACTATGCGTCGATCCGCGAAAACACTATAAGTACATCGGCAAGTACTTGAGGGCGGTCGAGAAGACCCTTCTCATTACCTCAACATGGGACAGCTTCCCTCCATTATCCGAGATAGACAGCACGTACTCTCCAGTCGGCCATTCGTCGATCAGCACCTCTACCGTGTCAGCCCCCAATACCCCGATGTTCTCCCCTATCCCATTCCTTCATGAAGATGCCCGCCGATCGAAGTCGCGCAGTCCACCTCCGAGTCCTCTGGTTCTTCCTGCAACTATTGCCGGTGGTCTCAGCGGGGCGGACGAAAGCGCAGACGTCAAAGCTCTAGGTCTTGTCGACGAGCTGGATGATCCAAGCCCAGGTCACTTGAGTGACCACATAGAGCCCATCTCTTCGACGACGACGGTGGATTCAAGACCGTTGCACGGGACCCTGGAGGAGCGCTTCGTGAAAGCTTCGGAGGGAGCAAGCGCAGGCGAAGGGGAGCCGAGTGGGGATGTGCCGATGGCGCAAGACGAGGATGAAGGGAAAGAGAACAGGGCTGTCTGACTGTGCGATGTAGTAACACCCGAGCCGAGTGAATTCACGCCTCGTTGCGAGCTTCCAGAATCACATATGTGGAGGGACACGCCGTTAGGTGTAATCCTGTTTGATTTTCTCCAACATCGCCTTCATCCGCAATCCCATATCCGGCTGGCCTCGACCCCGACCTCTATGGGCGCCACCCCGTGCACCGCGCTCGCCGCCCCTACCTCCTCTTCTTCGGCCCTTCTCGCCACCCCTGCCATCGCCTCTGCCCTGTGAAGGAGCGGCACCTCTGTGTCTGTGCAACGGGTCGGACTTGTGTGTATGCAAGGAGGCGCGCGAATATGCCATTCGCTGAAGCTCCCGCAATGATAACTGCTCGTCTGCCGGTTTCTGTGGCCGGCCTTTCTCGCGTTTCTGTAGTGTCGGGCGTTTTGGGGATGCAGTCGTGGCATTAGGTCGTTGGGTATGTTCATCGACAGACGATTCTTCCGATTCGGAGTCGGACGCTTCATCGCTGCTCCCTTCCTCACTTTCCTCGTTCGCGTCGCTGCTCGCACCTGCATCGATTGTCCGCTCCTCATTCTCGTCTCTTTCCTGATCCTCGTCTGATCCGCGTCCTTTAGCGTCGTTGGCGTCCACATCGCGTGCTAATTGTTGCCGGGAAGCGACGAGCCCCTCCTTGCGCTTCTGTGCCTTCCACTTGCTTTTGATCTTCTGTACTTCGACCCATGAGCGCTTAAGTTTCTTAGCTGAGGAAGAAGGCAATAAGCAACGATTGTTGTAGATTCGGTCCCTACGAATGTCTGAACAATACGCACCACGCTGGACGGGAAGGTGCTGAAAGGTCGGCGGCTTCTTGCGCTTGACGCCGCGGTTTTCCTGTGTCGCAGACGACGGAGACATAATGGAGACCACTTGAGGATGAATGGCGAACCAAGGCGATTTTTTCCGGGAGAACAACGAAGTGGGCGCAACGACTACAGCAAGCGGTTTGAGATATCGAGAAAATGGGATGGGGACAGGACTGCTGTGCAGTGGCGTGGGCTAGCGGATGAAGAGCTGACTGAATCTGCGAGCCTCGAGCTCACCGCCGAACAGGAAGAGCCTGCGATTACATAACCCCAGAGCATGACATATATAGCGTCCCAAAGCGCGCAACTCAAACCTCACAGCTCCGTCGTCCGCCTCTTCTCAACCCCCACTCAGTTCTCTACTCCCTCTTTTTCTGTATCTCTACCTCTCTCGCATGAGCGTGCAGAACCTCAACACCTTCGGTGCGTACCATTTCTGCCGTGCCTCAGCGCCGTGCTTATCGATCGCGCGTCTGCTAACCACTTCGTTCGCCCGCCGGCCTCATCCTCGCCTTTCCACCCACAGATCCCTTCGCAGACGAGGGAGACCCTCTTGGCAGCACTCAGGACGTTGGATCTCAGGCAAACTATATCCACATCCGCATTCAGCAGCGGAACGGTCGCAAGACCCTGACGACGCTTCAGGGCCTTCCCAAAGGTTCGTCCCCGCTACAGCCTTAGTCATGCGACCACTGTGTTCTGACTCGGTTATGTTCTGCAGAGTATGATCTCAAGAAGCTCTTGAAGGCATTCAAGAAGGCGAGTTTCGCATGACCTGCCGCTCGACAGTGGCTGGGATCCTAGGAGACTCTGGCGCTAACATTTCATTTCCATCATAGGAATTCGCCTGTAACGGTACTCTCGTTGAGGATGAGGAGGCCGGACAAGTCATCCAACTCCAGGGCGACCAAAGGCTGAAGATTTCCACGTTCCTTGTCCAAGAGGGCATCCCGAAGAGCACCATCAAGGTTCACGGTTTCTGAACACCCAGTTCGTGTAACGAATATCACAACGTATCGTGCATCCAATTAAGCCGAGGCCGGAATCTAGAGCGCTGGTTCAGTTGCACGATTCTCTTCCTTCCTCTTCCTTCCATCGTCAATCATGATGTCCGCTACCCGTACACGTCTCGTTCCTCCCTCTTGCCTGTCGTATAGTTCCCTGCTTATGTGTGTAATACCTATCATCACGATAAATCGGACTTCGAATGATTTTTATTCTTCGAACGGAAGCTAGTGTGATTATATCTAGTATTGGAACTGGTAGGGTCGACTGCGATCGAGCGATCTCTGGGCAGTCGATCTACAACATGCATCGCTTCCATGAGGTTGTTACAGACAACCAAGTGCTACCCTGCACTTCAATTCCGTCACGGCCGCTTGAGGAACACTCACCTGCATACGCAGATCATCCCAAGGCAATACGACTTTTCTAGCGACCGTCCATGTTCTGATTGCTTCAGGCTAGCATCATCTTTACATTATGAAACGAAACACGACTCAACTGTGCAGAGCGGGAAATACAAATAGAGCGAAGAACGTGGCCGCTCAACATGCCAGAAGCTACTTGATCTTGTCCAAAGGCCTGGTAAGTGAGTACGTCAGAGATGTGCCCGAACAATGAGAAACCAAATGGAAGCCACGAACCTGTTGAAACCGCCACGCCTGCGAAACGAGAAGGATTGATCTGCAGTCAGCAAGAAGATCGCCTCAAGCCAAAGAGAGCAGAGAAGGCGCACCGGTTCATGTACTGCCGCCATGTTCGCTGCTTCTTGACGTCCACGGCACCCTCCTGGTTACCCTCGACGCGCTTGCCCTGCAAGGATTCGCGTTTGAGGCATTGACGCTACAGGTACAGAGCAGCGGCGAAGGCGGAGCTTACTTTAGTGGTTCCAAACCCAGTCAAGCCCATCATAGCCATCATGGCAGCATCGTCTTCGTTGGTCGCTTCCATCGCCTCTCCTTCTTCCGCACCTTCTGCTTCTGTGAGAGCCGCGGAATCCTGTCGGGGGCGAGAGCTAGAAGGCTCGGGCGTATCTGGCACACGATCAGCATCCAAGCCGCAGCCTCGTGTGAACGACCAGCCGCGGGAGCATACCTGGCTGCTGCCTTTCTAGTGCACCAGCAGGTCTCGAATCGTGTTCTGCAGTGCGGTCTCCTGGCCGGCCGTCCTTGTCTCTGTCATGTCTATCCCGGTCACCGTCCCTAGGCGGTGGAAGTGGTTCACGTCTGCCATCCCGATCCCGGTCCCTGTCATGGTCCTTCCTGTCCCGGTCATCCCGTCGTCTGTCGTCCCGCCTATCGTCCCGTCTCGGGTCCCGGCGGTCGTCAACTCTGTCTCGGCCGTAGTTGTCCCTGCGGTCTCCTATTGAATGACACGTCCATTACCTCATGAGCTCGCTATAGGCTACACGAGGCAACGTATGCACGCACCTGGTCCCCCACGCCTATCCCTCTCGCCCCTGCGCGGTGGGCTGCGGGAACGACTTCTCCGGCCTCCGCGGTAGCCACCGCGGGCTCTATCACGCTCGTCGCGCTCCCAGCTCCTATCTCTCCTCTTGTAGTCGTGATGGGATGACATGGTGGACAGAATGTGTTGGACGCGTACGGCAGGAGGCAAGTGGCGGAGGGGTCCAAACACGCCCTTGCATCACCCGCGATGCTTGCCGCAGCACTGCACGTGATCAGACGCGAGTCCAACGACTCCGAGGAGCCGGAGTCCGGACAGCTTTGCCGTGCGTACTGCTCCTTACCTACTGGCAGAGATGCGATAGAATATCGGAGGATGAAACCGCAATACTGTCGTTGTATATACCACACGATTTGTGTACAGGTCTGTATGACTTCTTCGACTTCCAAATCAATCGACCAGGACCAGAGAGTCCAGCACCGAGAAGCCCACTGCGACGCCTCCCTCGTTGCTATCCTTCCCCTTCGTCCTGAGCAGCCATCCCACCTCCTGCTCCTCGATCGGCCGTCTGGGCCCAAACAACGCGTAGCCAAAAACCCCCAGCTCACTCACTACCTCAGTCTTCACCGCGCCCTCAGTCCCGCTCCCCGCCCGCACCAGGTAATTGCCCGTGTCTGGCGGCTCAATGAGTTCCATGGCGATCCAAGCTTCGCGCTCGCCGGCGGGAAGAGTATCGAGAAAGCCGGGGATGTCTCCCTTGTAGACATTGTTGCCTCCGCCCTCGCGCTGGGGCTTCAGAACGAGCTTGTCGGCTTGTTCTCGTGCTCTGCGCACTCCATAATCGCCATCTTTGTCCAGACCCCACATCCCCATCCAGCTGGAGCGGAGTGCGTCGAGATCTAGGCCTTGTCCGAACCTGGAAAGCGTGTCACCTTGGGTGAGGACCTCTTGGACCTTCTTTCCTCCCGCAAGCTGGAGCTGTATCGTGGGGCACTTGATAGCGACGGAGCTCTCCAAGACGTATCGGGTCCGATACTGCGCCAGGGTAGGGTAGTCTCTTGGCGTATAACCTGCGCGGAAATACACTGTCGAGATTTCGACCGACTCAGCACCGCGAGGGAGCAGACCGGGAAGCTTCACGCGGAGGATGCGTGAGCCGGGCACAACCTCTGCAGAAGTGGCTAGCTCGTCGAACGTTTGGCGGACGACGCGTATTGAGTGCCTGTGAATTATGAGATGGTCACGATGTCCTAACCGAAAAGGCGGCGTACTGTTCAAGCAGTTCATATTCCAGCCATCTCTGATCGAAGACGTTCCTCTCCCCTGCTTGCACAACGAACAAGATCCACGCTCTACGCCGGAGGTTACACATGTCCGAAGCAGAGATGATTGAGATGGACATACGAGGGAGAATCATATGCCTCATGCGCTGCTGCAAGTCCATCCGCCAGTCCCGCGATAGTATCGTTCCGCGGTAAGTTCTTGAGCGTCAGGAAGGGTGAACTGTTGAAGTACTCCGTGGAAAGTGCCAGGTACCTCGAGGACCGTCAATCCTCTCAAGCGCATCCCAGAGGATCAAGCGTGTACCTATGCAGCTTCGAAACGTTCTCCGACAAAGCCCCAAAGGAAGAAGAGATAGTGTTGAATTCGACCTGCTTCAAGGAGACAGGACCGCCCTTCTCGGGCGAGTGCAGCAGGTAGTCCGACCTGAAGAGCCCTAGATGGAGACGCTATCCTGCATTTTCAAGGTCTGCATGGATCCCAGCATCGAACGAGCGTACCTGATGGATGCCTTCATCGCGCAATCTCTTCCAGATCTTCCAGAGCTGCCCGGTGAACTCATCTACGCGTCCTACGCCGATCTCCGCGCCCATAACGCGATCGAGGAACTGCTCGTCCAATGCAATCCGCGCATACAAGACATTGTACGCGCGCTGCAACCGCTTCGCGAGCTCGAACTGATTGCGCGGGAAGGCGGAGGGAAAGAGTGCGAGGGGAGCATGGATGGCCGAGGTAGGTGCCGGGGGCTGGACATCCGCGACTGGGAGGTAGATCAGTCCATGGGAAAGCGCATAGGTCGTTGCGCGTAACGTCAGCTCCTCGCGCTGTTTGCCTGTGATCTCTGGTGGCCATTGAGAAACAGTGGGGCTGACCATCGTTGGCGTCAGAAGGTGATTTGGAGGAAGACGGACTCGGACAGACGTACGGGGCCGGGGTAACTGATTACATAGCAAACGGGCCGCGCTTGGCCTGACCGATATGCATTGAGATGTATCCAGTAGCCATTGAGATTGCGTTCGATGACGCAACGAGCATTCATTCATTGTGGACGAGCTCTGCGTCAATCGCGTTTTGGAGATCGAGAAGTACTAGTTCCGCTGCGCTGACAGCTGCGGGATGATGATGGATGAGACAATAGTATACAACACTTCATCGCTTACAGAGAGGTCGGGACGCATTGATACACCGCAAGAAGCTAATTATACAACACGACGAAATCTTTCCTACAACGCTATCAAAACAGAATGTCAAAGAACGTTGAAGGGGGTAATCATACAATACAAATGAATAACATTATATGATCGAATAGCTAGGGTAAGTGCAAACTGAGCGTGAGGCGGGCGTCGATTAGGCGTCGATTTTCGTGACTCGTTCGTTCCGGAAGGCGTTGTACTGGTCGTTGAGATTTTAGACATTCCCGGCAGCACCCGTTGTCGTGACGGGACCAGTGGTGGCGGGGCCAGTGGTAGCGGTGTTGCCGACAAAGGCCGACTTGTCCGTGTACTTGCCGGACTGCAGACCGAAGGCATTGTAGTCGACACCACGCAGCTCCCAAAGGAAGAAGAGTAGGAAGACGGGGCCGGCGAGGACATCAAGGATGCCGTACCAGATCATCTCGGAGGTGACGGAGATGACGTTACCACCCTCGGAGCACGCCCAAGCGATAGGGTAGAGCAGGAGGAGACAAGACAGGTAACTCGACGCGAGGCGGTATCCGCTCCGGACAACACCCCCTGCGGCGAAGGTTGTGTGAGGACCGTGCCAAAGCAGGATGTACCTGATAAGTCGAGGTGAGCGAACTGGGACATCTGTTATGTCTGAATCGGTTTACTCACCAGATATAGATAAGGGCAAAGACACCGAAAACGTAGTAACCCCACTTGTAGGTGGAAGGTACTAGCGATGCCACGAGGCCGGTGACCACGAGCACAATGCCCATAAACAAAGTCGTGAAAATGTCGGAGAGCGACAGACCGGTGGCAAGGAGGAGCTCCAGCAAGAGGAGGGGGAAGCTGATGAACCAGTTGATGTACCGGACATACTATATAGTACATGGCAGGATTAGAAGGTAGAGACACTGAGCAAGGTTTCCAACTGACTCACCCAGATCTGGCGTGTGCCAGTGCCTCTGAACTCCACGGTGACGGGTGTCGCACCGAGGTCGGAGGCCATCGAGAAGTAGGCTAGAGACCCGGTCGTTAACACCACAATGGCAACCTGGTGGAAGAGACGCGTTCCGCGAGGGCGCTGAAGATGGATAGTCAGCGACGGACTTCCTCATTCCGAGGCTATCCTAGCTGATGACCTACAGTAAACGTCCAACCAACAACACCGAGCAAAGCGGCGCCGAAGATCGAGAACGCAGCCCACAACCAGTCAGACCCACCAGTCGTCAAGTGGTAGGTAGCGTTAGGAGGGTTGATGTCAAGTGCCGAGTTGCCCATTGCGGTTGAGAGGGTGAGGTGCAAGGGGTGAAAGGGTGAGGGTGGAGATGTGGATGAAGGGTATTAAAGGTTGATTGGGATCCTAGGATGAGGTCCAACCAAGCTGGTCTATGATCTTTTATACTGTCGTCTTGGCTTGTTCTCGAAGAGGTACCGAGGTCGTGTCCGGCCGACCAAGCATCGTGAGTACTCGGAAGGAGGTGCGTCATGGGTACGGTCTGACATACATGGGGCACGATGCAAGTCCGATGGCTGTTTCGCTAACATTCCGAGAAGGCACGTTGGTCAACTCAAACAACCTCGACTTGCGTCATGGGGCGCCCCGCTCGAGCAAGGCGGTCGAGTCCGACGTGGAAGAGATGACTTTCGCTCGACGAACGCCGGACCAGTAGGCTCCGACCCACGCGCAGGGTCATACTATACCTGACGTTGCACAATTTCGATGTAGTGCCCAGAGCTCGGCCATGGGGCGGCACGGCTCGAGCTTGTGACCTGACATATGAAGATGCGAGAGTAAGCAAGTTCTGGATGTGCACAGGCGTATACTAGAAGGTTCCCTCGGCCAACATCGGTGAGGATGCCTGGGTATGCGAGGACAAACTTGGTCGGATCCAGACTTGGTCACCTATCGGAACACTAGACTGCACCCACTGCAACCGGGTCCAAAACTCTGGAGTCTGGACCAAGATCGTCCTGGGGATGCATGGTGAGCTGTCTGTGGAGAAGTCGTGGGGGTGAGATAGGTACCCGCTGTACGAACCTCCTCCAGTATTTGCGTGAAGGAGACGGCGATCCAAAGCGAAACAGGAAAATGAAATGAATGATTGACGTGTGGGTACTACTTGGTAGGAGTCGGACAGGAGAGACAGCGTGTCACGGACTGCGTCTCTCCTGGGGCGCCCAGGCCTGGGCTCCGCCAGCGGGTCGCACAACCTGACGCGGTGCTTAACGAGCTCTCTCGTCTAACCGGCATCTCCTCTGACCCATCCCATGGCTAGTCGTGTTGCAGGGACAGTAGCGGAAGGTATTTGAGGCATCTCATCGTGCGCGTGGCGACACAATTCACATATTCTTCCAGGCGGCTCGAAGATTTCCGTCACGTTGAAGGGGCTGTCTCGTTCTGTTCTGCCTAACGATCTGAAGCGGTTATGCGGGAGGTTGCGCGTGGAAAATGTGGCTTCCGGTGAGCGCGATATATTCACAACCGGTCAATCTCATACGAACGCGGGTTTGTAACAGTGGCCGTGAACTATACTCGGTTCAGACCAAACGGGAGCGCGACCCTTGCCTTCACGCGTCCGGAATTCGTCCCCGCTGCTGTGAAGGCTCTAGATAGGCATGTCCTGGGAGGCAAGATTATTCGTGCCGAAGCGAGCGATGAGATTCCCCAACTACCCCGGACGCGAGGGCCAAAAGGAGCGTTGGAAGCAGCGCAGCGAGCTGTCTACAGGGGTGACGGCCCCAACGCTGGGATCACAGGCGGAGGCAGGACGGTCTTGCTGTACGGTCTCCCTGCAAGGTTGACTCCTCAGATTGTTACGGATAATCTCCGCAACTTCAAATTTGCTGGATCAGAGAAGGGTGTCCCGGCCGTCTTGAAGATAGTCTAGTAAGTGGTTCATGTTAGCTCGGAGGAGTTATCTTGACTAACTGTTCGCAGTGCCCAGTCGTCAATGTCCCGCTTCCTGATCCGTCTAGCTTCGGTTTCAGAAGCATACCGCTTCGTACGCTCACTACACATGCAGAAGTGGCGGCCCGACCTCTACAACGACCAATTCATTGTGCGGGCGTCCCTGGTGTCATAGAGCGATCTCAGCACCGTCACGAGCAGTCTCTACTGTATACTTGGCAGACTTCCATGCGCATAATCTCATAGGCTCGTTCGAGTTCAAAATCTCGGATGCTGATAAGCAAACAACAAATGGCTAACGAACGATACACCGGACAACGGATAAGAGCTACGCTGCAAAGCCTCCTCACATGCGACTGGCGTCGTGTTCCTGCTCTTCCATTTTTGCGCGAGGTTCCTGCCATAGTGTGGTGTAAGCCCTTGTCAAGTGTCTCCGAATTTAGGGTACGCACCCCTCGTCCGCTCTCGCCTTCGTCGTCTGGCGATCGGGCACGTTTGAGAGGGTTCTCTGAGACATCTTTCCAGTCCCCTCCGCCTCCAGCAACGGCACCAGGTACGTCTTGGGCATCGTTGTAACGCTCTTCCACCTCTCTCCTACGTTCAATCTCCGCCCGCTGTGCTTGCGCGCCCCATCCTCCACGACCAGGATCGTAGTCTTGTCTGTGTTCGTCTCGGACCTGAAGGAGGCTTGTCAGTCGGGCTGTTTTGCTTCGAGGGACAGACTGCAACACACCTGACCACCGCTCTTTCCTCTGCCAAACTGCCGGCCATCTCGGTAGCCTAGGTCAAGGTCACAACGGATGATGCGCTCGTCAAGCTTGGTACCGCTGATGTATCGCAAGCAAGCTAGCGCCTCCGCATGACTATAATACTCAACAAAGCAGAACCCACACGGTGTCCTGCAAGCCAAATGAATGTAGATAAATTGACCTAGACGTAACATGGCATACCTTGTATTGCGGTCAAGGCCCATGATTATACGTTTGATTCCACCGCCATCCTCGGGTGTTGTGCACTTTGAAAAGAGCTCATATATCTGTTCCTCAGTGGTGTAAAAGCTCAGGTTGCCGACCTATGCACGCAGGTTAGCCCCTTGGAGTCGAGCCATAGGAGGACTGCAGCCCACGTAAAGGGTAGTGGACTTGGAGAGCAACTCGTTTTGTGTCTGGCGATCAACGCGGGACTGCGAGTCCTTGTAGTTGGAAGGCTGATCAAGAGGGGTGATTACATGGGCCATCGCGAGTCGACCAAGGGCAAAGCAGATGGATTTCGAGCACACCGGGGTGAACGTCCAGCGCAAAACGCTGCCTTCCCACAGACGCCCAAGGCGCTATCCTCCTCAGCTCACGTGCAAGCGCGAGACGCGTCGCCCTGTTCCACGGCCGCGTCAGCCTTACGCTCTCGACAGTACTCTCGACGTCCACACCACCTCCCTCGCCTGACAATAACTTGCTACCATGGATGAAATTGGCCTCGACATCAAGAAGGAGGTGCGTGCATTGAGCGCCGGTCGTGAACAAGACTGAAGTTACTGCACCAGGAGCCTACCTTCGAGTCCGTGGTGGAAGAGAAGACCGCGCTCTTACAGGAGCTCGAGTCCGAAGAGGACTTGTACATCAAGTACAAGAAACTTGCCCGCCACCTCGAGATGCTCGACATACAAGAGAGCTACATCAAAGATGAGCAGGCGAACCTCAAGCGCGAACTCATTCGCGCCCAGGAGGAAGTGAAGCGCATTCAATCCGTTCCCCTCGTCATCGGCCAGTTCTTGGAACCCATTGACCAGCACACCGGTATCGTTGGTTCGACAACCGGTTCGAACTATGTCGTTCGCATCCTGTCCACCCTTGACCGTGAACTCCTCAAACCGTCGTCGTCAGTGGCCCTCCACCGACACTCGAACGCCCTTGTGGATATCCTTCCGCCAGAAGCAGACTCCTCCATTGCGATGCTCGGGAAAGAGGAGAAGCCCGATGTTACCTACCAGGATATTGGTGGCATGGACACGCAGAAGCAGGAGATCAGGGAGGCGGTGGAGCTTCCTCTCACCCACTTCGATCTGTACAAGAAGATTGGTATTGACCCCCCTCGTGGCGTACTGCTCTATGGGCCACCAGGTATGTATCTGTCTTCTAACAACAATGGAGTTGCCGTTTGACCGTCTGTATAGGTACTGGCAAAACCATGCTTGTCAAGGCGGTAGCGCACCATACAACAGCTTCGTTCATCCGTGTGGTCGGCAGTGAGTTTGTTCAGAAATACCTAGGAGAAGGTCCCCGCATGGTCCGCGACGTCTTCCGCCTGGCACGGGAGAACGCACCCGCCATCATCTTCATAGATGAGATCGACGCCATCGCGACGAAGCGTTTCGACGCACAGACGGGTGCCGACCGTGAAGTGCAACGTATCCTGCTAGAGCTGCTGAACCAGATGGATGGCTTCGACCAGGGCAGCAACGTGAAGGTACATTTACAAATTCTGTAGGTTCTTGATGCACCAGTGTAGACGCCCTTCCACCACCACAGGTCATCATGGCTACCAACCGAGCGGATACTTTGGATCCCGCATTGCTTCGTCCTGGTCGACTCGACCGGAAGATTGAGTTCCCTCTCCCATCAAGACGAGAGAAACGTCTCATCTTCCAGACTGTCACCAGTAAGATGAACTTGGGGCCTGACGTTGATCTGGAGGACTGTGAGTGCTGTCGTGATTGTCCGGGACCGGAACTAACAGGCGTTGTAGACGTCTCGCGACCAGAGCGACTATCATCCGCAGAAATTACCTCCATAGTACAAGCTGCTGGTTTGCAAGGTTCGTGCCTATATGTCGCGTCTGGAAGAGAAGCTGAAGGGATCCGCTTAGCTGTACGAAAGAATCGTTACATCGTTTTGCCTGGCGACTTTGAGGAGGCGTGGAAAGTAAGTTGTTTGGCTGTATTTGTTCTACTATTGAAGCGCCCGAAGTATTTAAACCCACGCTCCTCCTTTCTTCCAGCAAAACGTCAAACGCGCCGACGAGACCTTGGACTTCTGTGCGTGCTGTTTCTTCTCCCTCTCATACGTCCGACTCAACATTGGCTTTTCTCTTGATCAGATCGGTGAATGCTATCGTGTTCTTTGTGTGGTGAGTCTGATGACGTGTCGTCTACCCGTACCGTCGCTCACCCTTGTTGGCTTTCGCAGGTCGCATTTGTATCGTACTGGACAATATATTCTTCGCATTTTGACCATGTTTCCATGGGCCACCAATTCGAGATAATAGCTCTACACTTTAGTGTCCTGTCGGCCTGTTTCATCGGCGGGACATTCATTCAATAGAGCAAAATCAACGTGTTCATCTGTCCCGTGCTTTTTTTGCCTCTCCTTCCAATTGCGTTGTCTCTGCGGAGGGCGTTCACGCGTTCTTCGTATGGGAGGAGTGGTTCACACGCGGGAGACACTACTTTCAGGATGCTCATAGTAGGCTGAATGGTATGTTGGACCTTCCTCCGGCATGTTGCGATGCTCACGATCCCCTACAGTACACTCGTCAAATATATTTGCTACTATTTTTCATGATCGTATACGTGCAATCGTGCTTCCGACCAGCTCTCCAACACTCTGGGTGACGTTACTTGTTGACACGATCATCCTCATTTTATGAGAGCAAGAGTATCATCTACCGTCTCTCTAGCGACAGTCTTCAGAACAGTGGAGGCTGTCGACTCGAATCGATGGTCACATCCTCATTGCCTTACATGTTATCTGTTGTACGTTCTCGTCCAATATATATCCATGTCTAGCTATGTTGCGACTGCTCGCGAGATATGATATTCCTTCATCGTCCGATACCGTAGCCATCGTAAGTGCAGCTTAGCTAATCGCCCTGTGTACTTACAATGTAGAAGTTTCTACTTTGTCGTACAGTACTGTACAACTTCCTATCCATTGATATCCGTACAGCCTATCTTTTGCCCGGTTGCCCAAGCTCGCTCGCCCTCTCTGTAGCTACCTGGATGGCACGAGCGATAGTCGAACGAACACGACCGTCTTCCATAGCCAACAAGCCCGCAATTGTGCAGCCACCAGGAGCTACGAACCAGACGTCTTAGAAACCCTGTGGTGGAGAGCTGAAACAAGGTCGGCTTACTCGTCACAGCGTCCTTGAGCTGCGCAGGATGAGTACCGGCTTGCAGTGTCATTCGGGCGGCTCCCTGCAACGCTATACTTTGAGCTGGTATCTGGTGCTCAGCTTCGATACACGGGCAAAAGCATACTCTGTGCTGCGAGCTCTAACGCTTCCGCGCGCGGCAGCCCCATCATCACTCCGCCGTCGGCCATTGCCTCAAGGAAGATGCAAGCGAACGCGGGCCCAGACCCGGACAGCGCCGTGCAAGCGTCGAAGTGCTTCTCTTCCAGGAAGCGGCATCGGCCAATGGACGAAAATATGTTGAGGATGATGGACCTCTCAAGCTCAGACTCGTCCGACGGCTCGAGGGTACTGACGACCGTCATGCCCTCACGGATCTAGACGTGGTCGAGCAAGCGTCAGCGCGAGAGGGGGCACCTCCAAGAGGCCCCGGAACATGGGGCGCACGGACCTTGCAGGGGGTATTGGGCATCGCGCGCACGACCTTCGTGGAAGGCAGGACCATCGCCTCGAGCTGCGCGATGGTTACCCCGGCCAGGATGCTGATCAGCAGTTTCCCGTCTAGGGCTTCTTTCATCCCCGACTCGCTGAGGATCTTTTGGGCTATCTGCGGCTTGCAGCTGGAGGATAAATGCATGTGCTCAGAATTGTCGCCGGGCGCAGAGGGGACGTAAGATGTTTTGATCTCACCAGAGCAGTATGACATTGGACTGGCGGGCCGCGTCCACATTCCGTGCTTGGACGATCTCGACATTCCGTCCAAGAGTACCGGCAGAGAAGAACGCGTTTGCCAGCTTCTTTGCGGTCTCCTCGCGGCTCACGCACGCGATGAAGCGAGAAGGAAGGGACTCGTCCTCCAAGGTTTGCGGGGTGACCGTGCCCGGAGTGTGCGACTCCCATTTCTTGGGCTGAGGGACGAATGAATGTCTGGCGTCAAGACTGGCGAGGACGCCGGAAAGGATGGCGACGCCCATAGTACCGCATCCTAGATGAACGTAAGGACGACGTGGAGAAGCGTGAAATGCGGGGGAATTACCTAGAACGCAGAGAGTATAGCCCATGGCGGTTACGGAGGAGTCAGCTGAGAAGAGTGGGCAGGGCAACTCGTCGCGGGTGCTGGATCTGATCAAATCGCCGGTGGAAACACGAGAGCGAATTCAATGGCCGAGGCCTCAGAATATATGAAGCAGCTCCTGAAGCGCGTCAAGGTCGAGAATGCGCACCAAAGTTGCAGCAGCCTCACTACCCATAGCTTGAACCCCCGCGCGTGCTCGACGACCATGCCCGAGTCATTCGACCCCTCGCCCGCCTCGATCTCCGACGGCAGCTCTACCTCCACCGCCTCCGACCGGGGCCATGTCTTCGTGACCGTCGGATCCACTCGCTTCGACGCCCTCGTGCAGAAAGTCCTCTCTGAGCCCGTGCTGGATGTGCTCCGCGCCAAGGGGTACCGGACTCTGGACGTCCAATGCGGCAACTCTGACTTCGACGCATCCCAGCTCAGCCGGAATGGCGAAGACCGCTGGCAGCGCGCAGGGGACGTAGAGACAAGCGTATGGCGATTCAAGCCGACTCTGAAGGAGGAGTACGAACGGGCTGACTTGATCATTAGCCATGCAGGTAACGTCTATTCCCCCACATGCATCATGGCTCTAGCGCGAACCGACGTATCTACCCCCGCATCCGCATCCGCTCCCGTTCCCCAGGCTCCGGCACCATCATCGACGTTCTTCGCCTTGGAAAGCCTCTCATCGTCGTTCCCAATGAGACCCTCATGGACAACCACCAGGCCGAGCTCTCCGATGCCTTAGCAGCCCTGGGGCACTTGATGTCGTCGTCTGTCGCGTGAGCACATCTCCGCCGTCTCGTCTGTATTGCGTGAGTTGCGCTAACACCTTCAATGACGCTATGCAGCGGTCTGTCGAAGGCCATCGAGACCCTTAATACCTCTGCCCTCGTGCCCTTCCCGCAGTTCGACGGCAGCAGGTTCCGGGAGTTGCTCGACGAGGAGATGGGCTTCATTCATAGTCGCGACAATAGCAGCAGCGGGCGCTGATCAAGTGTACAATTCTCCGTTCTTTCCTACCCTGGACCTTCTGATGTATGAATCCTTGTCACCACTGCTACCACACCCCATTCAAGTCCTGTTATACCCCACCTGTACGCCATCCATGTCACCAATAGTATAGCAATCGATCTGCAATATTCTTATTTCCGTGTGCGATCTCTTTCTCGGCATCTGCCATCCGTCGACGCACTCTATACCGTCAAGATGCCCGACGTTCAGCCGACTACCGTGTCTGTGGAAAATCCTCAGTCATACGAAGATACGCACGTACACGCTGTCTATGACGAGATTGCGCCGCACTTTGCATCGACGCGCTACAAGGTGAGTCTCTGCCTTCATTGCATGACTGTGTGCTGATAGGATGCCCTCTAGCCGTGGCCTATCATTGCCGCTTTCCTTGCTTCTCTGCCTACAGGATGGATTGGCGTTGATTTAGGCACTGGGAATGGCAAATATCTTCCCCTGCCTGCGGACCGGCCAGGTAGTGTCTGGACCATTGGGTACGACAGGAGTATCAACCTGCTCAAAATCGCCAAGCGAGCAGGCGATGTCGACCGCGAGGTCGTCTTGGGAGATGTTCTGGACAACCCCTGGCGTAAGGGTGCCTTTGTATGTATCTTCGACGACTGGGCTCAGCTGCTTGTGCTGTATACTGAACATATCAATCACAGGACTATGCTATCTCAATAGCCACCATACACCATCTAGCCACCCCCGCAAGACGAAAACTCGCCGTTCAAGTAAGTTCTGCCCACTACTGCATTACATGTATCGCCAATTACATGCTTGCACGCAGAGGCTACTCCAGACAATATCTCCTTCGCATGGACGTGGCCTGATCTACGTCTGGGCGATCGAACAAGACGACCTTTCAAAACGCAGCATACCGACGTGTCCGAATCCCAAAGACTCACGGTTTGACATATTCACCCTGATAAACAAGGGCCAGGACGTATTTGTCCCTTGGGTGCTGGCGCAACAGGCAGACCCCAAGCCGAAGGGTCGGAAAGGGAAGAAGACGCATGCCATTTCGTCAGAAGAATCTGAGCCCGCACCGACAGCACCTAGTTCTCCTCCCAAAGTCTTCGAGAGATACTACCATATGTTCGCACATGGAGAGTTAACCGACTTGGTCACAGAGGCAGCGTTGGAGACGGGGCTGGTAATAGGACAGCCTCCTGAGGCTATTGTTCCAGGTCGGAAGATTCAAGGTGTGCAAATTGTCCAGGATGGCTGGGAGAGGTCGAATTACTATGTAGAGGTGCATCGTTGGGAACTATGACTTGAAGCGACTGAGGGTGTGTAGCACGCAAGTACATGGCAATCATCGAAAAGCCTAAGGGGTAGATTTTGGAGGCGACAAGACAATGCAAAGCAATGTGGTAATAATACAATGAGACACAGCACGATCACTCGCTCGCAGCCATAACTGTAGAGCATCGTCAGTACTCTTTAGCGCGCTCCGAGGAACAACGTATACGCACTGGCATTGATCAGATCGCCTCCACTCTCCTTGAGTACACGGACGGCTTTTGCACGAGAGCAGCCAACCTGTTGGATGACGAGCTCGATGTCCTTCGGGTCAACGCCGGACTCATCAACGGTGCCATCCTCCTCGACCGCCTCGAGCTCAGGGATGTCGTCGTCGTCATCGTCGCCACCGCCCACACCGGAGTTCTGGATATTGGGGACACCCGCGCCCGCACCGCTCGCGAGCTGCTGAGCAGCCGAAAGCTGAGCCTGCGAGTTCATGTCCTCGATCTGGCACCACAGAATGAGCACTTGGCTGATCTATGCATATTATGGTATGCACGCACCTTCGCCTCACCAAAGACGATGTAGCAGTCGCTGTTGGGTGACTTGTACACATCCGGATTCGCGATCACGAAGAGGACCTAGAGTAATAGATGGGCCACGCATTCATTAACTCTCCCATCTCAGTCTCATGGGCATCCACTCACATTCTTTGGCCTGCGAAGGGTCACACGGGTGATGCCAGGGACCTTCTTGAGGCCAAGGGTGAGAAGAGCCTTCCTCGCCTTGCGCTCCGAGCGGGACTGGATCTTGTCGAGCGCCGCCTGGCTAGTCGGGTCCTCCTCGTGGCCGTGGTCGTGGTCGTGGTCGTGACCCTCGTGGTCAGAGTGGTCGGAGTGGACTTCCTCAATGGTGGCAGACATCTGAGAGGACAAGCATTCCCATTAGCGCTGTCTGTGCATTCATCCGGGAAGTCGAAGGCCAATCCATCGACATCGACAAGTTCGCCGGACGTGTGCTATTCCCCTGCATGTTTGAAGTGACTATCAGTGCTGAACAAAGCGCTTACCTTGGTTTTGGGCGAGGGAAACGGGTCAAGGGGCGTGCTCGCTGTAGTGAACGGTGGCGGGGGTGTGCAGGCGAAACCCTAACCTCATGTCTTCGATAGCCGAGATGAAGTAAAAGCGCTCAATGGAACCCTTCTCTTGACCTTGTAACTGAACCGTTGGCCCTCATGCAGGCAGCATACATGTGTATCACTTCGTACAATGACCCCATTCCCCTACGTACCAAAGATGCGAACTGAAAAATTGCTTCTGTGCTAGTCTGGTGGTGCGTCATGAGTTCGGTGTATCCTCCGTCCTGAAGTGTACCCTGTACCTCCCAGGATCGAGTTGACACCAGCGGTATATACACTGAGAACGCCCCTTTCAGATGCCATGCGTAATACAACGCGCGATTTCATGATCGGTAATTGGTGTTCTCTATTCCTCCTGTCTGGAGTTGCATACTCCGCAAGTGATGGAGTGCAACGTCATAAGTCGCATATTGAGCGGTATGCATAGAGTATATATTGCAGCCGCCCCCTCCGTCTTATTGTGCTATAAACCTACTGCACTGCAACGCGAACTTCAACTCAACATGGACCCGGAGACAAAACAGGCGGCGTATCACAGCTCCGCGTACAACGCGGCAGGCGGGGCAATCATGAGCTTCACCCCCATAAAGCAAATTCACCAGCATATATGTGCTTTCCACGTATACTCGTGAGTCTGACTTCGCGTCTTTGCGACTTCGTTGACCAGTACCTTCCAGACATGACCACTCCCGCCATGTTCGTGCGGACCATTTTTGCACGCATTTGAACCATGAGTTTCATCAATGTGTCATTTACGACTCCGATAAGCCTGATGCCAGACTCATCGGTATCGAGTACATCATATCCGAGAAGGTAAACCTCATATCACATGGTGAGCGTGCGAGCCGGCTTACTTAGACGTCCCTAGATCTTCGAGTCTCTGCCTGTGGACGAGAAGAAGTTCTGGCACTCTCATAAATACGAGGCATGTTGCGGACATGTGCTTTCAGTTGGAACCTTGGTATACTGAATGTACTCTTAGGTAGAGAGCGGTCTCCTGCAGCTCGCTCCGAAATCGTTCGTGCCAGGTGCGTCTACATCGACGCAGAGTTCCCATGTTAGGCATATACCAACGCTCGATCAGGCGCTGCGATAGACCTGGCTGAGCAGCCAGCAATGATACAGCTGCAGAAGACCTACGGCAAGACGATCCACACATGGCAATATGACATCCATCCAGATCTTCCTCTTGGCCCTCCTACGCTTATGACCTCATACACGCGTGACGGTCAGGGACCTCCTGAGGACATGGTGAAGAAGAGAGATGAGGAGACGGGTCAAGATACCTCGGTGAAGAAGGAAGTCCGCAAGGGATACCTGCCCCCTTATGAGACCATGGTAGGAAGCTCGGACTCGCTGCAGGAGGGCGGGCGTGGGATTGTGTTTGAGGTAAAGGAAGTGTCAGCGAAGAAGTAGGCTTTGCATGGCACCCACGGATCGCAGCGCGTGAGTTCACTTGTCCCGCGCCCCACACTTACGGTGTCGGATACAATAGTTGGCCTTAACGTGCATGTGAGAATCTACTCGCGGCGCATTGTTTGCTTTCATAGCTCGTTACTTCCAGTTCTCTTAAAAAGTCTGCGGTCTGCGCAGCGACCGTCCTGTGCAAGCAAATCGTCATCGCTGCCGTGCAGGAGGGAGTAGCGCAACCTCCGCGATATTTAGCTGCTCTTGTGAACGGTTCCCGAGACTGCGCGATCAAGGTGGCCGGATTCCCGGGCATTACTCATCATAACGTACACGAATCGCGAGCACTATAAAGCAAAGGCTTCCTCACAATTCGGACTGCCTCCCCTTCCTTTCCAAGCTCAGGTTGGCGACGCATCAGAGCTATGGGGCAGTCGGGCCCTCTGCTCCGCCGTCAGCCCTTCAAGGGACTCTACATCGCATACCTCGTGGGCTCCACGGTCTTGATCCGCCTACCGTACTGGTGTATACGCTACGCGCTACCATACATGCGTCCTAGGTCGTCCTGGTCCCTCAGACGATGCGTCACGGTTGCTGCATATAGAGAGGTCTTGACCGGCGTTCCTTTGAAGCTCGGTCTTGACAATAGTCATCCTCCCCCAACGTCAGACAACGAGCTGAAGGACGCGAAGTTCGTACGGATCGAAGGGCTCAGCGAAGACTCCGTCGAATTCTGCGGAGAGCTCCGTAGAGCAACGAGACGCACAGGCATACGGCCAGAGACAATATCTGCCTACTGGTTTCTCAGACCTGGAACAAATATTACAAGGGATCTGCAGGCGACGGCGGGGGAGAAGGTTGCAATGCATATCCATGGAGGTGCTTTCTACGTAAGTGTACTAAGCTATATGCGAGGCATTCCCATAATTGACATCATATTCAGTTAAACAGCGCTCATCCCGACGATGCGACGTCCCAGTTAAGCCTTGGGCTTCTGGCACATAGTCACTCACTGAGCCGGGTGCTCGGTGTGGATTATAGGCTTTCAGCAACGGCGCCCAACCCACCGAAGAATGCTTACCCCGCAGCGCTGCTCGATTGCGTCGCGGCGTACCGATATCTCGTCAAGGAGCTGGGGTTTGCGCCCGAGAACATAACCATTGTCGGGGACTCCGCAGGTGGAAATCTCGCAGTCGCCACGACTCGGCACCTTGTCGAAAACTCCATTCCGGGACTGCCGCCGCCAGGTCGTCTTCTCCTGTGCTCCCCTTGGCTGGATATCGCGGGTAGTCGCGGCGGACCCAACGACCCGAGGGTCTGCAACTGGTATAGCGATATCCTGGGCGGCCTCTCAGACTACCCGCACAGAGCCTACCTCGGGACGCTGATCGACGCGGGCGATAAGAAGACGAACCCATACATCTCCCCTGCGTCGGGGTATATCACCGAGACCGAAGGCTTGTTTAAGGGCTTTCCGCGTACGTACATCTCAGCGGGCGGCGCGGAGTTGATCTTGGACGACTCTATTGTGGCTGCAGAGAGGATGGAGGCCGACGGCGTGGACGTCGTGCTTAATGTCGAGCCCGACGCTGTACACGATTACATGATCTTCACCTGGATGGAGCCTGAGCGCACCGAGGGTCTCAAGAAGGCGAGCAAATGGTTGGATAGCTGAGAAGCCGGTAGAACGACGGTGCGCGTCTTTTTACAAGTACTTCATAATCCGTGACTGAAGGACTCTAATGCCGCAACAGGACTATACCCGATGGACTTGGTCGGACGAGCTTGAGGACTGGGAGGTTGCGCGTTGTATTTGAGGTGTATATTCCTGGTGTGCCTTTATACAGGTGTACTTCAGCTCTGTTCAAAATGTACATAGCTTGCAAGTACTGGCCGGTGTATGGTCGAATAGAGAGAACGCCGACTCAGAAGATATCTGGCGGCTACTGTGAGATCAGTGAGCGCCTACACAGATCAACCCGGTTTGGCGAAAGGATCCGCGCTATGCGGTCATGTCTTCTTCCCCGACCGTCGCCGACCTATGCACTCAACTTCGACTGCTCCTCGAATCCTCTCCCGATGCCATATCAATCAACGAGATTCTTGCACGCGTAGACTCATTCGTACTAGAATGTTCTGCATCTCAAGAAGCAAGCACGCTCCTTTATCAGCTCGAAGTCGAGCTCGAAGCAGTTTACGACGAAGTCCTCTGCCATGCCTTGTTTCCTCGAGTTGAACTTTTCCTTGCATTCCTCTACCACCTGCGCCCGGTATTGCCATCAATTGCAATCATATCCACCTGGTTCGACCTTGTGCTTCGACCTACCTTACGAGAACCAAAGCTTCCGCTGCCGGCTGTGAACTATGCGAAAGAGCTCATCATCACTGCGCTCGACCCTGGAAACAACTTCAGCCATTCGGACGCAGAGGACGCGAATTCAGAGGCCGACAAACAAAAGGAACGAGTAGGCGACTTTCGGAGGCGACTGGTAGATCTATACCTGTTGGATGCGTACAACGAAAGCTCCGGAGATGATGTTTTGGAGTGGGCGGAGCTAGATCAGGACCAACGAGAGAGGAAGGCCTGCTGGAAGTCTAATCTTGAGGATATCCTCGTCAGAATTGGACTCGAACGACCCAAGGTGAGCTTGCTCCAAAGTGTGACGCTACTTATAGTGGGTGACCGCCTTGCAGGATTTCTTTACCGAACTATATCACTGCTTCATCCTGCCGATATCTCGTCTACAACTCCTCACTCTCCTCAATGCATACACCTCGCACCCTCATTTCCCAGCACATGCGGACGTCCTAGCATCACACCCCCTCATGACCTCACTATTGCACTCCCTCATCTTTGACAACTCCTCCACGGTCTGCACTATTGCATTGACTATCCTTAGCAAGCTCCTACCTGTATTCGCCGTCAAGGCCTCCGGTCACCTGAAGAGCCTTTTGCCCCTTCTGCTCGTTGTTCTTGCACGCATTCTCTGCTGGAAAGAACGCCCACCATGGACTCCACTGCTCCCTGCATCTCCTGAAACGGATGACACTGATGCTGAGGATGCAGCGGCATCCGGCGACGACGGTCTGAACCCTCGTGAAGGCGCACGTCCACTTCCTATACGCGAGGACCTCGACTGGACACGGCTGGAGCTGACGTTTGACGGCGCACCATCGGGTGCGCCATCTGTCCATCGCTACTTCACGTTCCTGTACTACCTCTTCCCGTGCAATACCATACGGTTCCTCCGTTTCCCTGTCAAGTATCTGAACGACAGCGGGCTTGAAAGCGTGTACGCGTTGGACTGGGATGCCGCGCTCGACGAAGAGAAGGTCCGGAGCAAGAGCGAGGTGAGCAGTGCTGACATTCATGTTCGATGATCCATGAGCCGACTTCGTCTACCTCCATGTGATTATAGCGACTGTTGCGCGGGCACGTCCTACACCCGCTACTGATCTGGCGCGAGCCGCAAGAGGAGCTCGAGAAGCCGGACTTCTGGTCGAATTACGACATCCCACAGATCGTGGGCGGCGCAACTATGCTCGACGTGCGCAACGCCGCCCTGGGGCTGCGCCAACAAGAGCAGCAGGGACCGCAACCCGTCGGTGCTTCCCAGCCTTCCGAGCAACCTCCATCTCCACAGTACGAAAGGGCATCTCGGCCGCCATCCATCGCCGAGCCCATGTCACTCGTTGCGGAGGCTGAGGGTGGTGTGGATGCCGCCGCACCGCTGTCATCGTCAGTGGAGACCGTCCATCTAGGGCCAGAATTGCACTCACCGGACACGCCTGCGGCAGCGGCTCCCGTGCGGCTGAAGGTGTCGCTGTCGGAGATGGTGGCGACGTCAGTCGCGTTGCGGTCGGGTTTCGATGTCGAGATTGTGGACGCGCCGTCGGAGTGGTCGACTACGTTGTTTCCCCTCCAGCCCCGGACGCGCTCGCCGTCGCGCAACGATGGCGAATCGCCACAGCCTCGGGAAGAGGGCGGTGAGCCGTCTCCTGGTCCCACGCCGTCAGACAAGGCGACGCAAGGGGATGGGACCGTGCCCGCGCACGTCGCGCAGGCTATATCGGCGCTGCAGCGGGAGATTCTGCTCCTCCGGAACGACCTGAACCTCGAACTGTGGACAGCGCGCGAGAATGTGGCGCATATCGGACGGCTGTATAAGGACCGTGTGTTGTCGCGGAACGAGGAGGCCGAACGGCAGGGTCTGGTGCGTTTCTACGTTGTGTACGCTATCGAACCAACTCACTGAGCGCTACCGTAGCACAACAAGCTGAAGGAGTACAAACACATGGTCACGCGTCTGAGGCGGGAGCTGAAGGAAGAGAAGGACCAAGCGGTTACACAGCGGCTGCGGTACACGGACTGGAACAGGGAGCTGCAGGATAGGATTGCGGCGCTCCGTGCCGAGAAGAAGAAATGGACGAGCGAAGCTGCGTCAATGCGTGCTGCGGAGAAGGAAGCGAAAGTGAGCATCGCCTGAAACTGGTTCTTGCAATCGGTGGCTCATGCTGGGGATGTGTTCAGGACACGTTCGCTGCGCAGGGCAAGCTTTTGGCAGACGCCAATCAACTGGTGTTCCGCCTCGAGACACAGATAAAGGAGAACGCGCATAAAGTGGATCGGCTGCACGACTACGAGACGCAGATTGACCAACTGATCAAGCTGCAGCGGCTATGGTGACCAGTGCTCGGCAGTGTATTATCTGTTCGTATTCCGCTTACATGGACACTGGCACAGGGAATCGGACGTGCAGAAGCTGAACGATAGCAAGGAGTATCTCACCGCCTTTGCGAGCAAGTACCGGAAGATGGAACTTCGGCTGGAAGCATATGAGAAGACACTTGGCCAGATGGACGCAAGTGCCGCGTGAGTGTCCTACAATTGACAGAAACATCGAGCAACTGATTGTCCCGATGACAGTGTTCAACGGCAACAAATTCTCGTTCTCGAGAGCGAAGTCAAACATTGCAAGAAACAGCTAGAAACGGCGCGGCGGAGTTCGGTGCATAATGCACATGCTGCTTTGCCCACCGAGTTGGTGAAAGCGCGGGAAACGCATGAGCGGCTCAGAAGGGAGAACGACGAGTTGCGAGAAGAAGTAGAAGAGCTGAATGCTATGGTGGAGGAGCTGAAGGGCAAGGTGAGCGGGCGGACAGGCCTCATAGGATCGCCGCGAGTAGGGTCGCCGATCTCGCCGCGGTCGTCGCCGCCGCGACCTTGATATCTAGCGCTCTGTAATAGTTGCACCCAATAAGGAAAGTGAGGTAGAACGTCGTAGAAGAGGATGGAAGGTTCGCGCTGAGGACGAGACGAGGACACGGGCGCCTGGCCGCATTGGTAGAGAAAGACGGAAGGTTCTCGAATGGCGAGGCGAGGCAAGTACATAAACCGTCTGCAGCCCTCTGCCCGCTCTCCAGATCTGCTCAATCTTTGTCCCACATCTCGTCTTTCCCTCACGACCCTCACGCTCAAAAATGGCCTCTGAAAGCTTTGGCTTCCAGGCTGAGATCAGCCAGCTGCTCGACCTCATCATCAGTGCGTACCTGCCTTATTCGTTATGTCCTAGAACAAGCCTCTCATACGCCTTACCGCAGATACCTTCTACTCCAACAAGGAGATTTTCCTTCGTGAACTCATCTCCAACGCGTCCGATGCCCTCGACAAGATCCGTTACGCGTCCCTCACGGATCCCTCTGTCCTTGACACGGGCAAGGACCTTGTCATCAAAATCATCCCCGACAAAGAGAACAAGATCCTCTCCATCATTGATACCGGTATCGGTATGACCAAGGCCGACCTCGTCAACAACCTTGGTACTATCGCCAAGTCCGGTACAAAGGTAATTTTCAGTGTATTCAGTAGTAACTGAGGGGAATCGTTAACATTTTGCGCAGGGTTTCATGGAGGCGCTCCAGTCTGGCGCCGACATCTCCATGATTGGCCAGTTCGGTGTCGGTTTCTACTCCGCTTACCTCGTCGCGGAGCGCGTGCAGGTCATCTCGAAGCACAACGACGACGAGCAGTACATCTGGGAGTCTGCGGCCGGCGGCACCTTCACCATCACCCCCGATACCATTAACCCCCCTCTTGGCCGTGGTACCGAGATTCGCCTCTACCTCAAGGAGGACCAGACTGAGTACCTCGAGGAGAAGCGCATCAAGGAGATCGTCAAGAAACACTCCGAGTTCATCTCCTACCCCATCCAGTTGGCGGTGACTAAGGAGGTGGAGAAGGCAAGTAATCATTCGGCTGCCTGCGCGCTTTTGGGATGTTTCTGACCGGTCAATTGTAGGAGGTCGAGGACGAGGAGGAAGTCGCCGAGGACAAGGAGGAGTCCAAGGTTGAGGAGGTCGAGGACGAGGAGAAGCCCAAGGAGAAGAAGACCAAGAAGATCAAGGAGAAGGAGGTCACGACCGAGGAGCTCAACAAGACGAAGCCTATCTGGACGCGCAACCCTTCAGACATCACCCAAGAGGAGTACGCGGCGTTTTACAAGAGCTTGACCAACGACTGGGAGGATCACCTGGCTGTCAAGCACTTCTCGGTCGAAGGTCAGCTCGAGTTCAAGGCTATTCTCTTCGTCCCCAAGCGGTGCGTAGTCTCGCGATCAGCGTTGCCACTCTCAAACTGACGGGCATCTCACAGCGCACCCTTTGACCTCTTCGAGTCGAAGAAGAAGCGCAACAACATCAAGCTCTACGTCCGCCGTGTCTTCATCATGGATGACTGCGAGGACCTCATCCCCGAGTACCTCAACTTCATCAAGGGTATCGTCGACTCGGAGGATCTTCCGCTCAACATTTCGCGTGAGACGCTCCAGCAGAACAAGATCCTCAAGGTCATCCGCAAGAACCTGGTCAAGAAGTCACTTGACCTCTTCTCCGAGATCGCAGAGGACAAGGACAACTTCAACAAGTTCTACGAGGCGTTCGGCAAGAACATCAAGCTCGGTATTCACGAGGATGCCCAGAACCGTAGCAAGCTTGCCGAGTTCTTGCGCTTCTACACGACGAAGTCTACCGAGGAGTTGACTTCGCTCAAGGGTGAGTGGTTGTCGACATTTCTTTCGCGTTCATGACGCTAACTTGCATCTTCAGACTACATCACTCGCATGCCCGAGGTCCAGAAGAACGTCTACTACCTCACTGGCGAGTCGCTCTCCGCTGTCAAGGACTCTCCTTTCCTCGAGGTCCTCAAGAAGAAGGGCTTCGAGGTTCTCCTCCTCGTCGACCCCATCGACGAGTACGCCATCACTCAGCTCAAGGAGTTCGAGGGCCACAAGCTCGTTTGCGTGTCGAAGGAAGGTCTCGAGCTCGAGGAGACTGAGGAGGAGAAGAAGGCGCGTGAGGAGGAGGCCAAGCAGTTTGAAGACCTGTGCAAGGCGGTGAAGGACGCGCTCGGCGACAAGGTCGAGAAGGTCGTCGTCTCGAACCGTATCACAGACTCGCCCTGCGTTCTCGTCACCGGCCAATTCGGCTGGTCGTCGAACATGGAGCGTATCATGAAGGCGCAAGCACTCCGTGACTCTTCGATGTCGTCGTACATGGCGTCGAAGAAGACCCTCGAACTCAACCCCCACAACCCCATCGTCAAGGAGCTCAAGCGGAAGGTTGCAGAGGACAAGGCGGACAAGTCCGTCCGCGACCTCACCTACCTCCTCTTCGAGACCGCTCTCCTTACCTCCGGTTTCTCGCTCGACGACCCCACGTCATTCGCGAAGCGCATCCACCGCATGATCGCTCTCGGTCTCGACGTTGACGAGGAGGAGTCCCAGCCTGTGGCGGCGCCAACGAGCACTGAGACTCCCGCAGCTGAGGCTGCGGCGACCTCTGCGATGGAGGAGATCGACTAGAGGACACGCGCGTTTCTTCTTGATGCCTCTGGGGTTACGGTCGATACGCTACGCAGTTTACATTCATCTGTATATTAGACTATCTGTCGAGCATTGCTGTCTTGTTGCATCTCATACACTCATCACCTACGGTAGCATCGCAATAGCATTCCCTTTGCTTCTCTGCTGGTCTCGTGTGACTTGTGCGGGTTAGTAGGCGTCGAGAAACAATCGTCCGTATCTGGCCATGCACGATGATAACAACGGAGCGCTCGAACTTATTGCATATCGTCCCTTCCGAAGTCTATTGTACACGTTCGGCACTTGGGCATTCGTCTACTTCTTCCTCCACAGGACGACGGTAGTCGTGTACGGGTACTCGAAGATCCCCTTGTCTTCGTCAATCCACTTCAAGATGTCCTTCTGTTTCAGAACTGAGTCGATATCATCGATGACCTTCTGCTTCTCATCCGGAGGAAGGATCGCAATGTAGCTCTTGCTGCACGCACGGTTGACGACGATGTCGCGGGTACCTTCCAGGACAAACTCGAATACTTCCTCTTCCGGCGGCTCGAAGTTTGCCTGATACCCAGGTGTCGAAAAGGTGGCACGCCACAGGCCGAGACGGAATTGCGGTGTTCCGCTCTCGTGTGATTCATAGCGATCACGGAGCTGGGCAACCCACGCTGAGCGGTCTCTGAGGAGACGGGTTCAAATGGTGAGCTTAAGTCGCAGCGTGGGTAGCTTTGGAAGTGTTCACCTGTCCTCGAGGTTCCAAATGAGTGCGACGACCCCTCCTTGTTTGAGCACTCGGGCGAACTCAACGGCCGCCTTGTTGTAGTCCGGGCACCAATGGTACGCCTGCGGGAAGTTTATATGAGCTACGGGCCCAACGAGCAATGAGCGAAGACGTCGGGAGGACGAAATACGCACTTGAGCGATAACGATGAGATCGGCCCATCCGTCCTCGATGCCGGTCTCGTCAAACGTGCCCTCACGGATCGACACGCGCGGGTCCGTCACGGTCTTGGTGAACTGCTCGCGCATGCCCGCGCTGGGCTCGACGGCGCGGAGCTCATTCACGGCATGCGTCCAGTCGGGGTGCGCGAGCAGGGCGCGGGTGAAGATACCGGTGCCCGCGCCGAGCCTGTATGATCTCGTGAGCTATTCACCGGCATCGATGGCAACCAGGCGCGACGCGTACTCGACAATGTTTAGCGGTCCGGATGTTTGAACAGCTTTGCGGATGTGCGCTATGGCACTGGGCTTGTAGGAGGGACGTGCGCTATTGACGGCAAACCGAAATGAGATTCGCCGCTCTGGCATCTGAGTGCAAAGCATCGCATACCGATCATAGAGTTCATTCGTCCCGGCACCGAAGCCAGCTTGGGCGAGTGTATGCACCTTGGCGGACATCTCGACTGACAAGTGAGGTCTAGGAACGATGTGGGCGGTATGTTTGTGTGTAGATCTAAATTCAATGCAATCGATCAATAGCGATCACCTGGTTCCGGGAACATGCTTACCTCGCGCAGTTGCCTTGGGCAGCAGGTCTCGCGGCGTGAGCGATATGTGTACAGACATCCTCAAGTTTTCCCCTTTATGTATATCGGCTGCCTGCGATAATGCAAACCCGGTGACGCCATACTTGGGCTGTTGATATCTACAGGCCGAGGGCGTCCGACGCCGAAGACTGCTACAGCAATAATTAGACCAATGGTGTGAGATGCTGGGATATTCTCGTGACCCAAATGTGCAATCGTCCGAGTCAGAGCAGGTTCCGTCCCACACCGGGGGCAATCCGCCGTGTAACGCAAAGTGGGATTGCTATTGCATAGGCAGAACGTGAGATCTTCGTCCTGGTGCGCTACGTAGCGGGTCAAGACTTTTTTGCCGCTCAAAAGTTCTTCGGTTAGGTCCGTTAGGTTTTGAGTTCGGGTTTGGGTTCGGGCGGTAACAACACCTTTTCCCCCAGAGGGGAGCTGCCGCCTGTATTAATCGCGCGAACGAGGCTTTAGAGTGCCTGCCTGAGTGCTACCGGCTTGAGGGACCCCCGAGCGCAGCGAGGGAGGGGAGGGAGCACGAATGGCGGGTCCTCTTCGCGCAAACCCCAAGACCTCACTTCAAGCGCCTGACCACGAAATTTGGAACTTTTTGATATACATAAACTACTTAGAAATCGACTTGCTATAGCAACGCTATGGTCCCGCTATGGGGCCGCCAATAGCGCACTGGGACGAAGACCGATGTTCCCAGCGCACCAGGACGAAAAACTGACGTTATGCTCTATACAGTATAGCACATGTATTTGAAGCGGCGGCCAGACTACAAAAGGATGAGGACAAAAACGAACGACACCAGCAGGATTTGAACCTGCGCCCGCAGAGCGGAACAGATAATCGAGCATTCGAATCTGTCGCCTTAACCACTCGGCCATAGTGTCTCCTGGTCATGTTCTAGCTTTTACCATCCTATGTGCTTGCTTCGTTGCTGATGAAGCTCAAGGTTTCGTAACCCTGGCAATGGGCTAAACTCCTTGACCACTGTCGACATTGTGTTCATTGACAAGATGTATAACGGCCAGTTCGGATACCAGATTCTGAGCCAGAATCCAGGTTCCGCCGGATTCTGCACTGCATCTTCCATGCCGCCAGTACGGGCGTCTCCTGTCACCCTACTATATCGGGTAGTCACGGCGCTTGAGTCCTCTATCTCTCGTCAGCTTTAGAAGTGGGTTATCGGGGGCGTATGAGAGCTTTATGATGTTGATGCCGTCTCTTTGAAGTCATATCTTGAGGAATATGCACAGATAACACCCTTGGTACCTTTTCACCAAGTCAAATAACAGGTTCAGCCCAGCCATACAATGGAAAGCACCTGTCTCCAATACATACTCAGTCGAATCAGGACACGGTCCTCTTTTCCTTTAGCAGGGTACATTTATATACGTATAAGTGCTGTATAGCCATACATAGAGGCCAAAAGCAAGTGGACAATTTGCACCGTAGTCCCCGGCGTGCATCCGTGACTGCTGGTCACCTACAGCTGTCACTCAGTTAGTCACTCATCAGTCACAGTAGCGCTCGGACGGAGACTTTGGCTGGGAATCCGGCGGAACCTGGATTCCGGCTCAGAACCCGGTATCCGAACTGGCCCTAAATGCATGGACTATATTGACTAGTATTTGCCACAAAAATCCTGTCAGCTCAGTAAGTCAAATGATGGTTTGCTCCCCTCCATACAGCGGAAAGCAAACATCTCTAGTCCATCCCGAGCAGGGGAGTGCATGTGCCTCTGTGCTTTGAGCAATATGACACATGTATGTGTTTTGAGTGCCATCTCTCATTATATCCAGGCGAAAAGCGGGCGTACAACTTACACTACAGTGCCCGGCATGCCTGTTATTGCTAGTCACATCTGCTTGTCACTAGATCAGTCACTCATCAATCACGGTAGCGCCCAAGCGGAGGATGTGGTGCAGATTAATCTGGCGGAACCTGGATTCTGGCTCAGAATCCGGTATCCGAACTGGCCATACTATCGCGACCCCAGTGTTCGGACAGACCCCAGTGTTCGGACAAACGACCGTATCTCCGTCATTGTCCACTCGATAAACTTGCAAGTTGGAAGGTAGGTGCCCATATGTGTTCCAAATAAGCAGCAAAAAGAACTGAATTTATATCATAAGCCCTTGGGGCGATCTTGCGGAAGGGAGTGGTGCAACCCTTCCCTATCAAAGCTTCGGGAGTCTCGCTTCGTATCCCTCTTCGGGCGCTTCCATCCAAATTTCGTGTACGTATTTCTACCTACGCATATTACTCACTACCCAATTTTCCGAGGCCTGCTCAGGGGAACACAGAGGAGAAACAAGAAGCAGCCCTCAAGGGCGTGACAATGCAGCCACAGTTTGACTCTCCGACTTGCTCGGGATGCTCGGCTAAGGCTCATCAAGCTGGAGAACGGGGATTCCCCGAAGACCGGCAGGTGTCGGCAAGCGTGACAGATCGTGACCTGCTGTGCGGAGAATTGTCCGAACACTGGGGTCAGGCCCTGTATATCCTGTCTCCATTGCTCGTATCTCCTTCAATATGTCTTATGTTTGGCACGTAGTCTATGCATATGCATCTCCTTTTGCATGCCAAAATTGAGCATTATCGGAGTACAGGAAAGTACATAAAACGAAGGGTTTTCGCAGCGGGCGCCTTTTTGTCCGAACACTGGGGTCGCGATAGTAAGACTCAGCGATTTGTGGTTCTCCAATTCATCTCTCGACTCCATATTCATCGACTTGCATCGCTCGTAGGTGAGGCCGCTGTCGCCCCCTTCTAGGTATCCGATCTGCCATTGCAATACATGGTATGCCGCTTGATTCGTGTGCGTCAAGCAATACCAATACTGAGGGGTTCTTCTAGACCTACAAACGGACATCATACGTTTCCTGCTGGCCTAATGCAGCACTGTAGATGCTTACGGAACTCGATATCCTAGGCTGAGATGTTGAATGTCATGTCATTGCACAGGCGGCGTCGTGTGCGCCGCGGAACGCCGGCTCTGGTTTCCCAGCATCCTTCCGCCGGAAGACGGCTGTCCGGCATGCAGTGTTCTTACCGGGGCATTTTTGCATTGCAGCATATCATGATCAGCTGTGCATCCGTGTTCCGCATGTTAGGCCGTGTGATGGTTGACGAGCAACTGCGACTGAGAAGTGATGCACATCCTTGACAGCTGCCCGACGTGATGGTAAGTCAAAATAGCATCCCTGAGAACTGATAGCTATACTTACATCACGAATAGCGTGTCACTGTGGCGAATAGGGCAAAGCCCGAGTCCCTGGACACAGTGCACGATTAGCAGTCTACGGGCGCGTTACAAAGGAGGACCGCTCAATCTAGTAACTCAGAAGCGCGAGCGGGTCGGACCAGATATAGGCGTTTGCCTTGTGAAACGTTATGTTCGAAGTGCGAATGATGTGTCCATGTAAATGGCGCGGACATATTACCGCTGGCTTGGGAATCTGACAGCGCATTGTTCAGGAACTTCTCGACAGAGCCCACGCCGGCGCTGCCTAGCAGCACTTATACTCGCGCCCTCCCGCAAATCGCACCTTGTTGGCCTTGATGGTCGGCCCTCGTTCTAATTCTCACCAAACATGGATTCGACCATCGGTGCCGACTCCCAGGAGGAGCTGCAGGACTTAATGAGCTACCTTGTTGCCACGTGAGGTAGCGCTGCCTGTCGATGGGAACTCAAAGTGTTAACGACTATCACCACCTTGCAGGGAGATCTTCAACTTTACTGATCTCGCTGTTTTTGGTAAGAATTCCCGTTGCGTGCTACGCACCCGCGCTGATTTTGCTGCACATACCAGTGGTGATTCTCTATGAATACCTGATAACGGTCGACCGCGAAGTTCACTTTGCCTGGGGCCGTAAACTCTCATGGGCAAGATGTGTTTTCCTCCTGAACCGGTACCTCACTATCCTGGTCTACCTGGTTGTCTTGGGTCCGCTGTTGCCTACCGTCAATACTTTTGTGAGTGGTCTTCAAGGTTACAATTGAAGAACTCGTTAACGTACTTCTACAGAGGTAAGCATTGATCACTGCCCGGTTTGTCGCAAGGGTAAGATGTCTTTCGCAGCTGCGTATTTTTGACCAGGATGATGCAAGCACTTCAAGTCACTCTCTATATCGTGTGGGCCGGTGCGTCAGTCCCTTTTTTGAGACGGAAAGCTGCACTATCTGAACTATGAGTAGCCTTCGCCGGAATCCGTATATATGCGATCAGTGCGCGCAATCGGGTCGTATCGGTCATTGTCGTTGCACTCGCTCTGGTACCTGCGGTCACCAATGCGGTATGAGCCCCATAATATTTGACTTAAGATATGCTAACGAGAGACGTCGTCTTCAGTACGTTTCCACTCTGACACCGGTCGCCGTCACTCCTCAAGGCTGCATGGGCTCAATGAACTTGTCGATCATAACATGGACTACGTAGGTTGACTTGTCCTATCGTGCATTGCTTTGACTCATTCTGTTTCTTGCAGGCGTAGGTTTTCACGTCTCTTATCACCCTTCGTCCACTCAAGAGAGGCGCATGGTAGTGTCTGTGGTTACCAGGTCTTGCATGATCTTGTCGGATGCCATTGTGATTATAGTGACTTGGATCAAGACTTGGAGCACCATTCGTGCCGCAGAGAGGCTCAACGTGAAGATGTCCTTCACAAACCTGGTTCTGAAAGAAGGCATGCTTTACTTCAGGTAAGCTTGGTTGAGGGTATGTGTCGCGCACCTCAAGATCCTAAAACGGGACTCGTTAGCATCGCGTTGTCCCTCAATATCGTGCAGATCATCTTCGACTTTGTGGAGGTCGATGACTTTTCGCTGATACTTCCCTTCCTCAATATGTGAGTTGGGAACTTTACCCCTCCCAAACTTGCATGCTCATGACAATGGCAGGTTCACACCCATTCTCATCTCGCGCTTCTTCCTGGACCTTGATGATCTTGTGACCACACATGACCCGCAGTCGCCTTGGACTACTTTGACAGGGACGGGTCGGCAGGCGATCGAGTCCACTATCCGTTTTGCGGATCTCAGCAGGGCGGTACGCACTCTGCTGCCTACCTTCTCTCAGGATCTTCGCTGACTTCGCGTAGACTTCGAGCTACCCGCAATCTGCTGCACATATCACTGGATTCCACAGCGAGGGTGGCATTGAGGATATTGACTCTCTGTTTACAGAGAAGGGATACCGACCGTCGGAGACCTGGTAGGTCTCACTCGGCGCTGCGAAGAAGAACCCGGGCACGGTCATATTGTATAGTATGTCTCCATGATTGATCAAGCGTGTCCGTGTTTCCGTGTCAATTAGATACAGCTTACACGCAGCCCACCGGCGTACTGCATCCGATGCCGGTGAGCCTCGGATGCGGTACTCGTGGCTAAGGTTCAACGATCTGACAGGGGTTGTGGCATCCAGTGTGCGAGTGCAGAGTCAGATCTGTCGTCGCGTCCCCTCTTCGTTGCCTCCTGCCACAGCATCGCTTCGGCGTCCAATCCCGTCTGACGGCGACTGCGGACGCTGGACGACGGCCGCTCATAGGGCGATGTGGGTGCCGGAATGATCGACAAACAGCAAGTGACGCCGCTTCCCGTCGAACTTTATCACACTCTGTATCACATACGGCAAGTACCGTTGGACGGGGTTCACAGTCCATTTATACCGGCAGAAGATGGGTATTGCCTGCCAGCAATGTCGGTGGACCGTGACTGCCGTCTGTCCAACCAACGTTGCTCCTCGCCGACTCCGCATATGCACAGGTGTCACAGGTCAAGCTTCATTGCGAAGCTGCGTTGGTGCGAATACGATGCACCGAACTGAGACGAAAGACACGACTGGCGTCCTGAGAAAATCTCACCACAGTTGTTGTTGTGCAGGCTTCCATTGATACATCGCCCGACCCCTCATGGCGGCGCGCGCGCTCTCGACGGATATATATACCTCCCGCGGGCGAGGAGCGGTGTATCCCAGTTGGCCTTGATGGCCCGTTCGTTCCTTTGGGTCGCCTTACAACATGTCGTCTTCCGCTGGTTCTGACAGTCCTGGAGAGGGTAGTGATCTTATCCTTGAGTACTATCAAGGCGAGTGAGTAACTTCCGTCCTCCAAGACCAAGCTCCTGGCAGCCAATCTCACAATGCTCCCCTTAGCCAGCTGAGTCGATACACTGCTTTGGCCGGCTTTGGTTTGTTGCCCCTTGCGTTGCTGCTGGCAATACAGTTGCTGACATTCTCGATAGCTATATTATTGTATGAATATTTGATCACTTTCGACCGAGAGGTTCGCTATGTCTCGGAACACAAACGAACTTGGGCAATGGCGGTGTTTGTACTCAACCGGTACATCAGCCTCCTCCAATCTTTGGCGACTCTTCTCTCTACCTTGCTACCTGTGAATACCTTCGTGCGTGATCCTTCTTGCTTCGAGCTCGACTTCGACGCTGACGTATGTCCCAGAGGTGAGCAGAGACGCACAATACGTCTGAGGTGCTATTAATATCTATCCGTTGGTAGTTGTATATATATGACGCGTACCATAGCCGCATGTCAGATCCTACTTTACGTCGTCTGGGCAGGTGAGCAACTCATTCGTTCCTCCACAGAGAGTCTCATGGAAGGAAATCATAGTGTTCTCCGCCTTGAGGGTTTATGCTTTCAGTGGCAACAATGCTACTGTCGTTGTTGTCGTCGTCGTGCTTTCGTTAGTCCCGGTTGCGACAAACACTGTAAGTTGCTTCAATATGTATTACTGAACGACTGGCGTGGCTAATCCATACTAGGCACTGTCTGCCGTCACTTGGATCGAGGTCGACCCCTTATTGCCCTCTTCAAACATCAACTATTGCAGTGAGGAGTACAACATCACTCCCCAGGTGTTCGCGGAGTAAGCAGTTGCACTGACGTTTAACCCTACAATGCTGAAGCTGATTGCATGGTTTAGCCGTAAGCGCATCGCACCCTCGATTACCCCATTCTCAAGCCCTCTGACGTCTGCCTTTCAGTCGGTTTGCTCACGCATGTCCCGCTCCTACTCTCGGAGGCCATCGTGATTATAGTGACCTTCGTGCGAACGTGGAACCTGGCGCCAAGGCGTGACAAGTCCTCAATGGTCGAGTTAGCACGGCTGGTTCTGAAGGAAGGAATCCTCTACTTTCTGTCAGTCCATGGCTGTTTACTCTCGACATTGCTGCATACTGATGGTCTCGCAACGGGCAGGGCCATGCTCTTGATCAACAGCACTCTGATTATTTCAGACTTCATCCTGGACGCCAACTTTGCGGTCGCTTGTGTTATATTCGGCCTGTTAGTTACATTTGTTGGCTCATGTTGACGTCTGTGCTCACGTTTCTTCACTCTACAAGGATGGTTCCTGTACTCGTCTCCCGCTTCTATCTAGACTTGGACCGCATACGCAGGGCCGAAGATGCACGAAAAGCGGAGGAGAAACGTCGGGCCGATCCGGAGAGAACCAAGTCGTGGAAGATAAAGGTATGGTTAAGCTTATGCGTCCTTGAAACGAATTCTGAGCGGTCGCGCGATAATCTATCGCAGCCTCTTCCTCCTCTCCCCGAAGACGAGGGCGGTGAGAAGGTCCGCTACGTGGAGGAGGTGTTCCAGTACAACGGGCGATTACGAGGAAAGAACGCCATTCTGTTATAGACGGCGAGCCGTGCAGGTCCACGTCCAGATACAGCTGGAATCTGCTAATTTATCATGTGGGAGCTTGGTCTCAATCCACGCGTTGTCTTCGTTGTTTTTTTGTCGTACCGTAGACCGCAGTTGTTCTTCTGTTCGTTGCTTATCACTTCGCCGGCCGTACGGTGCCGTTGTATCATGAATTTTCGGGGTTGAAATATGTAGCAGTACAGCTCGTGGAACGATGATCCTTTATAGTGATGTTATGATGTTGTACAGTCGGTCGCTTGTGTAATGCAAGCGAACCACTCGGGCTCAGAGAGAGCAGCCTCATCGTTCACCTCAGGCATCACTCCCAGTTCTCGAAGGTGACCGAGTAAATCTGGCTACAGGTAACTTTGTGCCTTGGCCAGTCCTTCTTCTGGCATTCGAGGCTGTGGACAAACAAATGTCAGCATCTTCCAGATGCATCTGACAGGTCTCAGCATTGGCGGACGCACCTGCAGTACCTGGATATGTATGATGCTTCAGCACATCTCTCACAGGCAACTCGCACCATTCAACACGCACCTCGTCAGCTTGCACTTGCTGCACTTCTTCAACGTCTGCGCATTCGCAGCGGTCTCGTCGCGCTCGCAGCACGCGCAACTGCCCGCTAGAGCATACACCGCGCCCGGCTGCCTCTCCAGGCGGTCGGGCATCGGCCCGAGCTGGCCCATGTGCATCGTGTTCAGCATGTTGTGGCACGAAGTCAGGCCTTGCATGACGTGCGGCTCGTCGATGTCGCACACGAAGTGTATGTACAAGACGAGGCGCGGCGGGTCGAGGTGCTGCCAGGAGAGCATCTCCACATGTGTCTCCCGCGAGGGTTTGCCTGGATGTCACAGAGATGGTCTGTTATCAATCCCATCCGTACACCTAGGGGAAGCAAGACAAGCGAACCGCAGAACTCGCACGCCCAGTTCTTGGAATGCTTCATGTCGCGTCCCATGTATAGAAGCGCGAGCTGGACGCGCTCGTTGTTGCGGTCCTTCGGGAGGTGGAAACGGACAATGACGCGTTTTCCCTCCCTATATGGGCGTCGTTATCTTTCAGCGATTCTGGCACAACTTGAAATCAATGGGACGGATACCATCCGTAGCCAACAAACTCGACGTTCAGCTTGTCCGCGCGTTCCCAGTCTTTCAGTGGTGGCGCAGGGAAACCAGCCATCTTGAATGTTTGAGCGCTGATGTAATAGACTTTTGAGTCAGTGGTCGCTAGTCGCGTCGTTAAGCTTAAGGAGCTGGAGGTAGACGGGAGAGGAACAAAACGTTCTTTGTACGCTCAGGTGGAGAGCGAACGATAAGCGCTTGAGATTCGAATCGCTGCTAGGCTTGTCGGCGGTCCTCGGACGCTTAACTTGTTTGGCCAACCTATGGGGACAGGTAGAGGACCGCTAGTATGTACCAAGTATCCTTACTTAGGAGTTATCCTTGCATAGTATGGCGAAGACTTCAAGACCGGCGTAGACGGGGTACGGGTTGTAATTATCCCTGTGAAGTCCGGTGAGCAACTGCGCCCCGAGATCCCCATGTTACGCAGACTTGATAACTTACCGCTTAACAGATCACCGGGCACATCGCCGCCAGCGAACCCAGCCCGAACGGCCGGTGGGGAAGCCGTGCAAGTATTGAAGTTCACTGCGGAACTATTATCGCCGGGACACCGCACGCTCCCAGATGGGATCCGGGTAATGAGGAATAAGTCAGGCTATACAATATTGACAGGCCAACGACAGGACAGACTCATGGGACGTGATGAATAATAGGCAGACGGTAGACGAGGCACGAGGGGGCGACGGACGGACGGACGGACGGACGGACGAGAGAGACGGAGAGGGAGACCGGCAAAGAGAACACGAACATTATTTCCAGAGCAGCAGGAGCGGCAGACATGCATGCGCAACCGTCGCCGGTGAGGCATTAGTTGGCACGCGCATCTATGACGCCGCTTTTACACAAGCAGGGACACGTGTAATATGAGGGGAGAGAGAGAGAACCGAGTCTGAGTCCAGTCAGGGTTGGCACGGGCATGGGGACGGAGAGACGGAGTAGTAGGCGAGCTAGGACAGAACACAAGCAGCGGCAGCGGGCAGCAACAGCAGCACTACAGTACAGTATACACCAAATAGTACGAGCTCGGGGCAGTGGTGGGTCGGCGGCGAAAGCAAAGAAAACATTCGACATAATGGCGCGTTTTCCGCGTGCTCCAGTGAAGCGCATGGTAGCGGCACACGACTAAACTTTGTGTGTATGGGGCAAGGGGAGGGAGGGAGGGAGGGGGGCTACAGCTAGCCGACATGAGCTGTGAAGCATCTTGCCATGCGTGCATGGTTACTTCGCCTATGCACGACCGTGCCTCTGCTTCAGCGCCCAGCAGCTGCATCAGCGTTCACCTGGTCCTGCAGCTCCTTCACGGCTGTCTGGACCATGCCCAAGATGCCGGAGATGACCTGAAGTTTCTCCTGGTAGTACTGGTGCCGCGAGTTGTGCGCGGGCACGGTGTTAGTGGGTGCACGGGCAGCCCGTGATGCTGATGCGGCGAGCGCTGCGAGCGAGAGGTTCTGGGCGTTGCTCGAAGATGCGGCCGCATTGCCATTCTGCATGGGGGGCTTCTTCGGAGCCGGGGGCCGCTGAACTGGCGCAGACGCAGATGCGGAGGTGCCCGCAGCCGAGGAAGCAGCGGCAGCGGCGGGGCGCTGGGGGCGCGCAGGACGTTTCGCGGCGGACTCGTTGCGTTTGGTGTCTTCCTCGATGGCCGTGCGCTTACGCTTGGGCGCGCGCGCGCTTGCGCTGTCTCCGTTCGCGTCCGCTGGTGCGTCTGATAATTCGGGGACGTGTTCCAAATGGGTTGGATGCGTTGCAATAAAACAATGCCCGCGACTCACCTCCTGGGCCTTTACCCTTCACCGACGCGGACTTTGTCTCGCGGGAGGGACGAGTGGGGGGCGTGAGAACCTTCGAGCAGCGGTGGCGCTTCATGAAGCAGGAGTCGCAGCGCTGGCGGCTGCTGTTGACGATGCAGGTCGGGTTGTTACGCATTATGCAGTTGGTGCAGCGGTCGTCGCCGGTAAAGGTATGGTCCTTGCGAGTAGAGAAGATTACGATATGCACGAGGTTTCGAAGCGGAGAAACGACGTACTACTCCATTCGCAGCGGAAGCGGAGGCGGAGGCAGAGGCGGACTTCTTCTGGTCTGCTTTCTGCTGAGCGGGCGCACTGACCGTGCTCCGGGGCTCCGGACTGGAGACTGGTGGGCGAGGTGGGGTGTGAGACGCGCGTGGTGATGGGAAAGAGGCGAGAGACGTACCAGTGGTGTTGCCCGCAGTACCTGTAGTTAGGCGTGGAGAAGAAGGTGAGGGAGTGGGGAGGCGAGCATCAAGCAGGGGCTGCGCACCGGCGAGACTGGCAGTCGGACCCAAGCTGGGGCTCTTTGGGTGTTCGGAGCCGATGGCATCCTCATCAGAGTCTCTGTCGTCGTCGGGAGAGGGCTCGCCGACGCCGTCTTTGTCGTCGCCATCGGAGGAGTCGATGTCGTCGAGAGCGAGGTCCGCGCGACGCGCATAGAGGTAGTGAGAGAGAGACTCGTTCTGGTTGGGGCCCTTGAGGTAGGCGTCTACTTGCTTGAGGGGCGGGGGGAGCGCGGCCTTGTCGGCGGCACCGTAGCGAGCGAACGCGCGGTGCTGGAGGGAGCGCGGGGAGTGAGGAAGGGGCAGGTGGAATGGAGGAAGGAAAACTCACAGCAAGCGAGAGGATGGCCTGATCCTCCTTCGCGCGAGAGTCTGGGGGAAGCTGGAACACGCGGGCGACCTCCTGGCGGATGTGTCTGAGGAGGGCGTCGAAAGAGGGCGCGGCGTCCGCGTCGCGGGGCGCTGGCGCGGAAGCGGGGTGCCTGGCGGGGGCAGCGACGGGCTGGGGGGGTGCGTTGGGCATGGGAGCGGGAGCGACGGGGTCGACGGTAGGAGACAGGTGGGAGAGACCAAGGGAGAGACGCGTCCGGCGCCAGGCTGTCTGGGCGCACGCCGTCCGTGACCCCGCCCTAGGCCTCTGTCACGCTGTGACAGGGCGTGGTAACGCAGGCCAGGGCGAGTGTGACGTCACAGTGCTGAGGAGGGACGGGCGCCGGCGACTCGGAATCAGCGACGCGAGCTGCTCGGACGGGTCGGATATGCAACCGCTCCTCCTCCGGCCTCCTCAGCAATGCTGCCCGCGACGGCCGCCCCCCTGACCCGCTCTGCTTGACTTTTTTTACTTACATCCATCCCCGCGACCCCGCGCCCCGACTCCGCCAACCATGGCATCTCACTCGCTCTACCTCGGCTCGGGCACCAACACCTCCAAGTTCACCCTCACAGAGAAGGAGCTTGTACTGGAACAACCAGCAAACAGTGAGTATCATCTCCGGACGCGTCGCTGCAACCGCATCGTCTGACGCGTCCGCGCAGAGAAATGGCCCCTCGTTCGCACGTCTCTTCGAAATGTGCTCTGGGCCGGCATAGACGACGGGAACCGCCTCCAGATTTCCGTTCTCGCAACCAAGAAGCGCAAGTCCCCCTTGTCTCTCGTCCATGTCGCAGGCGTCGTGCCCGATGCAGATATCGACTCGGCAGCCGCCTTCACCTCCTCCGTAATGCACTCAGCGTACTATGGTAATCGCGTTCTCGTCATGCCTCCGCCGGTCGTTATCTCACTCTCCCAGGCCTCACGCCGCGCAGACGACTCAAAGTGATCGTCAACCCCAAGAGCGGGCCGGTGAGCATCCTTCTCCTTGTGGCCTGTGATCAGTCTGAGCCTACGCGATATCTGCGTTCCAGGGCAAAGGCGCGAAGCACTTCCGCAAGAGGGTCGAGCCCATTTTCCGCGCCGCGCGGTGCCATGTGGCCGTAACTTGTGCGCATCGTTCTCCCTACCCTCCCTTTGGGCAAAGCTGACGGTGCCTCCATTCAGTCACCTCGCGAGCAAGACACGCCCAGGAGATCGCACAGGCTCTTCCCCTTGATGATTTTGACGCTGTCGTCGTATTGTCCGGGGACGGCAGCATATACGAAGTCTTTAACGGCTTCGCTGCGCACGCCGACCCTGCGAGAGCGTTTCGCATGCCAGTCACACCGGTTCCGACGGGGTCGGGTAACGGTTCCTCGAACAACTTGCTCGGCAGAGAGGTGGGCCCCCGAATTCCCTCAGACGTTCCCCCGCGACTTAGAATATTCACTCCGAAGGCTGCGAAGGATCTGGCAATGGCCGCCTTGAACGCCATCAAGGGTAAGCTTCCTCGACCCCGCGGAAACCGTGTTCCTCACCGCTTTGGCTTTCAGGTCACCCGATGAGCATCGACTTGGTGTCTATCCTGCAGAACGGGAAGAGGACCATCTCGTTCATGACCTCATGCCTAGGCGTGATGGCCAATCTCGATCTCGGCACCGAGCACCTACGGTTCATGGGCTCACAGTACGCCGCGTACCTCCTGTTGCTGACACGCATCGCTCAACTTGTCCGCGTCCAGACGGTTTGTCGTTGGATTCCTTCGCGAGGGTCCGCGATTCTACTTCTTCGACGTGGCAACATCTAACCCGCGTCCCTAGTGATCAAGCACCGTTCGTACCCTTACCGCGTGTCGATCAAGGTCGCCGAGTCCGACAAATACAAGATGGTTGAGACCCTCGACGCCGTCCGCGCGCATGCCCAAGCTGTGCACGGCACCGCGGCCTCCCCATACAACGCCTCCGCCGCTCCGACGTCCAAGGGCCTTCCCGAGCTCAAGCACATAGGCCCCGGCGCGGACGTGGACGGGGACGGGTGGATCACGTTCGCCAAGCCTGTCATGTACGTCTACGCGGGCAAGGGCCCGTTCGTCTCGAAAGACTTGATGCAGTTCCCTGTGTCGCATCCGGACGACGGACTGATCGACGTCGTCATTTCTGAAAGGGTGCGTTCTCAGCTGCCGAATCGCGTCTGTCCTGGCTGACGTCTCGGGGTGTCATCTTTACCGACAATTACCTACCTGTCCTGTCGTGGTGCTGGGACGGCGATGCGACGACGCTTGCTCTGTTTTGTGGACGCGAATCTGGGTCTTCGATCCGCCTCGCATTGGACCGCCCCCTCCCGCCGCAGACAACGCGCCTGGCGATGATCAAGGGCATGGACGGCTCGGAGCGCGGCGAGCAGTACTGGATGGACATCGTGCGTACCCCCCATTTCACGCATCCCGCTTTTTGCGAATAGCTACACGCATCTCTGACTGACGGACTTTCGCCCCGGCCGTCGGGCGTCCATGTCGCTTTGTGTGGTTTATCAAATCTTCTGACGCACGACAACAGCAACACTACTTCAAGGCGTACGCGTATCGCGTCGAGCCGCTCGCGCCCAAGGGCTATCTCTCTATCGACGGCGAGGCGTACCCGCACGAGACGTTCGAGGCGGAGGTCCATCAGGGCCTCGGCACATTCCTCAGCATGTACGGGCACTACATGAATGACTTCAGCCTCCCCCCTGACCGCAAATAATTCGTCGGGTAAGTCGGTCGGTCGTGGCGTCGTCCTTTTCCAGCGCAGTGTACCGCTCACTCACTCGCTAAATGTACATTCGCTCGTATGGACGATATTGCGCTTGTTTACTCCGTAGAAGTTCAGATCATGTATATACCCGGGTTCTGCGCTGCCTCATGGCATTGACATCCCCCACCCTGCCGAGTTGTGCGAATGGGAGGAACCTTTGGTGCCATCACAACGCAGGAAAGACAGGGAATGGCAGTGCATGCAATAGGGAAAGCGGCTACGTTTGTTTGCTGCCGGGAGATGCGACATTATGCAAAATACTCTAGTCTATGACACAGGTGTAGTAGAGAGTGTGTGGAGCGACTATGTGGCGCGAGTACAGAGAAAAGTCCGACCCAGTATCTAACTAACTCCAGAGTCCATGCGTATGTGAGATGCCCTTGTAAGATAAGTAATGGAAGTGTCCATGAGTAATGCGAATGCCAAGTCTCTTTACAAGTCGTGATCATGGGCGGGCTATAAGAGAGAAAGCGGTTAGCATCTGTCGTTGCGCACAATCGAGGCAGAGAGGGAGGAGAGAGTAGCTTACCAAGCTGCTCCTTGCGGTAGAACCAGAAGTAACCAATGACGATCACGAGCTGGCAGATGAGGGCAATCCAGAACGGTGCGGACGCGAGCGGGCTGCCTTTTAGGCCGTCCTCGAAGTCCCATTGCGCCGCGTCTGGGAACACGCTCTCTGGTCCGATACGGTTCGGTGCCGTTGCGCGGGCGACCATGACACATACTGAACCGATGACCTGTGCGAAGGCAAGCGTTGCGCACACGTGTAGACGGGAGAGTGTTTGAAGGAGGATGAGACCGAGACCAACACCTTGAATGGCATCGAGCACACCGAGCCAGAGCCAGAGCGAGATGCCGAGGTATGGTCCCGCGTGGCCTGCCCATGGGATGTATAGTGCGAGCGAGGACGTTCCCCAGAGCATCTGACACCACCTTGGCGCGCCGAGACCGACGGCAAAGACAGGCAGGAGCCATGTGTGCGTCTTGCTCAGCCAGGTGAGGATGCCCATCATGATAGCCCAGACGAAGATGAAGAATGCGACCACAAGAACCGCAATCTGCCACTTGGGAATGGGCACGTTCCACAGGAAGCTCCAGTTGCGTCCATAGGGCTAGAAACAGCGAAATCGTCAGAGCATGCGAACATACAAGCCGGCGATCAAACTTACCCCGCTGAGCCAATAGTCGCGCAGGATCTCGGAACCAAGGAACCAAAGAACGATCTTCCGGCGGAACAGCGTTCTCAAGAAGTTTGGTACCTTAGGCGGCGTCTGACGGTAGTAATCTAGTAGAATTGGTTAGCTGGCTTCTCTTGCCTGCATCACGTCAACTTACCAGGCAAGCCGTAGAGCATGAGGTAAGCGAAGAGTAAGCTCATAACGGCCAGAGGCCAGACGATGAGCACGATCCACCACGGCGCGAGGTTGTCCTGGCCGACGCCATCGAGGTTGTAACCCCAATACCACAGGGCAGCGACCCAAATCTGCTGGGAACCCTGGACGACACACGCACGCAACATCCAGACTTCCGTCGCAGCACCGGCTTCCTCACCGAAGTTGAGGCCGAAGAAGCAGAAGGCTGCTGCAGAGGCAACAGCATACGCCCAGGTCGCAGCACTAGACAACGCGACGTGTGCGACGTTCAACTTCGCGGTGACAGATGGGAGACCAATGAGGAAGAAGGCCAGAGCGAAGAAGACCCATGGTGCCGACAGGACATACACGGAAGGCTTCATGCGGAAAAGGGTGTACCAGACGACAGAAGATGCAAGGAAGACACCGCCGAGGACGTAGAGCTGAAGGTTCGACTGCGAATTCTGGCCGGAAAGCAGTGTGATCTGGAAACTAGTTGCCGCCAACATCTGTCCGAGCGCTATGATGATTGTGTACAACGGCCAACCGAAGACCTCTCGTGACAGAGCGATTTGAAGACCAGTCATGATGACGACGTCGTTACCGTTGGGAAGGGGGCCGCTGTACTCGCCGTTGAGGTTCATGCCGCTCGCAGCGAAGGAAGTATTGCTAGGAGACGAAGGGCGAGAGTGGTCGAATGTTGAGGCCACTGGTGTTCCCCAGACGGAATCGCGCTGGGACGAACGGATACTCGCAGCGCTTGAAAGCTTGTCTTTCTTGACCTTGTCGAAGAATGCCTCCTCGCTCTTCATCAGGTATTTCTCGATGGACAGCTCATGCTTCGAGTTGTGGGCGTTGAGCATCTGGAGCTTCTGCACGAACTCCGAGGCGACCCCTCCGTCGGAATCAGTGAACTGCGATGATGACGTAAGTCTGAGCTACTAGGAACTGTGAACACAAGAACGTACCGAAGCGATCGCTTTATTCAAAGGCGAGTTCTGCTTCTCATCGACGATAGACGCGATCGACTCGACGGAGGACACGCGCGAGTGAGCACCGAAGGGGCGCGTTGGGGCCGCATCCAAGAACGGATCGGGCGCATGCTTCTGGTCACGAGCGATGGTCTTGTTTGCGCGTTCCAAGAAGTTACCAAAGTCCTGTCGCGTCTCTCCAGGGCTGTTGGGGTTGTGAGAGAAGTAGTCGCCGTCATTCTCTGAGACGTCAGTGCTAACAGAGCCTCTACGTCCGTGAGGGACCAGGCGAGGAGGTGCAATCAGGTGCGGGTCGCCACCAGGAGTCAATGACTCTTGGCTCCACTGTCCGGGTGATCCCGGCGATGCGGGACTAAGGCTAAACCGAGGGCTGTGGCTCTCAGCAATGCTACGACTGTCCCAGTCCGGCTGCGAAGGGTAAGCTTGGTACTCGGGCTCCCAACTCGATGGCTCCTGAGCGTGCGTGGTCGGGTTGAAGTTTGCGTCCGATGGCCTCCATGCGTTTGGGCCGGCGACATGACGGCTCATGTTGATACTGCGCTTGTGGAAGTCTTCCATGCGCTGACGCCACTCGACAACAGGGAAACGCTGAACAGCGGACCGCGCACGGAGCATGGCACGCTCTTCTTCCGTTGACTTGAGAGCCATCTTGATTGTCTTTGTGAGCTGAGACATCATGTGCTCCGTAGACGTCGACTCCACAGGGAACCACTGCAGACGTTCGGGATCAGTAGCAGCTTCGTGAGAGAGACGGCAGAGTCACTTACCCAACCAGGCATGAGACCAAGACCTCCGAGACGAGAACCGACACCAAGAGCACCCTTACGACCGAACTCGACGGCAACAAGACCGAACGGCTCATCACGCGAGGGAATTAGAGCAAAGTCCGCACCACTGAACAGATACGGCGGAAGCGCAGTGAACTCCGGCTTCGAGTACACCCGGTCAGGGTACATCTCCATGAGACGGGCGAGCTTCTCCGCCGCAAATCGACCGTAGAGATCGATGACGGGACCGACGGTAATGAGCTGGATGGAAGGACGCTTCTCGAGCCTATTAGAGCGGCGTCAGCGTCGATCCCTCCAGTTAGAAGTCAATTTGACAAAATCACTCACAGTGACGGCATGACGTCGGCAATGAGATCTACACCCTTCTGCTTGGACCAACGAC